GACAATGACGGTTGACGGTTGGACTTGGCTGGCGTTGCAGAAAGTTGGACCCAGCCCGAGGGCGGTTGCACTTTCGCAATGACTACGCAAAGAGTTGAGACGGCAGCAGCAACACCAGTAACAACAACAACAGCTACAGCAGCAGCAACGTACACAGAGTTAAGAGCCAGAGTCGGCCTAACGGTTTATCAGACAGACGACAGCATGACAATGACGACGGCAATGCAATGCAGCGATGCGTTAAGCAGCCGCAAAGCACAAAGAAAAGAGCACAAGACTGCTCTAATCGAAAGAGTGCTCACGAGCAGATACCCTGTACCAATCCAGTCCCGATAGATATATCAGTGAATTCTCTTGGACACAATTCAGGTTGTTTGACGAATTTCGTGTGTCAAAAAAAAAGTATTTTGTACTTTGCATAGTCTTATACACTTCCTTACTAATTGCGTCGTATAGGGTATGAAAGCAATGCAAAGGAGCATAGCAAAACATACGAAAACAAGTAAGAAATGAGAATCAACAAATAAACAAAGTGTGCATAATGCACAGTAAATGTGTGGGGTTTTGGATGGGGGTGGTAGTGGGAGTGGGAGTGGCGACAGAGACAGCGACAGAGGCAGAGACAGAGACAGAGACAGAGGAGAGCGACTAATCGACCTTAACTTCAACGTCAACTCTGGCATTATACGTGCACATATATTTGTTTATACATACACACACACATATGAGCATCAATAGTTGAGGTTAGTTATATTCCATAAAGATATATCAGCGATATCCGAGTCGAAACATTATTTTCAGGTTACTTATGAATTTGAGTACTCTGATCAAGTATCTCAGTATATGCTTTTTCTACTGTTCGCTGACTGTTGTCTGGCACTGAAACTGGAACTGGAACTGGAACCATAGCCGACTTCAAAATTTGCATGCAAAGCGCAATAATGTCGGGAATTTTTTGTATTGTTGGATTGTTTGCCAAAACTTGGAGCGTAAAACTGAGACTGTGACTGAGAGTTAAGCCAGTGCATTGACTTGCTCAAACTGCTTTGATTACTGTTTTTTTTTATCGTATGCTTTATGTATGTATATGTATATATATCCAACTTTAGGCAATTTGAAACATAAACAGTTGCAGATATGTCACAACCATTCACTTTCGCTCCACTCAAATATCTAAACTATTTGCCATTGCGTGACTTATCAATTTTATGTCTCCCATCATCAGCACATCTTAGTCATTATTGTTGTTAATACGTTTTGCATATGGCTGCGCTGCTTATCAGCAGCAGCCACAGCCACAGATGACTCAAGTTTATAATTAAAGAACAAGAACAAGAACTAAAACCACTTACTGACCAGTTTGTCATATAAACGGGAAGTATTAATTAAATACAATGTATCTGTTCTTCTTCGACTTAATTCTTATAATCGTCAGCGTCATCGTCATCGTCATCGTCATGGCCAAGTATATGTGCGTCTGGCCACATTCTCCAATTAGTCTCTTATTAGTCTATCCTATGTACTTTTCTCTATTGGTTATGTAAAATAAATTGCGCTTAAGTGCCAATGCGAATGCCAATGGTGATGCTGATCAAAATGTTAATTATCTAAACGATAAGTGTGCGCTTGGGTTTTTTATTTTTATCATGGATAACTTGAACAATCGAAACATATAATTAAATATAATATTCTCTTACTACACTCTAAGTGTGCTGATCGGAAAATGCCAACGATTAAGTGACACTCACTGAATGTGTGTGCTTAATAAATAAGCTGAGATTAATAGGAGCAGTCAATAAAAAACACATGTACAACTCCTCGTTGGGTGTGTGTGAGTGAGTGTGTAAACAAATAATTTAGCTTTATGAATATTGGTTTAATTTAAGCTGAAATTATGCAATTAATCAACAGTTCGGGTCGTTGACGGGAAGAGGGCCAGAGTTTGGCCAGAGCAACAGCAGTTCAGCCATCTCCGCTGCCTGATGTCATAAAAACTACCATAAAGGAACTGAACCCACTCTGTCAGTGGTTGTTAAAGTTGCTGTTGTTGTTCTTGTTGTTGTTGTTGTTGTTATTATTATGAATCCCAGAAGAAGAGTGCATAAAAAAATAAAAATAACGAGTAAACCCCCAACACGAAAAATATCTGCAAAATGTAGGCCAAAATAAGAGAAATGACCTTAGCCATGTCGAAAGATTTGTACCATGCCAAAAACAACGACAGCAAACAAAAAAACTCGCTAACAGACACACACGCACACGCACGCACATCAGTAACTGTCTGTGCACGACGCCAACGCCAGAGCCGCGCTGTCGCTGTCGCTAACGCTGCGCAGGCGCAGTTGCTAAAACTGAGAAAGGCGTCGGAAGCAGAGCCAAAGGCAGCGAGTGATTTCTTCGACATGTTCTTTGCATCAGTTCAATACCCTGTGTCACAGTTACAAGAAGTATATCATGCATAGCATACAGTATGTTTCATTACGGGTATGCCAGTCTTGAATCGATTGTATCATAAGAAATATCTAGATTAATATATGTCTGCTCATGTCTCGGCTATTCTATGATCGAAAATGCCCGTTTTACTCCGAGCAAAAAAACTGGGACGATTCCCTTGAAGATAATTGCACCATGAAGTTAAAACCCCACCCACATTGTTTAAGTGGAATTGCACCGCATAGATTACAATCTTAGTAGGGTATCTTACAGTCGAACTCTATGCATACGCTTTGTTTGTAATTTTTTTCTTCTTATTTTCTTCAGAATCTTACGTTTCCTATTTGCTGTTATTGTTTTGTATGCGTGTGTGTGTGTGTGTGTAGGTATATTATATATATATATATATATATTTATATACATATATATGTATTTTTGTCTCTCTTTTGCTTTTTTTGTGCTGCGTTTCAGATGCTGCGTATGCTAAAATGTGAATTTCAACCTTAACCGTAAACATGTGTGTGTGTGTGTGCGTCTGTGTGTGCCTGACCCATTTAAATGGTTGAGCTCTCTTCTCTTGATCTTTAGTTCCATGCCTTTCAAGACATTCATTGGGGTCAGCCAATCAATTAAAACTCACATTGAAACATATGGAAAATAACGTTCCAATCTGAGGTCCTTTCTTACCCTTGCCGTGCCCTATTTATATAAATATCCTGTATACTGTAGATAATTCTCGAAAATACATATATTATTTCAACTTAGTTGGCATTACAATTAAAATGTCGTGATTATTGTGAGTCACAGTCATAGAAATTAAACGCCAGCCGATGAGTGATTTTACAAAAAATAACAACACATTTTGGATAGATAAATAAGTGGAGCACATGCACATGTTGATTAACACACTTATGTAAAAAAGTTAAATTAACGGATTATAATATAGTTGTTGGCTTAGGAAAATCGTTACCAACGAATTAGTATCCACTCGGTTCGTAAGAACTCTCCTCTCAAAGCGAGCAAATCATTCATATTCATTTTCAATCGATTGCCGGTTATTAGTATACAAAGATATTGATCCATAAGTTTGTGAGAACTGAATTGATTTTTATGCGAATAACATTTTTGAAAGGTGTTTATATTTATACATCAAATGGTACATAAGTACATCTAAAGTTTCCCAACAATAGCAATGCTTGACTGCGCTCGGCACTCGGATAAACAGATGCAACCTCAAATGAAATACAAAAAAAAAAAAAAAAAAAAAAAATAGAGAGCTGCTAACAATAGTTTTTATAGACGTATTTGCGGTTTCAATTTTCTATGACCTTGAATTTATTTACATGACAATGCTCCGATACTGGGTATAGATAATAGCTGTAATACCCGCATTTATTCCATACGATATACATACATACACGAGATGAAAGACAAATGAGATTAATCACTGACAAATGTAAGAATCGAAATGTGAAACGATCAGAAAGGTTCATAATTATAATCGTTATAATTATAATAATGCTAATAAATATGCATGAAATATGTTTCGCTAGGCTGAGAGTTAACGTGAAATGGTTTTTGTTTTTGGTGTTGCTTTTTTTCATCAAATGTGTAAATGTTCCGAACGATAAAACTTTCACCTACAAATCGGACACTAAATGAATTCGTATAAAAAAGAAGAAAAAAAAAAAACAAACTCCAAAGAAAGTTTAGAAGTTTTAATCGGCAGCAGAAGCAACAACCAAAAAAAAAAAAAACAAAAAAAAAAAAAACGTAAGAAAGAATAAGAGAAAAAATTGAGAAGACAACAAAAAAAAAAAAGAAAAAAAGCAAAGCAACAACAACAACAACCATTCTGAGCTGGGCGGCCCACTCATTTAGTTTATGGCTTATTAAACTTTTTTTTATGGCTTTTAATCAAAAGACAAGCTATTAAAAATTGTATACCCATCAAAGCTGACAAGCTATACGACCTGGCATTCCCGGCTTTACACATTTGTGGTTTTTGCGGTGGATTTAGCGGTGGCTTAAAGAGACGACTTGCGGCTGCTTTCCACCCAGCCAGCCAGCCAGCTAGCTAGCAAATCTCTTCGTTCTACCGTGTGCATATGACTAATGTTAACGATTATTGGCTAATCGCACAGATCCTTAATGATCATATTGCAAAGAGGATAATATTGTGTGAAAACAATTGCTGCGCATGATTAAAAAAGAAAGTGCACATAAGGCCAATCAGCAAAAGCGTTGACTAAAAATAATATGTGTAATTTATGTAAGTGAAAGTTGTGGCAGGGAACAATGGAAAGGAATAACGCCATTAAGAGGATGGTGCCCAAAACGTATGTGTTGTTAAACATTGATCAAGCTAACTGCTCACACAATATATATATATATATATATATATATATATCGCTAGTATTACATATTGAGCATTGAGAAACTGTCCAAAATTATTTAATAAATTCAAATAGTAACTAAAATAAACTGCATTTTGTGTAATTTGGAAATTGGTTTGCAAATTAACAGAGTTTCTGAAATTGATTATTTGATTTGAATTTTACTTGCAGTACTCTCCACTCGGATGAAACAGTTGGCCATTCTGCTAAATGATTTTAATTTTGAGTGCATTGGCACCGCCCAGACCGATGACGAGAATGTCATCTGTGAGAGCTTAAAACGCTTCGGTGCCATCATTGGCACCATTGAGGATGAACGCGAGAAAATGGTAAAATGCAAATAATAGTAATAAAAATATAAAAAAAAAGATGATAAAATATATATACAATTTTCATATGCAGTTAACTCTTGCGGATAAGCATATTATTGAATCGCTGGAGGACTTTCGCAAGAAACAAATCGGCGGCGTCAAGGAGAACAAAAAGAAGTTTGACAAGAAGACTGAGAAGTTCTGTCAATCGCAGGAGCGCTTCTTAAACATGTCAACCAAAAAGCCAGAAAACACGATACAAGAGGTAAGCCTCAACTTGAACTCCCAAATCGCAATCATATATTCAGTTGGGTTGGGTAACTGCCAGCACAGCCAGCCAGCCAGCAGAGCCAGCACAGCCAGCACAGCCAGCACTGCCAGCACAGACAAATGCAATCAAATTGCGCTCAGCGTGCAACATTTTTATTTTGGTTTACGTAATTTTCTACTGAATTTTCTACTATGCCCAAAAAATGTAAAACTCATCGCCCACCACCCAGTCTGCACTTGATCCTAGCGTGTCCATCTGCAAGCACAAGCACAAGCACAAGTCATGGCTTCAGTGCACACCCCAAATGCAACACCCAATCCACGGCCCCGCCCCATCCTTGTTTGGCGCCCAGAAGCTATTTTTCGTTGCCTGCACAAATCCATATATACATAGAAGACTTCTTCTATTGGGGAAAAAAGCGTTTCAAAGTTCCATGACCTACGTCAAATTGCATCAGTATTAGGCTGTACAGTGTACACTCGCCAGAAAGAACCCTTGAAGCATTCAATTCAGTAACGAATCGATTGCATGCAGTTTGAAATTTGAAAAACCTTTCAACAAGAATGCAAATCGAGCTGAGACTTTATTTGTGGCATATTACTTACACTAAATGCTTAATAAATTCAAACAGCAAAGTAGCTACAGACTGTGTATATAATTTACAACATGGGCAGTCTCCACTGTACAGCGCAACTAATACATAGAAACAAAAAATGGTGGCATGCAAGCGTTGCATTTACTACTATTTACTCGGCTTGGCTACCCGGGCTGACTGTTGTTGGCCCGGACTTTTGCGGTTGCTCTAACTGGCACAGCATATATACAGATATATATACAGATATATATACAGATATATATATATATATATATGCATAATGTCTTCCTGTTTGGCATGTGTGTGTGGGCGTCGTTTGCGTTGCTATACGCGCCATATACATACATATATATAGGGGGGCATATATATATATATATGTATAGATGTATATGTATGTATGTACATGCATAATAGAAAAGTTTTGCTTGCCAAATATTGGCCACGTCCGTAACGTAACGTGCCTGACCTGTCCTGCGCCTGGTCCAGCCCGAATGGCTGTTACATGTTGCCACAGGCCACAGAAATGCGCGCACTGAGACGCCATTTTGTGGCCAACACGTTTCCGGTCATGCATTTTCCAGTCTATAAAGAGGCGAACTGAACATGAACTGCTCTGAGTGCTCTAAGTCCTCTGAGCCACAATTACTTGGAAGCTGCGCATTAGCCAAGCATTGGCAAAATTAATCAGCAATTTAAAATTTGAAAAATAAAATGTAATCATTTTAATTGCATTCAGGACTGGCAGGGTCAAGTGTCACTGACCTTTTCTTTGGGGTGGTAAAGGGTAGGCGTGTGTGTGTATTATGTGTGTGTGTGTGTGTAAACTGTAGCTGGCTGTGTGGTTGTGTCTGTCGTTTGGCCGCCAATTCGATGCGATCTGGTCCAGCCGTAAGTTGCTTTTGAGCTTTCCAATGATGTGGTCCCATGCCACAAGCGGCAACGTAAACATTGTTAAATTATTGCCCCTCGCTTGCAACACCGCACGCACACGGAATGCGGCCAATGTATGTAAACATGACGGCCACCCCGTGTTGACTGTGTAAACGAATGATGAATGCATTGATCCAATTGAGCCCAGTGTAGCCAATTCCATGATATGAACTACTTGCTACTGCCACAAACCAACTACTACCGCCAACTAGCGCCACACGCAGCCGGTGGCATTGACGGCATCCGAGAATCTGGCCGGCAGCTAATTATTGCATATCAATGTAATTGCCGGCCAATTGGCACGTGTTCCTGGAAAAGGTGGCCAGATGCAATCGCAATCGGAATCGCAATCGGAATTGGAATTGGATTCGGATTCGGATTCGGAATTGGGTCGTTGATTTTTGGTGTATGCCATATTCTGCATTATTCATGAAAAGATATTTGAGTTGATTCACGGCAGCTGCTGATTCATTTTCAATTCACTTCAATTAACAAAAAGATTTATTTTATTTGCCTTTGAATGCATTTCGTAGAGGAATAATAAGATGAACTGCTCTCTTGCTAATTTCTCTTAATTTTCTACTTTTATAAAGCACCTTGTTCTGCACACGATTTCAATCAAATCAAATCAATATATCGATGCTAATGAGCAGTTGTGGATGCCACACGAGTTAAGTAGCCAAATGAAATGCTTGCTTATCAAGTTGGAAAGATTGAAGTCCTTCATTGTCATTGGACGCACATCAATAAATCAATTTGTATTTAATCACATCGAAGATGATGTGAAGGCGGCCAGCAATGCCACATTATCAATAATGCAAACCACATTTATGGACTGACCGATACGAGTTGTAGTGGGCATTTCCCTGGCTCATCAAGAATTTATAGGCCTAATGTGCGCCTAACGTGCCCCACAACAACAACAACAAAAGGGGTAAAGCAACTAACTGAAACTGAAACTGAAATCAATCAAATGTCTTGTCGGCTGCCCAATTGCCGGCCATCATTTGATGGCCAACAATTTGACCAGGCTTGCACATCACAACCAATAAATGGCTGCAGTTGGCATTTGAGTTATTTCCGAGTTGGAGTTGTTCGTTGGTTCGAGGTTAAAGGCTGAATGTTGAAGGTTGGTGGTTGATGGTTGATGGTTGTGCTCTCTGTGCTGCAATTGGCGACAAGCTGTGTACTATTGATTTTCTACATTCATTGGCATGCGTGTCACGCAGCTTGTCCCCCAACCCCACCCCAACCAGTCTTATGCCTCGAAGCTGGCCAGACACATGTACCTGTTTCTTTTTCCTTTCCATATCCTGGGCCCATTGTTTCCATCCAGACTTGGCCAGCATAATCACCACAATTTGTTATCAGTCACGCGTCGTTGTCGTTGTCGTTGTGGCTGTTGCAACACACCCCTAACCACCCACCTGCAAGACCACCCCTAATCTGTAGCACAACTGGCAGGCAGGCAAGGCGCATCTCATTGTTTTTTCCCTTTAAGCTGCGTTGTTTTCCGTGGCTGCTTTTGCATTTGAGCACTTCGTCCGCTTCCAAGTTGGCCAAGATGGGTTCAGTATGTACAGCAAATCCTATTATGGGCTATTGACTGAGCCAGCTACAGCGACAGCTCCACAGGCTTACAGTTATTTATGAGCTTTTCGGATTATGGCTTGACAAATCTCTGAAATTCGTGGACAAACTTCTGATTCCGACTGCAGATGAACTCAAAAACAATTTTTAATTTTTAATGCCACAACTATATGTGATAAGTTGCGTTAATTTTTCAGATTTAAAGATTACTGCATTTAGGAAAAAAAAACCCTTTTCAATGTTGTGCCCCACCCATTGAGCTAAGGATGTCAGTTTGTGCACTTGGCCTGAGAACGGGAATGGAAATCATCTTGGCTTAGCTGTGCCTTATCAAATTTCACTGTTGCAGTTTTCTTGGCTTGCCGGCTTTTATTCAATCGTTAGCCAGCTAACCCAGGCAGGGTGTGAAAATACGCTTTGGCTTGGCACCCGTTGAGGGTTGGGTTGAAGTCATTTTTTCCAAATAAAATACAATTTTCTTAAAGTGCTGCAGGTGCAAGCATCAAAAGCACAATTTCCATTTTGCCAACCACGCAAAATGAAACGAAAATTAATGTTGTATGTGGAGGAGGGGGATGGAAGATGTGTGGGCTTTAAGGGTGCCTTTTTATGGGTCCATGGCAGCATCTGATGGTAAACATTGGGCGCATGCTAATAATACGCCCACCAGCGAGGATACATTTTCTTATATCCATTCTATTTCTATTTGTATCTGTATCTGTTTCTGTATATGTATCTGTGTATCTTTATCTGTATCTGTGTATCTGTATGTGCAACAACAATGAAAGCCATCATCTATATTTAGTAGCGGCCTCGCTTGAATTGCCGGCCGCCAAAATATGGCCGACAACAAAAAGTTTTGGCCCACGCAAATAATTCAAGCGATGCGCTTCTCCTGATGTGGGTTTCAGGATGGTTTCCACCCACATATCTATATATATATATATGTATAGATATATACTCATATACCTGTAAAGCTATTTGAAACAGAATAGCTTTTAAGCACAACATGCGGCGATAGTTTGCTTTCGATATCTATCATAAATCTATCGATTTATTTGTTTTTGCAAACATTGAAAAGAAACAATAAAAATGAAATGATTGCCTTTGCTAACTGTAACTGTACTGTACAGCTAACTGTACATCCGCATGCTTTATGAATAAATGCGTATTAAAACACATAATTCGATAAGTGCACAATAATCGATAGTTCGATAACTTGCTGAACTCACAAAGCTTTTGTAAGTTTTCAGGCAAGTATAGCCCAAGAGAGCGTTGTGCATGAGAGGAGAGAAGGGAGAGAGGGAGAGGAGAGAAGAGAGAGGAGAGAGGAGACAGAGAGAGAGAGAGAGAGAGACGAGAGTAGAGAGAGAGAGAGCGAGAGAGAGAGACAGCGAGAGCGCCCACTCGAAAGTATGCTACATGTAAGGTTTGTGCAGCTGTTGTGTGTGTGTGGTGTGTGTGTGCGTGTGTGTGTGTGTGTGTGTATCTGTGTGTGTGTGACAGTAGCTGTTTGTTATTGTTGACACAAACGACCCTTAAAAGTCGTTTGTTGCAATTACCACGGCGTTTGGCAGGAAGCACAGCACTCGCAACACTTGGCATGTAATTGGCCACTTCATCAAGTGCCCGACGAGTGTTGCACAAATGTTGCTTCGTTGCTCAGGTTGCACATTTGTTATGTGCATTTTTGGTAACAAAGTAATTTCCTGTAAGTAACTTAACCCGCCCAGCCAACTGCCAACTGACTTGCTCGCAAAACAATTGAAATATTTGACGAATTTATTGCCAATTTGGTATATATTCCAATAAGGAATCCTTTATTCAAATATGCTCCAGATAGAAGCGTATTAAACCCGCTGCTAGCATCCCAAAGTGGGTATAAAGTGCAGCTGGGAAAAGCGCAGGCGCTCTCTCAGACTCAGACTCGGACTCGGACTCAGACTCAGAGTCACTTTGGGGACACAGCTGCCACTGTTGTTGTTTGTGCTGCTGGGAATGGAGACGGAGCCGGAGCCGGAGCTGGAGCTGGAGCGGCTATCTTCGTTCCCGTTGCGGCCTTGTCCTTATTTTTTGTGTTTGGCAACCAAATGCGAAATGCTCAACAGCAGCAGCAGCAGCAGAAGCAACAACAACAGTAGCCAAACAAATTTGCGCAGCATTTTCGTGTGCGCAACACACGCTCAGCTTCCCCTGTAAGTGTGTGTTGTGTGTGTGCGTGTGTGCGTGTGTGCGGGTGTGTTGTTGGTGTGCGTGTGTGTGCGTGTGTGTGTGTGCGTGTGTGTGCGTGTTTAGCAAATGTCAAAAATGCGTGCAGCACAACTAAAAACTAAATTTAATCGCCACGCAGCAGCAGCAGCAGCAGCGCCAACAACAGATTAACCAAAAATCAAAACAATCAAAGGCTTAATTAATTAATTAAAAACAATTACGGGCTTACGCTTAAATTAGTGCTGAGCAGCAAGCAAAATAAAGGCCAAAAGTGAATCAATTTGAGTGTCCGCCTAAAAGCATGCTATAAAAAATTCGCAGCTCCCGAAAAACACAAGCGAGTGCTTCAAGGCGACTCGTCGCCTCCCGCCTCCACCTCCACCTCCCCCCGCCCCTTGCTGTGACCACCTTTGCCCAATATTTGGGGCACTCCAAGCACGTTCAGTTGCTGTTGTTGTTGTTGTCGTGTGAGTTAGAGATATATTTGGCAGTGCAGCAAACAGTTTTAAACAAATACAAAAATGGATAAAATGCATTGCGCGCCAGCAATTTGCATTTGCGGTAAGCCCAACATCTTATCAAAATTTGTGTGTGTGTGTGTGTGTGTGTGTTTGCCACTAACAGGTGTTTGTGTGGAGCTCACACAGCTCAAGGAGTCACTTTTGGTTAACCACAAGCTTGGGCAGCATGACAAGCTGACAGCATTGCCATCTTGGCCAAAACGAGAGGCTTAAAACAAATTCAATTTGGTCATGCAGCTAAATGAAATATATAGATTAAAATATCATATAAATTAAATCAATTTGATAATATATGTATATATATATATATATCTGTATATATATATAACATTAATTGCAGATTCAGGTTGCATTGAAGCATTGCATTAATGTGCCGCAGGCTGCATACAAAATATCAAAGTTCAACTAAATCGAAGCTGCACGCACTCCCACACACACACACACACACATATATATATATATATATATAAATCGAAGCTGTACGCACTTGCCCATATATATATAGATATATATAGATTAAATCAGAGTGCTGCAAAATGCTAAAAGCGAGTAAAGCGCACATTTGGAGCGCCATTTTTTGCACTTGTTGTTTGTTTGAATTTTAGCAGGTGAAATGTTTGACCAGCGTATGTATGTATGTATATACATGCGTATCTCATGTGTGCATGTGTGTGTGTGTGTGTGTGTGTGCTGGTTGGGGTTGTGTTTGTTTGGCAGCGCGTAGGTGAACTCCTCTGCACATAAACATGGCCAAAGGTCAGCCTGCAGCATTACCAATTATATAGTTCATAGCCACATAAACACACATATATATATATCTATATATATATATATATATAGATACATCTGTGTAACAAGTGATTTGGCGTACATTATTATATATTATTGATGGCATTTTGCCAAATCGTTTGTCGCATGCAGGCCGATGCAAGTTTGGGCATGCATGAGCGGGAATACATACAGGAGTCGCTGAGCTATGTACTGCGCATCCAGGAGGTGCAGGAGCGCATCAAGTTTGAGTTTGTTGAGATACTCTTGGCTTTTATATCCGGCTGGCTAGTTTTCTATCACACCGCGCACGAGCAGGCCGAGGATCATCGCGACTATCTGCAGGATCTGAGGCATAAGGTCCAAAAGGTAAATCATTATTCGATTAATTTAATTCATTTCATTTTTACTATTTTCTTTTTGCTTTTGTTTGTTTGTCCGCCACAACAACAGACTCGTGAAAATTTTGAGGAAGCTCGCGAAAAGGTCACCGAACTAAAGACCAAGTACATGGAAAAGCGTACGGTAAATATATCTAACAAATGAATATATATATATAACAATTTCAATGCGAATATTAGTAATAATAATTGTTTTGTTTCGACAATTCCAGAAGTCCGAGGAGATTTTCACCAAACGTGGCTATCTGTTTTTGATGGAAAAGAGTAAGTTTGTGTGTGTGTGTGTGTGTGGATGATTTGTGTTAACCAGATGATCGTGACAATAGATTAATTCATTGGCAATGACAAACAGCATATAAATGAAGCCAACAGATTCATTTTCATCAAATATCTAAGAATGTTTGTTCATTGATCACACACACTGCTCACCAGCTAGCTCATTGCCAATGGGATATTAGCCTAGTGTCTATTAAATGTTGTCTAAATGAATGTTGTCTTATGCTTGATGCTTACTCAAATCTAACGTTGAATGTTTTGCTCTCTCCACGTTCACCCAACTGTCAAAACTATCAAAACTATCTCTATATACATCAAAAAAAACCAAAAAATTAATATAAAAAAATACACTTTTCACACATTTTTCCTGCACTAACACATTGCCAATATTTTGATGGGTCCGCTCTTATTGTGTGTATTTTTGTTTTTTATCTATTTCTCTATCCCGTCCTAACAAAAATAAATAAAAAATATCAAAAAACAAATCGAAAAAACATAATATCTACTTCGTATTTGGGCAATTCTGTGATATCTACCGTGTGCTTTTGGTGTCAACTGCAACATGTGACTGTGCAACCAAATTGAACCACCCAAACTGCTAAACTGCTAAACTGCCAAACTACAAATACCACCAACCAACCAATCCATCCACAATCAAAAAAAAAAAAAATACCACAACACTGATCTCCAACCAACCAAATCAACCAAACCAAACCAAACCAACCAACCTGCCTGTCAACTGCAAACCGAATTCTTAGGTTCCCTTCTGAAAATCTCACTTTTAGAGCCTTTCAAAGCAACATGGACGAAATACTATTGCACATTCAAGAAACAAAAGCGCGAGTTCACAATGCTCCAGTTCAATCAGATGAATCACAGTTTCACGCGACCCGAGGCCCGTGAGGACGAGAAGCTAACATTATTCTCATGCCAGCGTCGCGCCTCCGAGTTCGAGAAGAGATTCTGTTTCGATCTGACGTTCAAGGAGAAGCCGGGCATTGTCTACACATTTCAGGCGCTTAGCGAGAAGGATCATCGCTCCTGGCTGAGCGCCATGGATGGCACGGAGCCGGTAAGCATCGAATAAATACATACAATACAATAACTAAACATCATCAATCAATCAATCATTACAGACGTATCTGGTGCCGGGCAAAATGAAGGCCAATGAGGCCTATCAATTGGATGAGACTGGCTTCATGTTTGTGCGCCGCTGTATACAAATATTGGAGGGTCGCGGTCTCGAGGATGAGGGCATTTATCGCAAGAGCGGCGTCGGCACCAAAATCAACAAACTGCTTTCGCTTGGCATGGAGCGCAAGGAAACGGAGGATGTCTTCACCGATGACAAGTATCGGGATCTCATGGAGAGCAACACCATTGCCAGCGCCCTCAAAATGTATCTGCGCAATCTAAACGAGCCGCTGATGACCTATCACTATCACAGCGGCTTCATCGAGGCAGCCAGTAAGTCCACAAACCACAACACAATTCTCTGAGTTAAGCTAACCAATATCAATTACTGCCTGCTCCTCCTCACAGAGAAAGAGAGCCTCAATCAGCGCGTCAACGAGGTGCACAAGTTGGTCTACAAACTGCCGCAGCCAAACTTTGAAATGCTGGACATGGTCATCAGGCATTTGACTGAGTGAGTGTTGGCCCTGTCTCTCTGTCTGTCTGTCTGTCTGTCTGTCTCTCTGTGCAGAGTATCTCGATTCGATCTCCAATCGAAGATCGACACCTTTTATAGAGCATTATTGTAATTTTTTGAATCATAATCACTTTCAACGTTTTGCAGAGTCTCGCGCAAGTACGAGAAGAACAAAATGTCTGTGTTCAATTTGGGTGTGGTGTTTGGGCCAACACTGTTGCGTCCGCTGGAGGAGACGGTTGCCGCCATACTGGACATCAAGTTCAACAACATTGTCATTAACATACTCATCGAGAACTATGAGCGCATCTTCAAGAATGATCCCAGCAGCGGCGTGGCGGCGGCAGTGAATGCGGCTGTCACCGCTGCTAATCTGCATCCCAGCAGCACTAGTCCGCCGACGAGAATGCCACGCGCCTCCCAGGTGGGCAAGGCTGCCTCGACGGGTGGCGGTGGCGGTGGCAGTGTCGGCCGCAGCTCAATGTATTCGCCGCAACAGAAGGTGTACCGCGTATTGACGAAATCCACTTACCCGGAGTCGACCATCTCATCCAGCTTGCAGAATATTCCAAATGGCATGATCTATGCGCATGGGCCAGCCAGCGCAAGCAGCAGCACACCACCGGGTGGTGGTAGCGCTGGTGCCACCAATAGCAGCACAAATGGTGGCGCCACCTTGACAGTGCTATCGCATGCGACTAACGGTGCTCGGCCCGTTCAAATGGGCAGCATGAAGAACCTGCACGCGATGACGCAGAGCGACATCAGTGGACGTCGCACTGGAGCTGACACAGATGCGGCAGCTGCTGTTTATGGCATACTGGGCGGTGGCAGCGGTGGTGGTGGTGGCGGCGGCAGTGGCAGTGGCAATGGCACCGGCACAAACACAAATGGTGGCGCCGTATTGCAGGCCCATCATGCAACGCCGGCAACGGCGAGCAGCAATCTGCGGCATGCAGATTTTCTAATGGCCACGGCAACGCCGGTGGCACAGTCTGCCTCAAGCAGCCACATCTATACGAATGCCAGCAGCAATCGCCTCAGTTTGAACAATGTATCCCCGCCCACGGCTGCCATGCGCAAGGAGCGCCAGCTGCACACATCGGGCAGCAGCAGCGCCGTTTCTGCGAGCGGCCCACAACAGCATCCGCCTGTGCAGCGCAGCCCCTATGGCTATGGCCAGGCTAAGCATTATTCTCCGGTGGCAGCCGCTTCCACATCCAGCTCCAATGAGAGCGTCTGCGATTCACTCTCCTCCAACAATGGCCTGGGTGCCGGTGGTGGTGGGGCTGCTGTTGGTGCTGGAGGTGGTGGTGGTGGTGGTGGAGTTGGTGGCGGTGGTGGGGGTGGTGGTGGTGTTGGCGGCGCTGGCCTAATAAGTGGCGGCAGCAGTGCAAATGTGACGCGAATGTTAAACGCTCGCAGCTCGATCGATTATCCGCCAATCACATCGCAGGCATCGTCACTGTCCACGCTGCTTGGGTCCACCTGTGATGATATTGTTACGGCCACCGCGGCGCCATCGATGATCGGCGGCACTGGCGGCCTGGGCAGCCTCAGCGGCAGTGGCTCCACCAACGAGAGCGCCGACTATGCCCCAACCAAAATGCATCGCAATCGCGACATCACCCAAATCAAGCGGGATCTATCCGCGGGCACGGCGTAAGTAACAAGCAATTAAGTGACAATGAATCGATCAACTATATATATATATATATATAAATATATATGTTTATTTTTGTATGATTTAACTGCTCACAACATGTGATTGATTGATTGATTGATTTATGCTCAGATTGATACTGATTTGTTGTCTTTTCATTGCAGACGCGTCCGCACTTTATATGCCTGCATGGGCGAAAGCGAGGGCGAGCTATCCTTTGAGCCAAATCAGATAATAACAAATGGTAAGTGTGCCACACACACACACACACACACTGATTGATTGATTGATTGTTTCAATATGCTTATTAATGTCTCGTTCACAATTGCAGTGCGCTTCTCACACGAGCCGGGCTGGCTGCAGGGCACGCTGAATGGCAAGACGGGTCTGATACCCGCGAATTATGTGGAGCATCTAAAGCCATACCACTAGAGCATACCACATAGCATAGCTGTTTGCCGCTCCACACAATTCCCTCTCCACAGAGCACATACACACACACACACACACACACACTCTTTCCCCATAACTGCGTTTAGCCTAGTTGTGTAAGTCGCATTAGCCTAGGGCTCTACATGTGTAGTTCATAGAGCGCCATCCAAAATTCGCAACTGTAAAATTGTATAAAACTGAAACTGAAACTGAGAGAGGAAAACGCAACAGCGGCGCAAATAAAACTAATTCATAAGTGGATATAAATATGTATGTATATGTGCATACATATATATATCTATATATACATATTGCTTATTCTTATTTTTAATTTTAACTGTAGTCGTAAGCCTTATGTGAAGTGTTAAGTCTAAGCCATAAAAGCCACCAGTTTACTTTAGTAATGTACTGCAACCAATAACAACAGCAAACAAAACAAACAAACAACAAAGGAAATCGTTACGAATCATAGCTACAGCTCCAAGCAATATATATATATATATATATATATATTGTATTCAAAAGAAAAAAGGAAAACAGATACAATGTTAACGTGTTGGCGAACGAGACGCACAGAAAGCGGCAAACTTGAAAGTAAAGTAATCAATATGCAACTAAAACTATCTACATACTATATGCTTACCTATTTACTATATATATATATATACACAAACATATATATATATACCATATATATATATATATATATATATATATATATATATGTATATAAATACACTATAAAATACATTGAAAAGAAGTAAAGATGGGAAAGAACCCCCAAGTAACGGCAAAAGTTAATTAATTTATTGTTGTACGCTTGTATTTGTTGCTTAATTATAAACAAACTTTTTTTTTATTTGTATACCCTTAAATGTATATAATCTAATTATTAATGGAAAACAAACAAAAAAAAAAAAATGAATATATTTAACTGTACATTGTACACATTTGCATATGCGACGAAGGCAGGCAAAAAGTAGTAATTGAATATTTCCAAAAAAACAACAAAAAACAACAACAACAAAGCCCCCATTTTGTGAAAATTATTTTACAACTGAGTGTAAATCAGAAGCAAACAAAAAATGCATTTACAATTTTTGTAAACAATAAAACAACTAAATATGAGCGAAAAAACATACAATACAAAATTCAATTGGTTTGTGAGGCAGCAGGAGCAGCATTATTGCAATACGATAAGATCCTTGATCCTTTTCATAGCCGTGTATGTATGTACGTATGTATGTATGTATGTATGTATGTATGTATGTATGTATGTACGTATGTACTTATATATTTAGATCGGTACTCATAGAGTCGTCCATTTACTCGCTGGTACAGCACACAACCACAACCACAACACATTCCACAATGCTTATCCACAAATACAGCCAACAACATAATACTATATATATATATATATATATGTAGTATCTCTAATGGAACGTTTGCAGTGAAAGTATCAAAAAAAAAAAAACAAACTCGCTAAAACTAAAATTAAACTAACCATATCAAATGCACAACGGTAACTGTCAAGCAACTGCAAAAACAATTAAAGCCCGCATTATGAAAACCCACCAAAATGAAAATACATATTTAACATGAATATAACCCAAGCATTCCATTCAATACACACATCTTACACGATATTAATACCATATACATACATGTTTATCTTAACAAAATATTTTTGTTAACATGTTGCCAAAAATGAATAAAAACAAAACCTGCAAAACAAATTAATAATATAATAAATGCATATTTATAAAACATCAATATTACATAAATCCAATTGTTTTTTTTTTAAATCTTGATTCTTATGAGAAAAACGATAGAAAATTGATTGAGTGACTTAAATGCTCAGAATCGGTTGTTTGATCTGCAATTTTGCGCCGGGACTTAAGGGATCAGAAGGTATATGTATATGTCTATGTAAATACAAATCTAAACTTAAACAAGGATCAGTTTTTGGTACATTTGTACCACATGTGGAAATAGTAAATGCCAAATAAGCGATGAATGACTCGACTAGAACTGACTCGACTTGACTCACTTAATCGATATATCGGATTGAGTCACTGTTTAATCGACCAACCGCCAACATTTCGAGTTACTTATGGAAAAAGTACTAAAAATGCCATTATTGCCGAGCTAAATGTTTATTTAAACTGTTGCAAAGTTTGATCAATTTGACTTTTATTACTAACCACAAATAATTGTCTTTTTTTAATTCGATTTTGAAAATGTACACAGCATATTTGTAGTTGGGAGCTAGTTAGGAGTCGTCTTGTAGTGGAAAAACAATGGTCTTCAACTCGCCGTCAACTGCAATCACTTCATAGTGATACCCGTTTTTGATCGTTACCATGGCATGGGCCTTGAAGGGCACATTTATACAATTGAATCTGAAATTTGGGTATCTTGAGAGACCATAGAGCAGATCATAGCCCTCCGTTAATTTGCTTGTCCACACGGAAACCGTATCGAACTCGAGACCCTCTCGACGACAAAGCTTAACGGCTTCTTTTAAATTCCGAAACGTATTTATCGTTATAACAGCCGATGGCTTGTTGCCAAAATAGATTTGTGGAAAGTCCAAAACGACAATTGGTGATCTCGGTTTCATTCGACCATATAGCTTTTGCTTATCCGCCGGATCATATTCCTCAATTTTGATAGTCTTGCAATTCATTCGCTCAATCATTTTCAGTGTGTTCAAAAAATTTGGATGTGCAGCAATGCGCTCATCCATCAGCTCCATTCGGGCACGGATTTTGTATATCAATGTCTGACTCAATGGCTCCTGCACCAGTATGCTGGCCACAAGGCCCGTGCCAATGGGATGCTTAAGATCCCTGACAGCCGCTTCAATCACCTGATTAATATTGCCCGTCTCGAATAGTATGATTATTTGCGGGTCTACCCATTTCGTAAAGCTGCCATCGGGGGGATAGTTTTGAACATGGCGTTGCACCAAATGCGCATAGATATCATTGACGCCCTCGACGATATTTGGCAATCCCTTGAAGCGCGGCAAAATGTCACCTTCTGTATCCTTATCAGCCTGTCCGCCACCGGCTCCGTGCTCATCCATTCAGGCAGAGTGTAGCTCCCTATTTTCCAGGAAAATACTTGCTTTCAATTTATGTGACAAATGAGAAATGTGAAATGAGGCAAATTGAAAATGTAATGCATGAATGGAAAAAAGAAACTGCCACACATTGTCGACCGGGTAAAAAAGAAACTTTTCAGCCGGCTTCCGCTTCCTGGTCAACATGTGTACACAATCATAATTAAAATACTTTCACTGCTCAAAGTTGCCATTCACCGGAAAACGCGGACAGACAGGAGGACAGATTGGTGGTGAGTTTGCGTCATCCCTTACACTTCCGGGCATAATAGCTTTATCATTCGTTTAAAAAAGGCTCTCCGCGTGCAAATTAGAATCTCCTTCTTTTTATATATCATTTTTGATAGCCATATGAAAATATTTACCGGAAATCCTTGGCATTTGCTGAAATTTACTGGAAAAAGTTTAGTTTCCCTCAGTAGCATAATTTGTTTCTTTGAACCTATTTTAGGTGATTGGTATTTTATTTGTGAAAATCTAGCGAACTTATTTCTATGTAGCAAGAGTATTCCAGCCGAGGCTCGCCACTTGAACTTGCGTTCCTTTTATACGCGTTGACATTCAATAGGTTGCTCGCAGCTGCGACTTCGTTGTTGCTCTCGTCCATTTGCAAGCGGAAGAGAAATTCCATGTACGTGTGTGTGTGTGTGTGTTTGTGTGTATGAGGAAGTCCTTGTGTGAGTATATAAATAGACGAGCGGTCCTCAGGATTCGCCAACATTGCGGGTTTTGCTTCGCAGTTGTGCGTCTCGGCTACGCAGGACGATAAATAATATTTGGCTATAAAAATTACGCAGCTTTGCAAATCAGTTTATAAAAGTTAACAGTTCAGAGTTGTTTTCGTTCTTGACCCCACTTAAAAAACACGCATATATATTTATATATATTTATACACATACATACATATATATAAAAAGAAATGCGAAGCCAATAGGACAGGGAGCACAATATGGATATGTCGGGCTATCAGGATATTAGTGCCCTGGAAAAATCGGTAAGCAAGAAAAGTCTATGTACTTAACTGAAAGGAAATTGGCAAGTTGGCTGATTTTTTTTCTTGAATTTAGGTGGCCAATGCTGGCACGCAGCTTTATACGATGACCCACAAGCTGCATGCCGTGGAGCGTAGCTTGGATCGAACGGCAATGGAGGAAATGGATGACATGGAGGTGATGGAGCTGCTCGAGTCCATGACCGAGGTAACGCACGAATATCAGAATCTGCGCAAGGACATACAGGAGGTGCAGCAGTTGCAGCGTGACGTCAGCACTTCAATACGCTACCAGATGAGCAGCATGCAGCAAACATTTCAAATGTTAAAAAAACGCATCGCCAGCTCCCAGCAGCGACGACAAAGGAACAAAACGGTAGCCCAGCCTGAGGAGCACTGAAAACTCAACTCAAATGCTAGATTGTGTAGTGTAGTGTAGTGTATAGTTGTATATGTGTGTGTGTGAGTGTGTGTGTGTGAGGGAGTAGGGCATTAGCTGATTCCAGCAGGCAACTTATGCATTTTTTATGATTTAATTTAGCAAACAGTCACAGAGAGCATATAAGTTTGGCAATCAAATTTGTGTTCCATATATATATTTTGTAGATCAGTCAAATTTCGCTCCTTTTTGGTATTAGTTTCATAGTTCTGTACAGATTAGTACTTTTGTCGAAATCGGCCAGATTTTTCTATTATACAAATGTAATGTAATATAACGGGAGGTCAACAATTGAGTGATTTAATAGAAAATTGTTTTGGTTTTTCCAAATACTACTTTTGACAACAACTTACCACAATCGAACTACTAAAACATAGATATAGAATGCATAGAAATTAGAAAATGCATAGATTTACCAAAGGCTTGTCGAAATTCTGGTCACATTCTCGAAAAATCGCCCGAAAATTGAATTGTGAATTATAATTATAGAATTATGCGAGGAAGGGTATTCAAAAATCGCTATTCCGAACAGCAATTATTGTTTGTTATGGTTTCAATTGAATTTGCATGCGTTGCTTAAGATAATTGCACTTAATTGCTGCATAAATAGTTAATGAGTGAAAGTATTCTGAGTGGAAATCGAACAAACAAACCGACCTAAAACCTAATTTAACTTAGGCACTTAACTTGAAATCGTGTCAAATTGTGAAAATTGTGGAAACCAATATTGTTTTTTTTTTGTATTTATACCATCAAATATGTCTAAGCAATCAAATAAGAGTGGACTACCAACAACAATATCAAAAGTAACACCAAAGCTTTTTATACTCAATGCGAAAATCCTAAATGAAAACATACCTATACTCGTAATTATACTCTACAAACTCGTACATATTCGTAGTAAATGCATTTTACACTGAAACTCTAAATACTTTATGAAGCAAATCCAAATGTCTGATACCATTTTGAAAAGAGTGCACTTTTTCACAAAAAAAAAACAAAATTTGCCTTAACATAATAACCATATTATACCAATTTTTGATATATACACATTTTAATATAGAACTTTTCGCTTATCATTTGTATTACAATGATAAACAAACGCAATCTTTTTCGTTTTTATATTTTATATATTTGTTGTTATTAAATTGTATAAGTAATCAAAATATAAAAAGACAGCACATTGAACAACAACAATTTAAATCGTTTAAATTCGCGCCAACAGTCAATAGACATTTCGATACACACGATACTTCGATATATTGCCTGCTCAGTCGATAGGCGCAGCAAGCAACACTAGCAAACGACAACAATAGTATCGATAGTCTTGGGAATTCTTTATAGGCACTACGTCGCGGTCGTTTCGCACTTTGGCTTTATACATATCGTAAAGGTTGTGTTTTTATTTGATTCAGTTGCATTTAACTTGGTGTCCTTTCCGATAATTTGCCAGCTAGTGATATTAATTAGTGCAGTGTACCCGCGTGTGTGTGAGTGTGTGTGTGCAGTGTGAGCCTCTTACGGGTAAGTTAAGAGCGGCTCTCGGGTGCACGTCATCATCAAGCCAGTGCAAAAGAAATCACTCAAATAACAACAAAAAAATAAAATAGGAAGAATAAAACGAGATAACAACATTGCTGAATTTCGCATCACCTGTTTAAATAACACGAAATTGCCATCGGAAATTGCCATTTGGTGTTGTTGCTTTTGCGTATCGGAATCGGGGAAAAAGTGTCCACATTGCAATTATCGAGTAGTGCAACAAGTGCTTGCGATCTCGCTCACACACACGGCGCGCGCGCCTGCGCATCCGCCTTTCTTTTATTCGTTCTTACGTTATTTACGTTGCTTACGTGTCGCGTCGCAAAATGTACGTCTCTGCTTACGTATTTGCTGTTGCATTTATGTGCCTTACTGCAGCCACTCCCACTCCCAGTCCCACTTCCACACCCATATCCACATCCCGCCCCGCTACCGCCCACGTCGAAGTTGTCGCTGAAGCGGAGAGCTTTCTGGATAATGCACATTATCAGAATAATGAGGAGATCGGCGAACTCTTCCAGAGTCTTGCCAGGGATTATCCGACGCTCGCCCAAACCTATACCATAGGCCGCACCATACAGGGTCGTCCGCTGCACGCCCTCGCTCTAAATGCGCCCACGGCCACGCCAACGCCCACAAGCGATGGCAGTCATGGCATCAGCGGGAACGATGGTGATCTCCTGCGTCCCATGGTCAAATTGGTGGCTAACATACAAGGCGACGAGACGTTGGGCCGACAAATAGTACTCTATATGGCTGAGTATTTGGCCAGCAGCTATGAGGCGAATCCGGAGGTGCAGAAACTGTTAAATACAACGGAAATACATTTTTTGCCCAGCTGCAATCCGGATGGATTTGCCGCCGCAAAGGTGAGTCAGCATATCAGTCATATATATATATTTAGATATAGTTTTGTTACTCCAATGAGCTGAAACACTCCCATCTCTGGTTGGACTAGATCGAATGAGAATTGCTATCGAATTAGAATCGCTGTAGAAAACTTTCCCCCTTTTTTAAATAAATGATTTCATATTTGTGCTCTGTGTGTCTGTGTCTGTGTGTGTGTGAGAGAAATTCATTTTTCTCACTCTGTTGTTGTCTGAATCTTATGAATCCACTGTGGACGGCTGTGCTGCTGTCATTGTTGTTGTTGTTGTTGTTGTTGCTTCTGTTGTCTTCTCCTCAATCATATTGTGAGCGTTTTGAGGAGTCGTCACCTTCTGATTCCCTTTCACAACCGACTCGGAAATCACACTGAAAACCAACTGGCGGCATTCGTAGCTGCGTGGAGAGATCAGTGGTAAAATGAGTTAACAGCTGAACTAAATAAATATTTCGCGCAGTTTTTTTTTGTGTAACTTGTTTTAGGTCAGCGCAACACGATCAACTAATTAACATCTAAAGATCACCACACAGCTAAGTGCTTATGTACATATTATTGTACATATTTATGAATCAAGTGATCTCCGAGTGATCCACTTGAGAGCTCTTCATTTTGATAAGCAACAATTACGAGAAGTACTCTTTAATACGTTTTCCAAACACTTTGAAATCAAAATTGGCTCCTTGAAAATATTGAGATAAAGTTGCGAAATCATTGCCTCAACTAACTACTTGGTCACAGTTTTATTGTTATGACAGCAAGAACGGGCTTCGGGCTTAATTCTTATTTGCATTTAATTCGAATCTAAAATTTACATATTTCTAATGAAACAATGTTCTCTCTCAATATACGTTCAATGCGATTGGTTGTTGACTTCGACTGACGATTCCAATTGCAATTCATTCAGAAAAGTCTGATTTTTTTTAATTGTTGCAAGTGATTTAATGGACCAGAGTTGTCCGACTAGATTTCAGTAAGCAATTAAGTTGCCAGCGTCGTTTGCAATTCATGAATTAGCTCTGAATTCAAATTTAAATTTCGTGTGAATGATTGGAAATACTATCACCAATATCAAGCTATGGATAAAATGCCAGGGCACGAACTGGAATATGATTCGTTATGTTGAACGTTGCACAGATTGTGTTTCTGTCTTGTTTAACACGTACGTAACACAACGAGACACTTAATCCATTCGCAATTTACTTTCATCATACAGTTTCACTCACTCGTACACCCAATATCAATAACAACGCATTAAACGTAATCCAAAACCAAACCAAACACTGCATAATAATAAAGTTCCAGTCGAATTCACTTGGCATCGTTCAAATTTATAATCAAATATGTATGATCTATGTTATTGCCACTCACAGACTCATCTCATCCTTGACATATGTTGCCATACTCTATGTTCGTTACTCGGCTGATCCCAGAACACAGCACACCCAAACATTGTCGCCTCTCGGCCATATCGCATTTTGGTCTTTGTGGCTGTTTGTGTTTTATGCTTACCCTATGCTTGACTGATTTTGTTTTGATATTGTCATGAAATGTGTTACGCTTTGGTGATTACCATATCAAGTAGCTTTCTTTGGACTGATTGATTGACTGACTGATTAATTGATTGAGTGGTAAATGTGTTAATGTGTACGGACAACTTATCCGCTCTTACACATGTATATCAATTAAATACTATATTCATATCGTTATCTAACAAAACAACTACAAGTTTAAGTAGAGAGAATTGTTGAACTTTATTAGAGTATTTCAGCTTCTGTTTGCAGTTCATATCATACTTTTTTATACTTATAATAGAAGTGTTTTATTTATGGACCACTAATAGCGGGGCCATTAAGGCTTCGCTAGTGGCTTTCAATCGCAGCTGCCATATCTTATCGCAATATCGAATTGGATTACGGTCTTAAACCTTATGCTCGCCGGAGCATTCTCTGCTCCCCCGACTTTCGCTTGAAGAGAGGGAAGTGTTTCGGTTGGCGTCATGACCTTTCAATGGCTGCCTGATTAGATTAGCGCCAGTGCGCTGTGCCTACACAAATTGGCCATAACGATTTGTTGTCTTGGCAGTTTTATGACAGCCGCGTCTATAAAGGCTTCAATATTACTTCATATTGGGTGTGTGGTAATCTCGTTGCCGCTGACGTCATGACGTGTTGCAAGTATCGATAATTACATGTACTACACATAAACTGATACATATGTATATATGTATGTATGTGTATGCATTTATGCGAAACTGGTTTAGGTGGCAACAGCAGCGCCGCTAGTACATATGTATATATATCCATACATACATATATACGTCAATGCTGATGACGATATCTCGATAACTGTTTCTGACTAATTAAACATAAAAAACAAATCATGAACCGGTTTTATTTCTTCAAGTGTCCAAGAATGCGTAGAAAAATATAATTCAACTGTTAACCTACATTTAACAATAATTCCTGCTATTTTCTAGAGCTAATCTTGATAATATTTTGGAGCTTATAATGCATATCTAACATGACAATTGGAAATCATCTATAAAGTATTTATTAAAATACCATATGTGCACATATACAAATCCATATAGTATCTTTGCTGGTTTCCTATTAACTGATTTTCTGATCGTAAATGACGTAAATGACTTATGTACATAGAAATGTAGGTCAAGAGTTAAGAGTTTAGCACAATGGGGCATGGTATCTGTGTTGATATTTGAATTGTGCTGCGACCAAAAGAATTGCTTGAGTAGAAGGCAAACATTAACACAGAAATATGAATTTTGCGCAAATTGGTTTACTATTAGAACGACCATTGATTTCCAGCTAATGACAGCTCGAACTCATCTCGTTATGAGCTGAAAAGCTGACATTTTGGGTCAGCAAGTTGATTTCGCCGTGTAAAATTGATAACGATAAACTTTGGCATTATTACTGCTGGAAAACACAAACAGCTGCGACGTTTTCGACGTGTCGATTCAAAGCAACAGCAGTGCACTTGATAAGAACGCAAAGCCCGCTCTTTCCAGCTCCCTCTCCCACACTCTCTCTCTCTCCCACTCGCTCTCTCTATCTCTGCCTTGTGTGTTTTTGTGTGCGGCCCACGCATTACGTCGCTGTGACGTCACTAGACGTATGTACAACGTATCGATTTTTATATAAATGTTTGTGTGTCCTTTTTGCAAGTGCTGACATTTGTGACGCGTGCGTGGGCATTAACGACGCTTCAAACAGAGCGCAGCGCAGCGCTGCTGGCTTGCGTACTCTCAGCGGCTATCTTCTGCTGGCTATGTGCAGTGGTGGCGCGCTCTCCTTGACTGGCTTGCGCAGGCGCGTGATTTGCATCTGGCAATGCCGCCCTCGCACCGCACACCGCACGCCGACTGGGCGATAACAGAAACATATTGTTGCGAATAATGTGTAATGCCAACAATAAAGATAAACGAAATTAAACCAAATTGATAACTATTAATTTGTATTTGAGCTAAAATTATAACAAATAATCATAATAAAAATATACAAAAAAAAAGTCGTGACTGACGAAGCCAAAGCAAAAGCATGAGCGATATCACTCGTTCGCTCTCTCTCTCTCTCTCTCTCACACGCACACTGTCTCTCTCGGATGTGTAATTTCCCCACAATAAACGCACGTCGTCGCTCTCAAGAGCGGCGACGGCAGCAGCGACGCCGACAGCAGCATTCGGGACAGCGGGCGGGCAGCACGCGCTTAAGGCCAATCAACGAAACAAATTTTCAAACAGTACATATTTTGAAGCTGAACCGAACCGAACCGAAGCGCAGCGCAGCAAGTGGGGAGCTCTGGTGCCTGCTGCACAACGCCAACAAACGAACGCTGAGGCACGCGGCCCTCAAAGCCTAAGCTCGCATCTCGCATCAATTTGCACGCCAGTGATAACTAACAGCGACAACCATCCAGGTTAACGGTTAACCAACCAACCATCAGTAGCGATCCAAAATGCATGGAATATGGACGCTTTGTTGTCTGGTCGTGCCACTGTCGCTAATTGTCGCCGTCAATGGCTATATCATCAAGGAGGATGAAAGCTTCCTGCAGCAGCCGCACTACACCAGCCAGGAGCAGCTGGAGGATCTGTTCGCCCGACTGGCCAAAGCGTATCCGGAACAGGCGCGGGTGCATACGCTCGGCCGCTCGCTGAACGGTCGCAATCTGTTGGCACTGCAAATAACGCGCAACACGCGCGAACGTCCGCTGTTGACGCCGCCCGTCAAATACGTTGCCAACATGCATGGCGATGAGACTGTCGGCCGACAGCTGCTCGTCTATTTGGCCCAATATCTGCTGGGCAATTATGAGCGCAGCTTCGAAGTGGGCCAGCTTGTCAATGCCACCGACATTTATCTAATGCCCACCATGAATCCCGATGGGTATGCTCTGTCACAGGTATGTCCATCCATCCAAGCGTCCGTCTCTTCGTCCGTCACCTGTTTGCGTTGAGTGTTTGTGTTATTTTGGTTTTAGTTGGTGTTTTTTTTGTTTGTTTTTTTTTTTTTGGTAGAAAAATCGATATGCTTTGCAATTTCAGACTGCGTTTACAGAATTTTCGATGCCTGCTGCTGCGCACTTGCGTTCTGATTGCGTTAGGCACAATTGCCTCTCCCTCTCTTTCTCTCTCTCTCCACACTTGCACTCTCGTTCACTCTCTCCCTATCTCCATCACTATCTCCCTCTTTCCCCACGGGCGCGCCTGATTGTTGTTGACATATTGCAAAGCTTGTTGCTTTTTTGCTTGTTTTTTTTTTTATTACCCGTTGAGCTCTAGTAAACACACACACACACACAGGCGTAACTGAAGTTTATATGTATGTGTAAGTTCTGTGATTACGCTTTCGATATTCATTCTGTTCATTTAGTATTTTCAATCGAATTGCCTTCCACTCAATTAGCGAAGCACACTGTGCCCATTGATATTCTTCATTCTCTCTTCTAACATTTGCAATAATCCAAAAACTCATTACACGCATCCATTGAATGTTTAATTATATTTTTGCTTCAGCAGACTGCCATATTTAAACAAGTCGAGCAGTTAATTTTGATCAAGCTCAGGATTCATTAACCAGCTGCGCAGTATTCCCATAATCATTTCGCATTTTGAGTGCAGACTTAAACGAAATCCCACCAACTTTTAAAAATGCATTGCAGTTTGACCAACTAAAAAAAAAAACAACATATTGTTTTGCAACTGAAATCTCGACTCTGCAGAATGTCAGCAGCGATTAACAGCTTCGCAATGTGTGAATGTAATGGAATTTCCCCTGACACCGCCTGAGCAGGGAATTTTTTGTTTTGCTTTTGCTTTTGAGAGCGCCACTTTACGTGATCGACCATTGTGACTAAACACACACGCATGTGCATGTGTGTGTGTGCGTCTGTGGATTTATTCTGTATGAGCACATGTAATTAAACTGTTTATTTATGCAACAGAGCTGCGCCAATTCTCTCTCTCTGTCTCTCCCCCATCATTTTAATAACAGTTGACTTTTGGCATATGTCCACTGATTGTAAGCTGATCCAGTTTGATTCGCATTGGAGTAGAACTTGCTGTAATTGTTGTAACCTGATTTCACTCGCGCCATACTGCGACTGCTCCCTGCCTCACTCTTCTGCTGTATTTTGCCCATGTCTATCTATGAGCATATTGTGTTGATAATCCATAAGCTGTTGCAACACAACAGGTGATTACCTGACTGTCATATTAAAGACATATTTGGTAAACTCTTTAAACCGCGGGCGCTGTCTGAATGCTAAATTGCTCGACAGTAATAATTCACGTAATCATTGAAATATAATGTGGCAACCCTCAAATTAACTCTGTCTCTCTTTCTCTCTCTCTCTCTCTCTGCTGCAGGAGGGCAACTGCGAATCGCTGCCACATTATGTGGGACGCGGCAATGCGGCTGGCATCGACCTAAATCGCGACTTTCCGGACCGCCTCGAGCAGCAGCATGTGAATCAGCTGCGCGCGCAGTCGCGTCAACCGGAAACGGCAGCCCTCGCCGAATGGATTGTGAGTAAGCCGTTTGTGCTCTCGGCCAATTTTCATGGCGGCGCCGTCGTTGCCAGCTATCCCTATGATAATTCAGTGTAAGTACTTTCAATTTGTGCAACACCAACACACACTTGCAACCTCACTTTCTTTGGTCTATGAAAATGCCTTAATTTGAAAATTTTATTGAGTTATTCATGAATGTATTCCATGAAATTTATTTGTTCAGATGGATATGGAAATGTTCATGCAGATATTTGTTATATTTGTAATAAGTAGCATTTTTAGAATTAAAAAAGAAAAAAAATAATTAATCTTTTTCATATTTTGTTGCTACTTTGTCTTTTTATGAAATACTTTGGAAACATTTTGTAGTTTTGCTTGATTTTTATATACTTACCGCTGGCTAGGTTCTAATCGAGTCAAATCCTGATCATTAATGTTGATTGCAGATCCCACAACGATTGCTGCGAGGAGAGTCTTACGCCGGACGATCTCGTCTTCAAGCAGCTGGCACACACATATTCCGACAATCATCCGATAATGCGACGTGGCAACAATTGCAATGACACCTTCGCTGGCGGCATTACCAACGGGGCCAACTGGTATGAGCTGTCGGGTGGCATGCAAGATTTTAATTATGCATTCAGCAATTGCTTCGAGCTGACCATCGAATTGTCCTGCTGCAAATATCCGCCAGCGAGCAGCTTGCCAGACGAATGGGCGCGCAATAAGCGGCCGCTGATGCAGTTGCTCAAGCAGGCGCACATTGGCATCAAGGGTCTGGTGCAGGATGCCAGCGGCTATCCGATACCGGATGCAACCATCATTGTCTCCGGACTGGAGGATAAGCCCATACGCACCTCAAAGCGTGGCGAGTACTGGCGCCTGCTCACGCCCGGCATTTACAGCGTTACTGCGGCGGCCTTTGGGTGAGACGCAGAGCACTGCGAGATTAATACACAAATAGCACAAGACCAATCAAACTAAATAACTATCTCTCTTTGTACGGTTTTTAGTTACCAATCGAACGCCCCGCTGGAGTTGCATGTAACCAATGAGAATGCGGAGGCGATGCGAGTCGACTTCAAACTATCGCCCGTCGAAAGCAATTTTGATGGTATTAGCAGTTATTACAATCCATACTTTTTTAGGCATTAAACGGGCGCATTACAACCACTGCAACCACTGCAAGCAATGCAACCAATGCAACCACTGCAACCACCACCAGCACCACCACCACCCATCGGTTTTATTGTCAACAAAACAAGTTGAAGCATAGTTTAGCTCTCCGCAACTAACACATCTTGTGCCACGCCAAATGCATCTTACGCCTACATATTCTAACACTTCAACACACGCAGCACACTTTTGCTATTTTCATTTTTACATATATATTTTGATTGTATATTTTTCATCAATTTATTCTGTTTTTGACTTCATGCTCTCACTCATGCTCTCTCCCTCATACTCATACATTGCATACACACATTTGTTATTTTGTGGTTTTGTTTATTGTACATTTCGTTTTCTTATGCATTGTTAGTTTTAATTATTAACTCATCCACTCATTTTGTAGAACATGCACTTTGCTCGACTGCCAGCAGCATTTTAAGTTAATCACTCTCTCACTCTAATTATCTCTATGTCTCCGACATGGTCTGACACCCCCTCAAATTGAATATTGATTGATGGAGAAAGAATCAAATTTAATTTGTACATACTTACAACTAGGTATCTCAAAGGAGTGTTCTACTTCACGAGCCTTCAATGACCTAAACACGCACACGCGTCCCCTTCTCTCCTCTCTCTCTCTCTCCATCCTTCTCCCTCTCTGGATATCTCCCTCTCTCTCTGGCTTTATCTCAACTTTATATACATATGCATAGATATATTTAGCGGCTTACTTAGATGACGGCAAAAACCATGTGTAAAAATTATATATAATCGCAACTATATAAACTAACAAACTACTATATATAACCATATATCTATATACATATATATAAATAGACACACATATATATAAATATATATATATACATATATCTATATATATATATATATATGTACCATATGGTAACTGAAGATTGTTAAACATTTTTTTGTTTCCCGCCAGCGTGTCCAAGAACGAACGTCTGAAACATTGTTAACAAATAATACATATATAAATATAATTATAAAGAATGACAAATAATGACAAAAGCACAAAATCGAACAAAATAGTAATAAACATGAACACAAATATAATTAATAATGGCATAGAGAAAAACTGAATCAAAACAAAAAAAAGAAAATTATCTTTGCTAACTTTGCAAAATAAAAGTTATTATTTTTGTGTAGTGCGTTTTATTTTTATTGAAGAGCATTCATGTTTATAATAAACCCAATTCACTTTCTCAAAAATATAGTTAATACACAAAAACCTGGTGTTTGTTATCCGTTTTTTAGTGATCCTGCGAATATAGTATTATATATATATATATATATATATTTCGTAATTGATGTCAATTCCCTTACGATATGTACCATATTTGATGTACGGTGGACGCTGGCCAGCAGGAACGCGTCCTATTTGAGTCATATTTTCTATGCTCCAATGATTTCAATTAAACAATTATTAAAAATTCTTTTCTAAAGGGTTTAAATTAAATATAAAAAAATATATATATATGTATTGTCGCTAAAAAAAATATTAATATTAAATTTCGATCAGAAATGCAAATTTGAAGCTCTTTTAAATGTTCAAGCCTTCACTGTATAGACTGTATACATATATTTACAATATATTCAATTAATATTGCTTTATCACTGAAGTTGAAGTTATGTTTATATGGAACAAAAAAGATATTTTAATATAAATTAAGTTTTAAATAATATGTGTATGAACAAGACAATTATAACTCAGGGCTTGTGTCTGATTTGCTTGTGAACTCGGTCTAACGTTTTATCTCAAACTAAGTACAAATTTATTTCTGCTCTCTCTCTCGTTTAAATAAATATATAAAATCAAATAAAATAAATATTCATTGAAAGCAAACCCATTTTAATTAATTCATTGCTGCGGCGCCTGGCTCAAATTGTTACTCTTAAGCATGTCGAGATATACATTTAATTGGCTTTGATTTTTTCTAGATTTATTATTTTCTTTTACCTATTTTTTATATTTATTTTGTATGGTTTTTTGCTTAAATCCTGGTTGCCTTCATCAATAAGTTTTATCGCTTCATTTTTATTTTGGTTTTGGCTTTGCTTATTGATCCGCTACTTCGCCCATTTTATTTTCGGTTTCTTTTTTGGTTTTCCCAAGGTTGTATTTAACATATAAGAACTATTTTCTCTTGTGCAGGCAACTTTCGCAAACAGAAAGTGGAGCGCGCTGAGCCGCCCGAGAAGCTAAAGGAGGATTACGATGGCTTTTTAACACCCACCAAATTCGAGCATCACAATTATGCCGCAATGGAGAGGTGAGTTAAAGTAACCATCAAGAATGTATTCTTTATAATTAGAATACATTTAGATTCAAACATATATTCTCGACTCACGTTTCGTACTTGAGTGAAGTACATCCTGGTCGAGATCTTTTTCTCTATCTATGTTTAGACTGGAGCATTCATATAATTCATTCATTTCTTGTTTTAGTTATCTGAGGAATATGCGTGCCAGTTACCCGACATTGACAAACCTCTACAGCATTGGGAAGAGCGTGGAGGGCAGGGATTTGTGGGTGCTGGAGATATCGACCACACCAGGTGCACATGTGCCGGGTGTGCCGGAGTTCAAGTATGTGGCCAATATGCATGGCAATGAGGTCGTTGGCAAGGAGATGCTGCTCCTGCTCACCAAATATATGCTGGAGCGTTATGGCAACGATGAGCGCATCACACGGCTGGTAAATGGTACTCGGATCCATATGCTCTACAGCATGAATCCGGATGGTTATGAGGTATCCCGGGAGGGTGATCGGACCAGTGGTCTGGGTCGCCCCAATGCCCATCTGGTTGATTTGAATCGAAATTTTCCGGATCAATATGGCACGGATAAGTTCAATAAGGTTACCGAACCGGAGGTGGCTGCCGTCATGAACTGGACGCTCTCATTGCCATTTGTGCTATCGGCGAATCTGCACGGCGGCTCCCTGGTGGCCAATTATCCATTCGATGACAACGAGAATGACTTTAATGATCCGTATTCGCGTCTGCGAGATGCCAGCATCAGTGGACGCAAACTGAATCCCACCGAGGACAATGAACTGTTCCGCCATTTGGCACTGACCTATTCACGCGCCCATCCCACTATGCATCAGGGCAAGCCGTGTCCCCTATTCCAGAACGAGCATTTCGTCGATGGCATTACGAATGGCGCCCAGTGGTATAGTGTGACGGGTGGCATGCAGGATTGGAATTATGTACGTGCCGGCTGCATGGAGCTGACCATTGAAATGGGCTGCGACAAGTATCCAATGGCCAAGGAGCTGCCTGACTATTGGCGTGACAATCGCGAGCCAATGCTGCAGCTCATCGAGCAGGTGCATCATGGCATCTATGGCTTCGTTCGCAGCTCGATTGGCACACCGATAGCGGGCGCCGCTATCGGATTGGATGGCGGCAATCATACAACGTTTAGTGGCACATTCGGCGACTATTATAAACTGGCGCTGCCTGGACGCCACAATCTTACCGTCTTGGCCGATGGCTTTGCACCATTGCGGGTGGAGGTCGAGGTTCCCGATGCGGAGCCATTTGGCAAGCGAAACCCAGTCACCCTGATGCGCGATGATCCCCAGCATTGGGCCTCTGCCAATGATTTTCGCATCATCGAGAATGTGGTCAATACCAGATATCACACAAATGCCGAGGTGCGCCAGCGGTTCGCCGAACTGGAGACTCAGAATGCCCAAATCGCCAGTTTTGGTTATGCGGACAACGAGTTCAGTCAGCACTTCAATTACCTCAAGCTTACCTCCAATGTGAGTAAACATGGATTATTTACTAAATTTCATCTACTATTTTGAATACCTCACTTCCGACTTGCGACTTCTTTCATTTAATCTATCTAATCTGTATACCTTCATCATGTATCCTTCTTTTCATTCTCTCCATAGATTGGCGAACCGGAGGAGCACAAGTATAAGCTGCTGGTGATTAGTTCGATGTTCGACACAACTGCGCCATTGGGGCGGGAGATAATGTTGAATCTGGTGCGTCATCTGATCGAGGGCCATAAACTGCAGGATGTATCCGTGGTGCAGTTGCTTCGGCGAAGTGTTATCTACTTTCTGCCGCACATGGAGAAATTTAACGATATCTTCACCATGTACAATGCCAAGTATGTTCGAATCATTCCCAAAACTCATGAATTTCTCAAAAAATAAACCACATGCTAAATTCGTTTCCATAGCAACTCGATCTGTGATCCGATGATGCCGGATGAGCTGGCCGAGCGCTTACTCAGCCCGGAGACGGAGACCACGAGAGATTTGTTGCTGCAGTTCCTACAGAACGAACGTTTCGATTTAATGCTGACCTTCTCGGCGGGCAGTTCCGATCTTAGCTACCCACGAGGTGATTCGATATTAGAGAAATTCGCGCACAGCATACGGCAAACGGAGTTCAACTATTCGCCGCTGCAGTGCAGCAGCTCGGCGACTCGGCAGCTGCATAGCGAGACAACGGAACGACTGACAAACCTGCTCCATAAAATGTACAAAATACCGATGTATACGTTGGGATTGTCGTGCTGCCGCATGCCAGGGAACGCACACATTGCCTCCGTGTGGCGCACCAACATGGAGAAGATCAAGAATTTCTTCGGTCTCGTCCAGACGGGCATCAGTGGACTGGTGCAGAACGACAAGGGTCAGCCATTGCGTGAGGCATTCGTTAAGATGCTGGAACATTCCTCGGTCTACAATGTGACGAGGAATGCGGCACGCTTCCAATTGATGCTGCCGAAGGGCCTCTATGGGTTGGAGGTGAGTGCACCCAACCACGAGTCGCAGATAATCAAGACGCACGTCCAGCATGGCATCATCAACGATCTCGGTGTCATCAAGCTGCACAGCTTCACACTGATTAAGGGCGAGGTGACCGAACTGACTGGCAAGGCATCAAGTGGCAGCGGAAGCACCACCAGCATTACAGGTGGGGTACATCATATACATTTATACAAATTTTCTATCTTTACTAATTGTTTGACTCTAAATGCAGGCATTGTTCTGGACAATAGCAATCATCCCATACGCAATGCCAAAATCTCTGTCATTCAGCCGCCGGGTTTGACACACTTGCGCAACTTTACCAACAGCATGGGAGAATACCGCTTGGCGGCAGTGCCTTTGGGTGCCATCACTTTGAAGGTGGAGGCGCCGCGTCATTTTGAGGCGACACGCGATCTGCGCCTGCCCCAAGCTGGCCAGCCCACCGAGAACGTTGTGTTCCATCTCAAGTTCAATGCGCACGTTTTTGGCCTGCCTCGTTTCATCTTCATCATTGTCGCCAGCGTGCTGATCATTGTGGGCGTGGTCATTTGTGTATTGTGCGCCCAATTCTGGTTCTATCGCCGACATCGCGGTAAGATGCCCTACTACAATTTCTCGCTGCTACCACAGAAGAGCAAGGAGCAGTTCGGTCTGGACGACGATGCCGGCGACGATGGCGAAACCGAACTGTTTCGTTCCCCCATTAAACGTGAGTGCGATTTTATTTATTGGTTTTCTTCGCCAACATACTTGAGCCATTTACCCAATCTTATAACACATTTCACAGGTGGAATGACCATTCAGCCGTACTTTGATGAGGAGCATCTGGAGCGTATCCTCCACACCGATGATGAGGATGAGGAACAGGATTTTGAAATAGAACCAGAACTGGATGAAGCCGATGAGAGCGGCGATGAGATTGTTATGTTGCATCATCATAATCGACACAAGCAGTAGGACTACAACGATGGCAACAACAACACTCACACACAAAAACACACACACAACATAACTGTGATTTAAACGTTTTCAAAAACCAGGCGCTCTTTTTCTTATATAACATAATCTATTCATTTTTTCCATATATATATATGTACTCATATATATATATATTTTTTTTTTGTTTTTGCTACTTTGCTATGTACATACATACATACTTACATATATATTTACAATTGAATATGCATAGACGATCTACAGCTTCATATATACGATATGCGATACAATGTTTTCGCGAATCTCTATGTAAGCCCTTATTGCCCAACAACGTATCTGCAATTACTTTTAAGACTGAGCCTTAAAAAAAAATTAACAAAAAAAAAAAGATTTAAAGATGCATACATATATCACATATATATATATATATATACAAAATATACTGTGTACTTAAGCAATAATGAAAACAAGCATGATAATAGAGAAACATTCCATGTCAATTGTTTATTGGCATCTGCAGCTTTACAAAAAATCGATCAGACTATTTATAGTCTATATACCTACTATATCTTTATATATATATATATGGCATATCTGTATATTTATAGCATATAATTATGAAGCTCATAGCTTTCAATATTTGATATTATATTGAGCGTTTGCACCCCTTTGAATTTCTATACACAAGCATATATATGTATGTAGCTATAGGAATGCACGATTTTAAAACTAATTTACTAAGCACTTTTTACTGTACTAAATAATTATATATTATAAATGGTGCACATGTACGTACATATGTGGAAAATCAAAAAGTACTTTTAGAACAATATATGTATGCATATGTACATATCTAGAGACATTATAATAATAATACCAATATTATATTTATATATTATCTGTAAGTCTAAAATGCGTTTTAATCAAAATAAATACGAGTATGTACCTTATCCAAGAAAAAACCACACCAATTAGAAAATAGACAATCAATATTTAATTTGAACCGTGGATAATCCTTAGCCTGCTGATTCTAATTAAACAATAAAATATACGAAAGACCCTTAAGCTCATAATTTATCGAACTTATCGAATTTACGCTCGATCTACAGGTGAAATCTTAAAATTTTTTGGGTTCATGGGGGACTCCATAATTTTTGAATGCAGATTTTCTTTGTTTTTTGTACACGAAGTGTTTGTTTATTCGGAAATGGATTTATGTCCTTGTGTAGTTCATTAACAACTCGACAATTTCTATATGCTGAGGTTATTACTGTTATTATTGTACATATATATGAGAATATATGATAACTGGCCAACCATCAATATTATGTTGTGTTTAATTTATTATATTTGCGCACAAATTTTGAAATTGTGCAAAGCGTTGCCAGACATCTTACGTCTACAAATATTCACAGAATTGCTCCTCACTTGAGAAAGCATCACTCCACGGCTGTTAAAATGTTAGCTTTTCTGTGTTCCTTTAGCAGCCAATTTACAATTGCTGAACAACGTGTTGTACAGGTTTTAATATAAAAATAATAATGTTTTATATAGGTGTATGTGTATGTTTGATAAGTAAACAAATTTTGAAATGCAGCAACCGTCTGTCAATAGATAGGGTGAGGGAGGGTGTAAGTAGGCAAATCTCTACCGCTACTACATAAAGTCATCAGATTCATTGCCAGCATCGTAGTTGGTGCGCATGTTTTCCGTCTTTTGCAGTGAGGAATAGCTGCGCAGCTCGGCCTCCAGTTCACGCAGCTTGGCCGCCTCCTTTTCCTGTTCCCGCTTCTCGCGTTGCAATCGCTTCTGATCCTGTCGATCAGCGGCATCGCGTGCCTCACGCTGACCCCGAAAATCGGGATGCTCCTCCTCGGTTTTGGTACGATTCAGGCGATTGATAATCTCATTAACACGCTTCTCCAAACGAATTTTGCGCACAGCCTTCTCGTCGTGATAGGCCACCTGGCCCGGCTCCATTTCCGGCGTTTTCTTAAGATTCTCCCACATCGTGTAGACTACTTCCAGATTGTTTACCTTGTTGCCCTGGATGCTGTTGGCCTTGCATAGTTGTGCAGCATCCACCAGTACATCAGTGGGTATATCATCGATGGTCTGTCCTTTCCGTAGGCGCAGATAGACATGCGCCGAGGATAAGTTGTGCACATGGAACCACACATCTTCCGGCCAGCCCCAGCGAATCAGCTCTTCGTTCTCGTGCTTGTCACGACCCATGTAAAGCATCGCCGTCGGCTGCACCACATTGCTTTTGAAGTAGAAAACCATATTCAGTTTATTTATTTATTTTAAATATTTATTTTGTTTTTAATTTATTGTATTTTTTCTTTTGTATTATGGAAGTTAATATTGTTGCTTAGTTTGACAAATAAAGCTTGTATTATTTTGATTGTTGTCTCGCAATTATTCTCAAATTAACATACGATATTTTAACATAACAAAGTCATGTCAATAGCATGCAGCCAACTTCATGCGACTCAAATGTTAAAGCTGTGTTAGGCATGCGGCGTCTTTTCGAACTATCGATGACCAAAGAAAGATTTACTCACGGTTAATAACAGCTTACTCACAAAATTTGTAAATAACTTTAGAACCCGAATAGTTCCATACTTTCTAGATTTGGGGTTTTATAGAAAGGCAAATTTAACGACAAAATTGAAGCCAACTTCACGATACTTAAATGTAATGTTTACTTGCGTTATAAGCCAGTTAGCTTTATGACATGCATTTGACTTACCTAACGGCTTTTTAAATTTCATTCAAGTGACTAAACACCATAATGCAATTGAATATGACTGTTATGCACATCTGCTGTTATCATTTGAACATTATAATTTTCTTTGTTTGTATTTTGCAGCGCAATCAATGCAGACAAACAGATAACTGCATACCAAATATATAGCTGGATGCCAAACCAGTTTTTTTGTAGACACCAGACACCTTTACATATTCAAAAATATTTGAACAGCTGTGTACGAACGATTCTTATGTAAATATTTGCATGTGTGTTTTGCAATTAATTAAGTATGTATGCAAAAACGAATAACATTTTTTTGTATTAACTCGGTGCCTTGCCAATTGCAATATACTTGACTTTTAATTGCTCGTTTACAGAAACGTTGTGCTGCAATTTATTTTCATTACTAATTGATGCAATAGTAAATATCAAATAGAAATATAGACACTCAATCAAACACAAATGACAACACTACAATTGCAATCACAAAAATAAATCATATATGAGGCAAAGTAAGTTTCTGTTGCTGTGGATGTTTTTTTTTTTTTTGTTAACAAAATGTGAAACGAATCAATTAATTGAGGTATGTGTGTGCTCGTCAAGAATAAATTAAGTCCGGTGATGTTTGCTGTTATCTGTAACTTTGGCCCAGACACTCACAGTGTTCATTTATCGTACTTTGTTGTTGTGCAATTGCCGTTTTCCGTCTCCGTCTCATCTAAATAAATTGAAAATTTATTTTATTTAGAGTTACTTGTATTTTCATAAATTTTTATTTGAGTTGTTGAGCTTGCTAATTACCTAAAGTCTGCGCGCACGATAAACATAGTAAATTAATATAAACAAACGATATGTTTGCTTAGGGCGCTATGGGTGTTCTAGCTGATAAGCGGGCAGTCAGGAGGACGCCCTATTTGATCAAGATTCCGCATATCGCATCTCTGACCGCACGGCTTAATTTATGCCACTCTTCCGATTTGAATAAAGAGAGCGACAGAGACAGAGATAAAGATAAGAGCGAGATAAGCAGCAGTGTGAGAACTGTTCGCCTGCTGGCTATGAGCCAGCTGCAGTTATAAATACACTAGCCACATTGACGCCAAAATACTCTAACAAATATTGTGCCTTTGGCATCTATCTTTTATATCAAATAGTTTTATTTGAAGCAGTTTGGGATTCAATTGATACAATTGTATATATATTATTTGTTTGTTTATTTAAAGAATAGTTTTATTTGGACAAATATATATTTAACATACCATATTTTGGATGGCAAGCTCATCGAAAGAGCATAAAACATCAACATTGTGCAGCCACAAACTTCCATCCTTACCCCATTTGCCGGCAAGTTCGTTGCCAATGTCGTTCGTTTGTGGAAACAAGGAGTGGGACCGGAAGGTACCGCTCGAGAAGAGTTGGCAATGGGAGAGTAGAGGGGTCTGGGAATGCACTTGATTGCGTACTAATCCAACCAACACACCTGTCAGAAAATTGTTGCAATCACCGATTAAACAAAAATATAAACAAGCGAAATACCAACCCAGCTGCTACCAGTAGTATATCTGTAAATATGCGTGTATGTATTTGGTATGCGGATTGTATACGTAATAACAACGATTATCATACTCCGCATTAATCGCAAAATCGATTTGCTAAATAAATGGCATTAATTACACATGAATGTGTGTGCTATTGGCTCGAATAAGAGATGCTCTGCTTGGCGTGTGAGAAACGTTTAAAATCCGAGCGTTGTGATTTAGAAAACAAGCAAAATCGACGTTAGAAGGTGTGCCATAAAAAATGTGACAACAAAAACGAGCATATACAAATTGTCATCAGTGTGTGCAGGGTATGCCAGAGGGCATCACCAGTTGCTTTTGTTCCCAAGAGGAGCAGCTTGTTGCTGCAGCATTTTGCCGACAACGGTTTCAGTTGCTGGGGAGACGTTGCCGCAAGCGGTTATTTGGCGCGGCCTAAGGCAAGCCAAACACGTTATCCAAATAAGTTATAAGAACAGCAATAACGGTAATTAGCAGATGAAGAACAGATGCTTCAGTTAACAAACGGCAATCAGATAAATTCGCCAGACTGTGTCTGTGTGTGCGTGTGTCTGCCTGTGGGCGTGTGTGCTTTTGTGTGTTTAGGAATGTGGTCTGAAGAAAGGTTCGCATTGAACGGCCGTCAAATCGATAGCCAAATCAATAACACGGCGCGCGCAAATGAACACTGCTAGAGATGAGCGCGTGTCGCGGAAGGAAATCTTAAAGAAAGCACGAGCGAATTTCGGAGACACGTGAAATTCTATAATAATTGTGCGTAACATAAATATTTTTCTTTTGTATACTCTAAAATATTGTGCAAACGTGTGTGTGACATGCACAAGCATATGGTGTTGATGTGTTTATGATGAATGAATATCGAAGAAGCGTTCGAATTGCGTAAAGACTGGGTATCTCCTGGTCGAGTCAGCTCAACTGGAGTATTCTTTATTGTTTTAATTGTGAAGTGGTGCCACGCCCTATTTATGTACAGATCTGCTACGTATGTACATTTTAGCACACATACACACACAATTACATAATGTATACATAAAAAAACATATCCATATTGCACAATGTCACTGCTGCTGCTGGTCATCGTGTCACGTTGGAAAAGCACGCAACTCGCATCGCACGCGCCCATCTCAATTAACGAGTCTTTGAAAACGACATAAAAGATAACGGTAAAACACAGCCAAGAACAGACGCCTAATCGAAACTGTAGACGAACTTGGTGCACGACACCAGAGACTGTAGACCCCAGAGGGCAGTGCCAAAAGACGCAACGTCATCAAAAAAGAGAATATAGAAAAACAGATTTCTCGAAATTGAATTTATTTTTTAAAACGAATTCTTTTTTTTTGCATTTTTGTGTTCTGCATTTGTTGCCCTTGTGAAATTGATACCAATTCGCGGAAGTTTCCACTTGTCATTATCAATTAGACAAGTGTCTTACAACAACAACAACAACAACAACAAAGTCAACACTACAAAGTCAACGAGCAGCACGCAACATAGCCACAGTCGGGTCGCAGTCGACGCTGCCGCAACGTTGCCAATATTATTAATTGTCCAGCATTAACCCAATTGATAAAGGACACACACAGACACTCCAAGACACACAGTCGCTCAGAGACAACATGGCACTGGAGCAGAAGGAGCTCGTGCCGTTGCCCGACATGGCCATCATCTGCAAGGATCTGGGCAAGACCAATCTTCAGACCACCGACAGCAACAGTGCCAAGCACAACATAAGCAGCAACAGCAACAGCAACAATAACAATGATAATAATAAGATCCATAGCAAATCGCATAAGCGCAAAGAGAGCAGTCTGCCGCTGGGTGAACGTCATTTGGCCGTTCTTCGGCAGGAGCTGATGGTATTCCTGGGAAACAGCGGTGTCCTTGGCGCAGGCATGGTCATCAGCATGCCCAGCGTTACCCTCAATCAGCTGCGCGACGATACGCAACCTTTCTGGCTGGACAAGGATGAGGCTAGCTGGTTCGGTAAGTTGTCCATAGGTCCATCTCTGGACTAGCTAGAAATGCTATCCCTTAACATATTAAACGTTTTCTAAATTGATTGATTGGATTGAATCAGATAGTGATGCGGCTCATCCCAAATCTTTATTGGTTGATGTGTTAGCAGAAAATATATATACTGTATATTGTTTGGATTGTGCCTGCGAGGAGATTACAAATGAATAATCTTCTTCTACATATTAGTTAGTGGTCTTAGGCTAGCTAACTAAGAAGGAAATATTCATACAGTTTAATGAATGTTTACTTCCAATTGAACAATATTTCCATCAGCGTCCATCAATAACATGGCCTGTCCGTTGGGCGGGCTCATGGTTGGCTTCTTCCTGGATCGCATTGGGCGCAAGTACACAATTCTGCTGACGAATCTGATTGGCCTGCTTGGCTGGCTGCTGCTGGCGACGAGTTTTCTGTACTGCAATCGAGATTACGTATACGCACAGATGCTATTGGGTCGCGCATTTGGCGGGATCATGATTGGCATGTTTGTCTCACCGGTGGGCGTCTACTCCGCCGAGATCAGCTTGCCCAGCATTCGGGGACGACTGATATTGGGCACCTCGATTGGCTTGGCCTCCGGCATACTGCTAATGTATATACTGGGCTACTTTATACGCCAAAACGTAGTGCTCATCGCGAGCATCAGCTGTGTCTATCAGCTGGCCGCCACACTGCTTGTGATGCCCATGCCGGAGTCGCCCAGCTGGCTCCTGCAGAAGGGTCGCATCGAGTTGGCGCGCCGATCGTTGCGCTACTTTCGCGGACTGCGGAGCAAGGGTTAGTTAGAGAGCAAGGACCTTCGATTGGAGTGCCCGTGTTAATCCCTCTTTAATTCCATAGATGACGACTGCGTGCCGGAGTTCGAGGCGGAGCTGATACAAATGAAAATGACGGCGGACAACAGCCGCGATACGGCGGCCAGTGAATCCATTTTCCAGGCCATTCGCCGCCCGGAGGTCTACAAGCCGCTGCTCATGATGATTGGTTTCTTTGGGTTTCAGCAGGCCTGTGGCGTCGTTGTTATCATTGTGTATGCGGTGCAGATTGCCCAAACGGCTGGCGTTACCATCGATCCCGTGCTGGTTGCCGTCATGCTGGGTGTCGCCCGCATTATCACCACCCTCCTCATGACCAGCATCTTTGAGAGATGGGGCCGCCGGCCGGCGGGCCTCTTGTCCGCAACGGGAATGGCTGTTTGCATGGTGCTACTAGCCGCCGGCGGCTGGTGGCCAGCAACAGTGGGCACCTGGTCGTGGCTGCCAGTGGTGTGCATTGTAGCGCACATTGTGTTCTCGACGATGGGCATGTTGACGCTACCGTTTATCATGATATCGGAGGTGTTTCCGCAGAGTGTGCGTGGCAGTGCATCGGGAATTTCCGTGTTCTTTGGCATGATATTGGCATTCATCTGCTTGAAGATCTACCCGAACTTGGATGCGCTGCTGGGCACTGCCAATCTGTTCGCCTTCTATGCCATGGTCTCATTTCTGGCCGCCGCCTTCATCTACAGCTTTGTGCCGGAGACGCGCGGACGCACGCTTATCGAAATCGAGGAGCACTGGCGCATGGGTAGGCGGGGCAGGCGAGCGCAACGGGCGCAACGGGCGTCCGCTGTTGCGGTTAACAATCTGAAGGATGTGGAGTTGCACGAGGTCTTCCTGAAGAAATGAATACGACGCTGCTCGTGCGAATGCAATCTGTGATGTGTGAAGTACTTAGCCTTAGTCAAAAGGAATGCGGCCTTTTCATGGGCAAACAACAACAAGAAAAGAAGTTAACTAATAAATATACTATATAAATAAATACAAACATGCATTTTCTACTTAAAAAGTCTGAGGTCTAAATTGATTGTGGAATTACCAAAGAAGATACGAAATATGATTCACATCCAAGGCTCTGCTGCATTTACTTAGCTGCTCTTTTCCCTACAAATATTGGAGATTAGCAGGCAGCAACACGCTATATAAATACCATAATATATAATATTAGCTCTAGCAAACCCATTTCTCATTATTGGACACTTAAGCCAGTTCAAGGTCATGCTTTTTTCTGGGGTGTTTCTGTGTCATGGAACTCTCAATAACAATAAAACAAACAAAAAAACAGTCATGAATACTGTAATTTGAAGGGCTTTCGTGTTCAAGAGTGTCATTTATAACGCTTGAGCAGCGTGACGTAAGGCTTTTAAATGTTATTAGTCAGGGTCAGTAATTGACCTTGTTCTTCCCACAGGAACCAAGAGAATAAATATACAATATACAAATATACTTTAAGTCTAAAATTCAATTGACCAAAACAAATCTAAGCGATATCTCCATTGGCTGGACGTTACGTTAAGCTCTCCTGCTCTAAGTTTGCGAGCTAAGTATCGATTATCGAAGACATCTGAAGTGATTGAGTCAGCTTCAATCCACTTTAAATTCCAATAGCGAACAAGCGAAATATCTGATAAGATTAATGAGTAGCCCTCAAACTGCACCAAGCTGATAGACCAAGTGAGTGAGAGAGATTGCACTAAACGGACCCGACCTTCACTGATAGCTGAATGATGGGGAAAACGTAGGTTTTTCGAAAGACACAATTCCCTTTTTGGAAATGTACTTTCTGATATAATAAGGTGAGTTAACCTTGGCGATTGTGTAGTAGTAAAAAGATCTAGATACCTCGCACAAGACCTCATCATGGCATTATATCACATTTTCTATATTTTGTAGCTGTGGAAAGCTTGGTCACTCAAGCTTACAGCGCCCTCCAAGGCTTGTTGAAGTTAATGACCTTTTAAAGGTGGTTCCTATTAGAAAAACTTAAAGCTATCTTAATAAATAAACAAATGGAAACACTCACAAGGAAGCCAGCCGCAGCTGAGGAAAGAAAACAAGTGCAGAAAGAAATGCAACAAGCAATAACACCTTTAATAACAATAGAAAAAAACACAGTACAAATTGCAATTGATTGAGAAACGTGCGGCATTTATCAGTTAGTTAATCAATTGGTTATAACAGCGTCAATTGAGCGCTTTGTTTACCACTCGAGAATGTATGCAAGCACACACCTACATATATACATACATACTTACATACATATATATCTATGTATGTATGCACTTGACAATGCATTTATATGGCAATTATATCAGTTTGAAGATAGCTCGTCGCTTGTTAGCAAACCAAACTACTTAAACCAGCACTCACCTGCAATTTTTGCCAAATTGGAATAATGATTTAATGACCTAAGTTGAGTAAGGGGGAAGTTCTCAGCAGCAATATACATACATAATATATAGGTAAGTGTATGTAGTAAAAAAATCCGTACAAAATACGCGCCCAACTCAGGGTTAATGCAGGCCACCATAGCAATGAGCATTTGTCTGGAACAATAACATAGCAAAAGCTGCCAGCTCTTGTTTGGTTTCGAATTTTAAATATTTTCGTTTATTTGTTTGTTTTTTGGGTTTAATGTGACTTCTTAGTACAACAATTAGCTGCTGCTATTATTATATATATATGTATATATATATTGATGTATATATATTTGTATAAACGAATTAAAATTCAAGTTGTTCATTTCTCTTTCATATAATGTATATAGGTAATGTAAACTACTAACATTACAATTATGTGTGTGTAGTGTAGTTTATCGTATTTCCAAAAAAAAAAATTGTGAGCGCTTTTATTTATTTTGTATTTTTTCGCTTAACATTGTTTTGTATACGTACGGTATATAGTTACATATATAATTTGTTTGTTTGTTTGTTTGCTTTTTATCGGTTGCCATTCATTGAATACGTTTCCCATATGTTTCCATATTACTTGTTTTCATTTCTTTAAATTTGTATGAATTATATGTGTTATTTGCTTATTTCATTATTTATGCATTAGTATATTGCTTATGTAGTTCCGCGATTTTCGTTTTCGTAGGCATTTATGTATTTGTTTCTGATGTTATAATTATTTGTTTAATTTGGTGTTACTTGTATTTAAAAATCTTTCAAAGGGCAGTTCACGTTCCACAGACAAACATCGACAGCTGTTTGACGGGGTTCATTTTATTTTACTTATATTTTAATGTATATATTTGTATCTATGTATATATTTCTCATGCACTACGTAGTTCAAGTACAATTTCTAAGCCAAAAAAAAAATGTATCATCCTTTAATAGTATATATGTTGTTGCATTATATGTATTCTGTATGTTATAAATATGTATGTACTTATGTATATGCGTACGTAAATAAGTAATGTGTATCTATGTATATATAAAAAAAATTTCGGTGTTTTTTTTTTTTTGCAGCGGCCAACAGGAGCTATAATTATAGGATGGAAGTCACGCCATATGACTAGAAAAGGAAGAAGACACTTAAAAATAAATTTACATACATTATAGAAATCACGAAAAAAAAAATTAATCTATGGAAATAGCGCCCTGCTTTGAAATTGTTGTCTTTTAATACTAATCTCAAGTAATTAATTATTGTTGTTGTTTTTTTAAATTTATTTTTCTATATATATGATTACATGAGTCGTTTGTCTTTTACTAATTTCAATTGCTAGCTGACAAAAAAAATTGTTTTCCTGATTCATGCATTGATTATACAAAAAAAAAACATTTTTTCTAATCCGTATTGAGGTTCATTCTTATTGTTGTTTTTCTTTTTAATATATAAAAAATGTTTTTGGTTTTTACGTTTTTTTTTTACTTATGCTAAACACAAAAAATTGTATGCGCCTTTCGGTTTGTGATGCATTATAAAAACATTCTTGACCACTCAACATTTTGTTGACATATGTAAAAAAAAATGTATGTGTATATATATTTAAGTATATATATATGTATATATATATATTTATTTTGAACAACATTTTGAATGTATATAAGTATTTCTAATGAGGTTTCCTTTAACTTTATGTTAAAATATATAATCTTTATAATTGCGCTTCTCTTCTTTAAAAAAAAAAACACATTTAACAAAATTAGCTTGGCTGCTTATGCCTAACAACAAAAAAATGCTCTTCCATTTTAGTATAAAATATAAATAAAAAAAAAAAAACCATCAGCACTACGAAAAAAAACGAGTTTTACACTTGCTCAAAAAAACATATTTGGTTAAAAAAATGTTTTTATGTTACTTTCTTATAAAAGATTTTGTTGAATTTTTTTTTCGTTTACTTTTTTTTAATAGTGACGCTTAACTTGTTATTTGTGAACAATTGATAAGACGCATTAATGCTATCGATTATCGTTTGTCGATTATTGGACATGGAAAAAAATTTGCATTACGCTTTGACTAGAACTAGTTTCGAGACGAGACGCTAAGTGCTATTAAATATCGGTATTCTTTACAAGCTAAGGGCTACGATTGGTTGAGTATTGATTTTGTAACTATTCGACGGCATATACACACCACATATGCATACACAGCCACACACATACACATATGTATGTGTGGCAATATGTAATGGCATACGCATGTATGCCATGTGCTTTATGTATTTTATTTATTGTGAATGGCGTCTGGTCTTGAGAAGCGTAATCTTGCTAATCTGTAATCTTGGCCAATTTGCTGCTTCGTTTCTCGATTTCTTTACTTATGCATCATTGAGTACAGAATCACTTTACTTCTCAAAACGCATCTGGCGGCTACTTGTAACAATAATCGCCTCACCATCAGCACTGCATTTTTGTCTGTATATTGTTATTAGAAAAAAAAATTACTTTTGTATATAGGCATATATTGCCGGTATTTTGTTTTTTTTCATATCGTGTTGTTACCTATTTCATTTTTGTTTTTTTTTTAGAATGTTTAGTACTCAGCACAACCAAGCTGTATGCAAAAATTATTAATTGTTCTATATTCAACAATAATTTTGCATAAATTTGCCATTAATGTATTCTTAAAATTTAAATGTTTTTTTTTTTTGATGTGTGAACTTGCTTTTTATAATTTGTAATTCGTTGTTGCAAATTCGACTCTGATTTTTGTTTTAAATAATTAAGAATTAATTTTTAAACTGAAACCTAGAAAATTAAAGTAAAACAAAATAAATAAAGTTTGTTGGAAAATTTTTTATTATACGTTTAGATTTTTTTTGTTGCTTTAGATCAGATTAAATGATAAAGTCAAATTTAAACTTTTGATATATGTATTTCAGGAATTCTGGACAAGATAAAATGATTCACATTTGTTTTTTGTTGATTATGAATATTCGTTAAAACTAAAACCAAAAATAATGAAGAAGATCATCTCATATGAAGTTGAACATACACATAATTTGATTACAATTGTTTTGAAATTACTTTAATTCAGTTAAAGTTTCATTTACATATTTGAAGCACCTACGTTTTCCGCTTCGGTATGCCCACATTCTTTTCTGTGTGTGGGCGTGGCAAATTAGCCAAAATATTTTTAAAATCAAACGAAATTCCGACTTAAAAATTACAAAGGAAATAAAATTTAAAATTTTTCACCTGCCACGCCCCCTAACATACATAGGCGCCTCATCGATTTTCGTGCTTTTTCTTAACATTTTTCTTTCCTTTCAATATTTTTGTGTTTTATTTTTCTTTTGACAGGCTTTTATCACGTGCTTTTCGTTTCGTTTCTTTAAGGTTTTCAATTTGTAAGTATTTGTGTGTGTCTGTAAGTGTGTGGGTGTGTATGTTTGCGTGTGTGTGTGTGTGTAACATGCTCAAGTTGTTTAAACGCATACAAAAAAAATTTGTTTCAAAAAAAAAAAGTATCTTTATAGTTATGAAAAAAATTCTTTTTACAAACTATGAAAAAAAAGCAGGTTCCTTTCCCTTTTATTTTTCGTATTCTCTTTCGTAATTTTGTCTCGACAACCGGTTACGGGGAGGTGAAAGGTCAATACCCCCCCACAATTAGCTGCACATTTTGTAGCTGCTGCTGTGACAGCAGACGGACACCCTTCTCAAGATTCCTCCATTTCTCGTACTCGTTCATCATATATATTTATAAGTATAGTTGGTAAGAACAGCCTGAACTTGAGCATGTTAACATTTATATTATTTTGTATGAATGTAGATATATAATAATAAAAAAAAAATTCATTTATAAATTATGAAAAAAAATAAACAGATCTTTCAGCTATATAAATATACATATATACTTCGGTACTCGTATAAGTCAGTTTAGAGACACAGAAACAGAAAAAAAAACAGAGCTTATGCCTTCACGCCTAATTGTATGATATTAATATTAATAATTATATATATATATATATATATATGTTCGAAAAAAAAAATTATCGTTTTGCCTAAAGTTAAGCACAAAAAAACCTTTGCTTTCCTATTTAGTTAAAATATAGTATTTAATATATATTCAAATATATAAGTATGTTTTACTTCATATAGCCAATGCATACATATGGATTATATGTATATGTGTATGTGTGTGTATCTAATTTCTATTCATAGTTGTTTGTTTTTCTATAAGTTTTGGCCTACAACATAAAAAGGAAAAAAAAAAAACTTCTCAAAAAAAAGCACAAAAAAATAAAATTAATAATACCCTCTACAACATAAGGGTTAAATGAGGAACATTTAAGGATAAACACAAAAAAAAGAATAGAAATGTATCCGAAAAAAAAATGCTAATTAGTTAATTAAAATTAAAATGATTGGTATTTGTTGAGAACATATCGATGATCCACATTATTTATATAAATTATTGTAATTCAGTATCAGTTAAGTTTTTCGCTTCTCTTTTCTTCTCTTCTCATCTTCTCACTTCTTTTTTTTCTTTTTTTTTTTTTAGTAGATGTGTGTGTGTGTGTGTGGGTGTGTGTGTCTGTGTGTGTGTGTGTGTCTGTGTGTGTATGTCAGCTTAATTGTCAGTTGGGGGTTATGAACGCCACAAGAAGCCGCCATTTGCATTTGCATTTGTTGCCGCTTCTGTTGTGGATGTTGCTGCTGTCGCAGCTGCAACCGATGTGGTTGCTGTTGCAAAACTGCTGTTGCTCAGCCGCTTATGTGCATGCTGCTGCTGCTGCTGCTGCTGCTGCTGTTGCTGTTGCTCAATGTTGTAGCCAAAGTCGTGCAATTGCTGCTGAGGTGATAAGGTGTGGCTGTGTGGGGATAAGCTAAAGCTATTCATATGGCTTTGACCATTGCTATTGTTTGTGTTGTGTTGCATGTTGTTCATGCTGTTGCTGCTGCTGCTGCTGTTGCCGTGTGTGTGTAAGGTCAGGCCATTGCTGTTGCCATTGCGCTGTTGCATGTTGTTCTGACTGCTGTTTGTTTGTGTGTCTAAGCTTAGGCTCCTGAGGTGATTGATATTGTGAGTGTGTTGCAGGTTGATGTTACTGCTGTGTGGTGATAAATTTAAGCTATTGCTGTTATAGTGTGGCAGTTGACCGTTGCTGCCGTGTGGCGATGTATTTAAGCTATTGCTGTTGTGATGCTGCAGCTGACTGTTGCTGCTGTGCTGTGGCTGTCGAACTGAATTGAGCATGTGAGCAACATTATGTTGATTCTGTTGTTGCTGACGCTGCACATTGCTGCCGTGATTGTTGTGGCCACTGTGACCACTGTGACCACTGTGACCACTGTGACTATTGTTAGGGTTGCTGTTGTTGCAATTGTTATGTTGATAATGATTGCTACTGTGAGCAGCAGCACTGCTCAGACGTGGCGGCTGACCATTGCTATTGTTATGGCCATGTGACGTTGATTGTTCCTGTAGCTGTTGTTGTTGCTGATGTTGTTGTTGTTGTTGCTGATGGTAATGTGGATGATATTGTAACATGTTGTTGGGATTGGGGTTGCTGTTGTTACTGCTGTTGTTGCTGCTGATGTTGTTGTTGCTGCTGCTGTTGTTGTTGTTATTATTGCTGGTGTTGGTGTTGTTGTTACCGAGTGTATTGAAGCCGCACGCCTGCTGATAGAGTTGCAGTTGCTGCTGCTGTTGCGGTGACAATTATAAGTAAGGATAATGGTACTTCCTGCGGTACAGACCATCGAGCAAATCGGCAAAGTTGTCGCCTACAATTTTTTTAAATGCATCAAAATAGGTGAAAAAAATAAAAAAAAAAATACAAAAAATGTATATTAGTAAATAGTTGTGTAAAATATGCTTTAGCGTCTATTTGAAAAAGTTGCATTCATATTAATTAATTAAGATTTAAAAGTACAATTGTAAATATATTAAATTTAAGCTAAATTTGTGTGTGTTTCAAGATTTAGACGTAAAATTAATTTATTTGTAATTTTAATTTAAATTGCTTTGTTTTAAAGTTTTAAAGTGCTGCTAGACCAAAAAGCCCTTACTTAAATAACTTAGGCGGTGTGTGTTGAAAGTTAATTAAGGAACTGCATATATATTTAATCTATATTTTTTGGATAGAGTCTTGAAGTGTTTAGAGTTACGTGTTTATTGTTGTACTTGATATTTGTTTTGTTTTGTATTTTTGGGTTTTGTTTCGTTTACGTTAAAAATTTTAATTTGATATGGTATATTGTATTGGATTTAGATTCTTTTTTTTTTTTGGTACTTTTTTTTAAGATTTTGCGAGATTTGTTTAGTTATATTTAGCTTGTTACGTGTTTTTAAGCGCAATATCAAAAATTGATTCTTATACGATTTTGTTTTGCATTACACGACGTTATAAAGTATTGGAAGATTTCGTGAAAATTGATCGATTATTCCTTCATTCATTCATTAAACGTGCCATGTTTTTTTTTTTTTTTTGTATTTTTATGTCTATAGTTTCACATAGGAAACTTAAGGAAACTTTTGGGAAAAGGTGAGGTTAGAAAAACAAAACGAAAAAATATACCATATGAAATATATGAAGGAGATGAACGTTAGAATGTCAGTAAAATGAACGTGTACACAATGATTGCAGTGTATCTCAAAAAACGAGCAGGCAAAATCAAAATTGTATGCACATATACATAGGAGATATGTATAAGCGCGAACCATCTAAAAACATAAAGTTTGACGCATTCGAAAGTTGGGGATGTGAGGTATTGTTACGATGATTGAGTAGTTATGCATGTATGTATTTATATGTATGTGCTCTAAACAAAGCACAGCTAAAACTTCTCTACTGAACTTCTCGGACAAAGAGCGTTTTGTATCGAATATTGTGAATAGAAAACTGTGCTAACTGAAACATTTTTTTGGTTAAGAGACTTTTGAGGGTAGGTATACGCACTATACAGATATATATAGAAAATGTTAAAGCACACATATGTTTTTTTTTAAACTAAAACAAAAGAGAATATTGTTTTTGTTTTCTTTTTTTTTTCGTTTTTTTGTTTTTTGAAAAGCGCAAACAAACTATTCTGTAGCAAAAAAAGTGAGTTATTACATAAATCTGAGATGATATCGACAAGCGAAATGTTTATGATTTATGATTTTTGCGCGAATCTTTACAATTATGAAGTACAATATTTATCAATATTATTATTATCATTATTATTATTAATATTATTATTTTAGTTGCCTCTTTGGAATTGGAACTTTTTCAAATAACGCTCTAAATTTTCATTTAAAAAATACTTAAAATTTTGGGAAAATATTATTTTCATCTTTTTTTTTTTTTTTTTTTTTTGAGAGAGAGAGAGAGTCAAATAAGTACGAATATTGCGAATTATGGTGGTTGTCGAATGAGATGAGAAATCGAAATGAAAAATGAATAAAACATGGCACGCTTTGAAGATTTTTTGTTGTTCGACAAATTTGCAGCAATGAGGCGGAATTTGAAGCTCGCATTGATATTGAAAAAGTATAAAAATATATTGTATTTGATAGATTTGAGCTGTGTCGAATATATAGTATGTCAGGAGGTTATGTCGGATTATGTCAATGTTCATGTAAGTGTGTATCTTTTTGTGCGTGTGTAATGTATATATATGTAAAGCTGACTTTTGAAATTGCCACAAGAATCGTTAAGAGAAGTGCTAAACACAATAAATTGCTTGACATCTTCTTGCTTCTAGATTGAACAAGGATGTGAAGCAGCAAAGAGAAAGAGCATACAAAATCGTGTATAAATTCTCCCTTCGATTCTCGCACCCGATTTCCTTGACAGCCTACAATATTGCCTCTGTGTGTGTGTGTGTGTGTGTATGTGTGTATGTGTGTATGTGTGTGTTTGTGTGTGGGGCTGGTGTGTATGTTTTGTATGGCGTGTGTGTGTGTCGTTTTGTCATAAACTACTTAAATCATATATTTAGACTCAAAATTTCTTATGTGCTCTCAAAAAAAAAAAAAAAAAATCAATTATGATTATGATTATCATTAGGCATAGTAGAGAATATAAAAGGAATAATTACTATCGAGACCAAAGATAGCATCGCAAATAGCATCGAATAATGAGCGTAATTTTTCCATTGCTCCGTCTAAAAAAAAAAATGAACAAAAATAAACAAATTGGACAACTTATTAGTTGTGGGCGCCAACTGATTTTTTTTTTAGTTAATTTTTAATTTTGTTATATATTTGTATATATAATTTGGTTTTTCTTTTCATATTTTTTTTTTTTTTATATATAATATGTCGTCGATGGTTCAACAACAAACATATTTTGTAACCAAGAAAAATCAAAGGCAGAAGAGTAGACGATAGATATGATGACATGAGAGTTCTGGGGGTTAGTTTGGCTAATGGGCGTGATATAAATCGAGAATGCCCAGCCTGGTTAGTGCTTCATATTTGTACCATGGCAACAAAACAAATAGATACGAATATACTAATATATGTATATAAAACACAAACTACTTGAAATACTAAAGATAATAAACTAAGTAAACTTGTGTCAAAATTTTCTTGCAGTTGTAGTTTTTTTTCGGCTCTAATTTAAAGTAAACTAAGCAAATGTATATGTATATAAACTATATTAAAAAAAAATGTAGACAAATAAATAATACATACAACAAATTTAGAGACTTAAGTTGAACAAACAACAACAACATTACAAAAAAATATCAATTGAGAAACATGAAAAACAAAATCACAAACATAAAAAAAAATTGTTTAAAAAAACCTAAAAATTCTTGTTGCCATTTAATTTTTACTTTTAAGAACTGTCTGTAATTAAATTTTTTAACTAAACGTCTGTTGCTGATGATTCAAAAAAAGAGAAAGCTGCATAATTGGAATGAGTTATGAAATTTTGTCAAATTGATTTTCTTGGAGGGTTTTTTGATTGTTTTTCTTCTTGTTTTTATAACACTGAAACAGCAGGCACAAAAAAAAATATTAAAACAACTGGAATATAAGGAAATAACTTTATATATAATATTATGAATATGAAATGCCATAAAATGCATTCTTAGCTGCTAGCACAATAACAAAAAAAAAAAAAATTATATACATTTAGAGAAGGGAGCTTTAGGCGAGCTCGTAAAACACTTGTCACTTGTCGAGTTGGAAAAAAATGGAACAGAACCAGTCTTGAGTTTTCTTTTTTCCTTGTATGATCGCATTATGCATGATACACTTGGAAAAAAATATGAAAAAAAAGAACAACATATATATATTGTTTTTTAATTTTGTTTTATACGTTTCATAGTCGTTATGGAACTTTTGGCACTGGAACCGATAAGGGGGTGTGGCAGCATTGCTCGTTCAGTTACTTTACGTTTTCGCTTATTTTCTTTTTTTCTTTTCTTTGATCCCTTGGAATGCAAAAAAAAAAAAAAAAAAAAAAACTATAATTGTTTTCATTGGAAAAAAAATGAAAAAAATATATATATGTATGTATGCAGTTGAGCACGTTGTAAAGTTGCACATGAAAAAAAAATACAAAAATTGCATATGAGAACGTATCGATGATCGATACGCATTGCGATCGATAACACTTTGTGGAACAAGCACCCCGTTATCGATTCGTCAGTGCGCGCATACTTACCATGCGCCACGCCTGCTTTTCTTTACATGTCAATAGTCCCTGTCTTTGTCTCTCTCTCTCTCTGTCTTTTTCTCTGTTATTTTTACATTCTCGTCTGTGAGCTGTGAACGAAAACCTGCTTCATGCGCGTGCGCCACCCCTGGCGCACAAATACACACGCACCCACGCACGCACACGCACACGCAGACAGACACGCAGCAGTCACACGCACACACACGCAGAGGACAGGCACACACGTATACGTTGTTTTCCGTTTGTTCTGCGGCCCACACAAAAAAAATTGAATTGTTTTTTGTATTTTTATTGAACTGCAACTTTTTTTGCTGACTTTAACAACAAAAAAAATAAAAAAAAATGTTTTTTTTTGTTTTGTTTTGCGGTTGGCTTTTATTTTTTTTTTTATAATATATATATGTATATATAGATATATATATCTAAATATATATATAATAGATATATACATATATTTATTTTCGCTTCTGTCGCTCGACGCTGCTTTCGTAACGCACTAAAACTAAAAAATTTAAAGGTAACGCTATTCAGTTATAGGTACGTATATAGTCAATATATATATATATATATATATATATATATATATATTTATATATAATTATATACATTTTATAAATTTGACTTTTTTCATATGTTTAACTGCTTTGAGACAAATTTGTTCTTGTTGTTGTTGGGGTTTGTTGTAGTTGTAGTTGTTGTTTCGTGGATATTAAATCATAAATATGAAGCGATTGTGTATTACTTATAGGCCAGAGAGGATGGATAATGTGACAAACAGGGCAACGCTTCTTAATTTAGATTTTTCTTTTTTTCAGTTCTTTTGTTTTTAGTTTTTTTTTTCGAGTTAGTTCCTTCAGTTCAGTTGATTCATTTGATGTTTTGATGGTTGTTCCGTTTAGCATTTCATGTAGTTTTCACAACAAAAAAAAATTCACATTTTTCAACCAGGTTTTTTAGTGTTCTTTTTTATGTTTTTGTTTTTTTTTCAGGTTATTTGACGTGGGGTATTTTGTTGGATTAGGTTTTCAGCTCAGTCCGTCGTTCCAAAATTTGCACACACACACACTGAACATTTTGTGTTATAGCAATTATTTATATTGGTTGTTATTTTAGCACATTTCTATGTATATACGAGTAAATATGTATAAAAAAAATTCGATATATCTATGTATGTATTTGCACTTAGCCTAAAAGGGCAGCGCAAAACAATGCTAAAATTGAACTGCTTTCGATAAATGTTAATTATCGATATCCATCCTGTTTGTTTATACATTTATATATATATATTTATATATATGTATATGTGCTGTTATGCGATTCCTGCGTGACATTATCGTTGTTTAAGTATAAAAAGACTCATTTCTATAGCACTTGGGGGGATTTGCATAGTCGTTCTCTTCATTTTTCTGATCCTTTTTTGCTTATGCAATTTTAGGCTACATTTGTATGTGTGTATGTATGTATGTGTGTGTTGAGTTGAATTGAGTTAATTTACTGTTGTTTTTTTTTTTTGTTTTTGGACTGCACTAAACTTAAGTGAGGAAAAGCTATACCAAAAAAAAAATTGTATCTTAATTAAATTTTCGTTTTTCTTTTTTTTTTGTTTCTCCAGATTTTTTGTTAGTATTATCTAAAGTTAATTATCATTTAAAAATAGTTAGTTATTTTAGAAATTATTTGTTTTCTTTTTTGCTTTGTTTTTTGTTCGGTTAAAAACAAAGTGTTTTATACTACAAACAGGCAAATGTACAATTTAATTTTTGTTGTTTTTTGCTCACATATATATTATTATAATATATATATATATATAAAAAACATTTTTGTGTAAATTACATGAAAATTAATATTAGAAAAAACGAAAACAAATAAGAAATTGCAACAAAATATTTGTGTTTTAATAAGTTAGAAAATATATATTCCTAAGTTTGTATTAATAAAAGAGAACTAAAAATTATTATAATTAAGTTTGCTTATTAATTCTTTTTTTTTATATATTTTTTTTGTTTTTTTTTTCTTTTCTATATGGTTAGAGTTATGATTTTGTATCTGTTTGTTTGTTGTTGTTGTTGTTTGTCAAAAAAATTTATATATTATATATACATAAGATTGTATGTATAACTGGTTTGTTGTTTGTTTTTGTTTAATCTTACGATTGCATTTTTTTTTCCTTGTTTTTTGTTGTTGTTTTTTTTTGTATTTTTGTTTTAGATAAACTTTTGTGCATCAAAGTAGGGATGCGTTTTTTGGAAGCGCTGTTGTGTTTTTAATGATCTACCTCTGTGAACCATGTTGAAGCTGGCCATGTGTGGCGGTGGTGGCGGCGGTGGTGGTGGCACCTGCGGCGGTCCCATGCCCATCTGCGTCATAAAGTGCGCCGCCTTGGCCTTGCCATGCTCCTCGGCCAGGCGTACCGACAGCGGCTGTGATCCACCCTCGGGGATGACATTGTTCAGCGCCGAGATTGCCTCCTGTGCCTCCTCGCGTTTGTTATAGCTGTTTTTTTATGTACGCATGTATGTTTGTATGGTTGGATGGATGATGATCGAAGTGAAGTGGTGTGGCACGGTGTGGGCGTGGCGTGGCGTAAAAGTGAGAAGAGAAATGCATGATTTAATGTGAGAGGTGGTTGAGATGTGGAGATGAGGAGTGGAGTGAGGCAAGTGTGTATAATTTGTTTTGGTTTATCATCGATTCAAATTCGCAACAAATATAAATAATAAAAATAGTGTGTGTGGAATATGTATACGCTTTTGGTACCGGACAAACTTACCGTACAAATGCCACGCCCCTTGGCCGACCGGTGAGCTTATCACGCAATATATTCTTCTGCACTATGGAACCGTATTTGCCAAAGATCGTGTCCAGCTGATCATCGGTTATCGTGCGCGGCAGATTGGTCACATACAGATTGGTGTCCTTGATCGATTCACCGCCAGGACGCGCATATGAAACCTAATAGAATACAAACAAAATATTCATTATTCATACATATTGATTATGAAAGATTATTTGGATTACATTTGGATAACATATGACAAAAACATACCTTTAGCCGCTTATTACGCACTGTGATGCCATTCAGCACTTTAATAGCACGCTGCGAATCCATTTCCGAAGTGAAGTCCACGAAAGCATAGCCAAAACTGTAACCAGTCTGCAGAGATTCACAAAAAAGGAAAAAAGTTACGTGTGTATAGCTTATCTATTTATGAATATAATATTTCAACTCACTGATTAAATTTGAATATAACTTACCTTATAGTCTCTCATGATTCTGCACGTATTGATGGTTCCAATGGACCTGAATAGCGCATACAGCTCGCGATCAGTCATATCCTGAGGCAAATAGTTGACTATCAAATTGGTGTTGCTGTTGCGTGGATCGTTCATAAGATCATCGCTGCCCCCGCTGCCTATCGATAGGCCGCACAGATTGTTCAGCGAATTGTTGCTGGCCATCGGCATGTTGCAGAGTCCGCCGAGTGAATTGGCGCTGCCGCCATTAACACCTGCGAACTCATTGTAGCCGCGACGCGACGAGGAACTTGGAAATGTAAATTCTGTGTCCTGTGGTGAGAACGCATAACGTGACTGTAATCAAATTAACCATACAAAGATATTCTAATGTTGAGAGCACGCCTCATAAAACGCTGTACTGTTGGGGATTCGATTCGATTCAATTCGATTGGATTCGGTTTGACTTGAGATTCAACTTCGATTATTGGTAGCATCGCTGTTATCAATATACATACACTTTAACTATTTGTCATCGCGGCAGCATCAACAACAACACATACATACACACTCGCTCGCACGCACGCACGCACACACACACACACACACACACACACATTTTAATTGCTACAAATTGTTAAATGCATAATTAAGTATTTGTAGAAAATGCATAAAAAACTGCAGAATGTAACGTGCGAAGTACTTAACAGAGATGCTATTGAATAGTCGCATGTTAACTTTTAACAGCGACCAGCGCTGGTGCAAAACGTTTCCAGCGGCTGCTGCTGCTGTTGAGTGAGTGTCTATTTCATGTTTATATAAATGTGTTTGTGTGTGTGTGTGGGGAGCTGTGTATGTTTGTATGTAACTGCAAACAGTTAACGGCATTCAGCGTTGCATTTATGTAAAGACTAACGGAATGTTGGGTGGGCAAAAGCGTAAAAGAAATAAATAAAACAATTAAAGAGAAACTGTCAAGGAAATGCAAGGAAATGCAAAACGAACGAATGCTCCATAAAGCCGCTAACGGGCCAGATATCTCTGTGTGTGTGTGTTATGTTTATATTATCGTATATATATGTTTATAAATATATATATATATATATGTGTGTGAGTGTGTGTGTAAGTGTGTCATATGTGACTTTGGGTGCGCAGCAGAAAATGTCATTGATTTTGAATTGCTATACAGCAAAGAGAGCTAAATTTGTAATTGTTGTTGGTGTGGGTGGGGTTAGGTGAAGCGGTGTGGCAGGGTTACCGGAAGGTTGTGGGTAGAGAAAACGGAAATGAGAACGGACAGCGCAAGGTTGTTCATCGTGTTGTTGCTGCTGCTGCTGCTACTGCTAATGCAGCCACAAAGTATGCAATGTTTTTTGTCTGTTGTATATTGTTGCTGTTATTGTGTTGTTGCTGTTGTTGTACTAGTTGCCTATTTGGTTTAGTGGTGGTTCTTGTTGTTGTTGTAACTTTTGTTTAGTTTTCTTTTGTTTGTAGCATAATGTTTATTTCTAGTTGTAAGTTTATTTATTAGTAAATTCTTTTCTTTTTTATTTATTGATTTTTAAGCTTTGAGTATTTTGTATAAATCAATCAAATGTTGAGCATCCACAAAAACGATTTTATTTTGGGTTATTGGAATTTGATTAAAAGCGTGTGCCCCAGGAGCGTTCAATGAGACAAACTCAATAACATTCAACTAGAATAAATTTAAATATATTTTGAATAAACATACAAAACCGAAAACAAACAATTCAATTATCAATGCAAATTGCAAATTGCAAATTTTATTTATATTTGTATTATTATTATTATTATTATTTTCAAAATGATCATTTTGTATTTTTTTTTTTTTTTTTGCTCATGCAATGAAATTTGAGTTTCGATTGATTCCGAACTTTATGTTCAAATAAAATATAAAAATTTATTGCATATAAATTAGGTAAATAGCAGTAACAATAACAATACGTACCATTCCGGATGGCAGTGAATGGGACATGCCAAATACACGCCCACCGCTGTTGATTGACCGTGTGATTCGTTGATTGAAGAGAGGAAAATATCCCATATTAGCATTTTGTATTGATTGGTAAATAAGTCGAAAATTTATATAAAATCATAACAATCAAATAACTAAATCATAATTAATAAAGCGCAATTTACTTTTGGTTTTTTTTTTCGAAATATGAGCACGTAATGTTAAAATGTATGAATGAATTATTCTTATAACACTAACTTAATTTCACTTTAAAAATATACTTAAAGCATGAGATTGATTGCTGCTGTTTGATCACGAAACAGCATCAATGATCGTCAAGCTATATCATACTATACTTAGGGATATTAAAGACTAATAATTGAGTAATAATCGTGGCGGCCTTTTGGGCGCTTAGTGTAGAGAGAGAAAGCAAACAATTTGCCTGTGAGAAATAGCAGCAAAGAAGAACCGTTTTTTTCAGAAATTCGCATTCACGAATCTATAAGAAAAAACGGAGCTTGCTCTGCGCAACAATAAAAAACACCGTAAAAAAAAAAAGGAACCTCAGCCAATAAAATGGATTTTGGATATTGGCACCTTAAAAAAATGCACACTTGCGTGACCGAAAATGAATTAACGGTTAAACAGCATGAACTTATAAATATTGGCACATAAAAAAAACAGCACAATTGCTTTTCACTGGAAAAAAATTAGAGCAAATTTGAAAACCCTTTTACGAATACAAGATTCCTTGTACATTTTTATTTTCACTTCAACAAAATATAAAAAAAAATGTATTCAATATTTAATTAATTTTTTAATGACCCCTTTGGATTTTCATTTTTAATGCACTTCAACAAAATATAAAAAAAATATATATTCAATGTATTCTTCACACTAAAACAATTCAATTTGAGCTAAAAGCCCTTCAAACGCAAATTTTTGTAAACTTAATTTTCAGCACTTGAAAAAAAATAGAAAAAAATTTGTGATCTTGTGTTGAATACACTCAAGAAAACGGGAAATTTGCCTGCGTGTTTCCTTACGGAAATATTATTTGACTATATTGATAAATTCTTGTTGAGCACTTGAAAAAAATAACTGAAAAATGGTTTTCACTTGAAAAAAATGTAAAAAAAAAAAAAAATAAATAAATAAATATTTAAGATTCCCGCGAAGACAGTTAAAAAAACTGTGCATTTTGTAGTTGTATTATGGACATTTGTTGGTCGTAGTGTATTTTAAGTGTATAGTTTAGCTTAAGAATGCATGATTCTAAGTATTTTTTTTTTGTTATTGTTTTATTTTTTAGCAATGATAATAACGTCAGTCTTTACTTACAGGCGTTGCCGGCGTCTTCGCTTAAGGAACATTTTGTTGTTGCGTCACAGAGTCTATCACACCAGTTTTCAAATAAAAATAATAATAACGAATAACAACCTCACTACATACTATCTAAATGTTTGTGTCTCTCGGTTTCGCTGTTGAGATCGCTTGATAATGCTGTTTGGTTGCTGTGAAAAGAAATGATATCTACACAATTAAATCAACTGGCAAATATCGGGTAATCTTGCTTGTTTCGGTGTCGACATCATGAATGGATTTCAGTCTCGCTGTAGATGGGCTTTTTTCGGGGGAAGTGTGTGTTTGTTGGTGTTGGTGTTGGTGTAGGTGTAAGTGTGTTTGTGTGTATGAGTTAACGGTAATTGTCAGAAATACGTATATAGATATGTGGTGTGGATTATCATAGATTTGGTATTCTTCATTTTAGTAAACAAAAAAAAAACCTTTGGTAAGCACAGGAAAAAAAACAACAAAAAATAATGGCAATTTGCCATATATCTGGCAGCTGGTCACACTGCTGTCGTTATGATTGTTGACTGTTAACGGAAGTGACTGCTGCTGCTGCTGATGATGCTGCTGCTGTTGTTGTTCTTGTTGTTGCTGTTGTTGTTTTTGCTGTTGCTTGTTGATTGTAGCTATGTTTGCTATGCTGTTGATTGTTGAAATTGATGATGCTGCTGTTGTTGCTGCTGTTGCTGCTGTTGCTGCTGTTGTTGCTGCTGTTGCTGCTGTTGTTGCTGCTGTTGTTGCTGCTGTTGCTGCTGATTGATGAAGGTTGCTGCCACTCAAGACCTTTTCTTGGATGCAAAAGTGTAAATACCAAACTCGTTTGCCTTTTGCACAAATTTTCGTATTTTTGCTTATAAGAGCAGCTGCTGCTGTTGCCGTTGACAAAAGCAGCGCTTTAGAATGAGAGAATAGATGCATTTGCATCTGATAGGCGGATTCGTCAGACATGCATTGGACATATATGGAGACGTTTATTTATTCTGGCTTCGTGTGCGTGTGTCGTGTGTGTGTGTGTGTGGCTGTGTGTGAGTGTGTGTTGAACTACTACAACAACAACAACAACTGTTGCTGCTGCCTTGTTTGGCTTACAGGCTAACTATTAACTGTTAACTTACATGGTATATACAAAATACATAACTTATGATTAACAGCGCTGTTAACTGGTGCTGCTGCTGCTGCTCAGCAGATATATTCAATGTGTCAAGGTCCCGAAACCATTTTGTGACCGCTCAGCAGCACGTGATTTGTTCGTGTGCACACGCTCTCGCACTGTTTCTATCTGTCTCTCTCTGCCTCTCGCTGTTGCGGTCGTTTGTTTACATTTGAACGCATGCACAGCAAATCAGCGAGCAATATGCCAAAGCTTGCAATAACGAATATTGGAAGGAATAAAAAAAAAAATAAGAATAAGAAACCTTGCACGATGACGCCAGCACAAAGTTCAATGGCTGCGACATTTGGAGCGAACTCATTCACTATCTTGTTCTCTCCCTCTCTCTCTTTGTTACTCTTGTGAAGTGCGGCAACAGCGCCGAAAAATCTTATGCATTTTCGAAAGGCACAAGAGGAAGTTAAATCATTAGGCGCAAAGTTCATGCCAAGTATCACAGCATCCATAAACAATGGCGATTTGTGGCGCCGCAAAGATTTGGCACAGACCAAAGTAGAACGTGCTGGGGGTTTATAGGTCAGCGAGGGTCGCGTGCACGCGACAGCGAAAAGCAGTCAAGTATAAATCCGTTTAAACTTACATCTATCTATACATATATCATCTATATATATATATATATATATAATATGTATAGCTTATAGCTACAATGTGTATGTGTGCGAGTGAACATGAGTTTCCGTGATTTTTTAGGTTTTTCTTTATTTTTTATTGGGCGATGTTGAGTTCGATTCTGAATTAGCGAGGGGCGTTCGAACAGAAAAGGAAATGATATTTAAGCAAAAACGCAAAGCAAGTATTTATAAAACAGAAATAACAATGAGTTTGTAGTAGTAGTAGTAGTAGAATAATGAATTTTTTTTGTTTTTTTTTTTTAAGCTTTTTACAACATTTACCGGTACATTGTGAGACTGTTTAGGTTGCACAGGCAGCACGAAAACGTTGTTAGGCCGTTACGCTTTTCCTCGGGGCCAGAAACGAAAAGAAATGGTTTGATTTCTCAAATCTCGTTGGATTTCGCAATTGCGCGTTTTTTCATTTTGTTTTTGTTTGGTTTTGTTTCGGTTTAAATGCAGTATTACAGTTAAGTTACTTGAGTGTGGAAGAACTTGCGTTATGTGACGTGACGTTACGTTACGTTACGTTGACTTGCCTTACGTTACGTTAAGTTTATTAATGTTAACATTCATTGATGTATTTATCACATTGCAAGATACTGCAAGACACTGCGAACAAAACGCGACGCGATGCGTTACGTGGCATGACGTGACGCGCTACGTTACATGGCGTTACGTGACGTTAGAGACACATACACACGGCTGTGACGCAGAAGAGCGCTGCAGAGAATCAGTATCTGTTACGTACTTATTTTGATATGAACAAACAGTAGTAAGCTAATGCGAATACACTATTATGAGCGTGAGCGTGATCGAACGACAGAATCTAACGTAAGAAATTAACAGCCAAATGGGATTTGAAGATGATCAGCTAAGAGAAAGCGGGCGGGGGGAAGGGCGCAATCAACTACAGCATGTTTCGAGATATGTGTGTCTGTCGTATGAGAGTTTTATGCTTAATGAGCTTAAATAAAAATATAAAAAAATCATTAAAAAAAAGAATACCGACTCTTAATTAAGGGATAGAGTGTCGTATTTGTATTTGTCTATTACAGACAGTTGTTGTTGTTGAAAACCCTGTCTTAAAACGAGACTGCTTTTCTCTGTGCGGCACACTCATTATTGGTTTTAGTTTTAGGTTAAGCCTTTTGGTTGCTTAATTTAGTTTTTACAGCTGTACAATCTAGTACATATAAGATAAATATTACTTATGATCTGCTTGCTGCAATTGTTGTTGTTGTGGTTGCAATTGCTGTTGTTGTTGTTGCGGTTGTTGTTGTCGTAGCACACTCAAGATTTTCCATTGTTGTTGAAGACAATTTCGTTTCTGCTGTATTCGCAATATTTCAAGATAAAATAAAGAAAATGTGTATGTGTATGTGTGTGTGTGTGTAGGATTGATTGTTGTTGGGGCTTTTGATGATGCACGTATATTGATGGAGGATGGGGTATGTGGTCAGCTATGTTGGATCCTCCTCCACCTCTTATCAAGTGCACATGTGACACACTGGCAGCAAAAGGACGCAAGTTGCTAACAAAATATATTTATATTCTACTAGCACATTTTGACAGTCGCTCTTGCCACGTGCGACACGTGCCACATCTCAAATATATATATATATCTTTGTTCATATATATTCAGACTTATATGTCCCAATGCATATCGCGAGGTTGCCACATTTATTATCGAGCCTAGCAAAAAAAAAGTTTGTTCTCTGTGTATGTCTAAGGTTAGCTGCAAAGCATGCAGCAAATTCTTTTATTTTTATTTTTGTAATTTAACTGTTAGTTAAGGGCAGACTGGGAGATAAAAAAAATACTAGAAGAAAAACGTTGCACGTTATATTTCAGTTGTGTGTGTGTGTTCGTATGTGTGTGTGTGTTCGTATGTGTGTGTGTGTTCGTATGTGTGTGTGTGTGTTCGTATGTGTGCGTGTGTTCAGATATGTAAGTAGGCAAATATTTTGTGGAATTAGGGAAATTGTCGGGATTTATTTTTGTGGGGGGAGGGGGTAAAAGTTAGCTTTTGTAGTTGTTCCTTTTGTTGTTATTGTAGTTGCTGTTGTAATGCTTGAAGATGAAGAAACTGAAGTTAAAATTTACCTCGACTTGTTGTTGTAACCGTATGGAGGGTAACCACCGTTATTATTGTTACTACCCGGGTTATTGTTGCCGTACATATCCTGAGAGTGTGTGTGCACGAGTATTTTTTGCAAAATACTCTTTAAGTGCCGCTTGTGTGCAGGTATCGCTATGTTTCTTTCTGTCTTTCTTTCTTTCCTTTTCTATTTCTCTCACACTTGGCTCTCACTTAACGTGATCAGAAGAGAGATCTCTTTCTTAGTCTATGTTATTCTCTCTCTCGCTCTCTCTGTCTCTTTTTAAAGTTGTTGGCGCTCAGCGCTCTCAGCTGCCAGCTGCTGTTAATGTCACGTTGTTGTTGTTGATGCTGTTGTTGTTGTTATGCTTTATTCTTGAATTTCCTTTTTTAATATTTCTTTTGTTTTGCTGCTGTGAGTGTAAGTGTGAGGAGAGTGGTGTGAAAGTGAAGTGAGTGTGGGAGTGTATGCAGTAGTTGTAGTAGTTGCTGTCTCTGTATGTGTGGGTGTGTGTGTGTAGGCGTGTTGCTCGACGTGAGCTTTACGAGAGAGCCTCGTAGACAACAATGGCCGTAACACGGAAAACGGAAACGGAAGAAGTTGCGTATCTTGTAAATTGTGTTTCTTTTCTTCCAGCCACTGTAATATTACGGGTATTAGTCAATCTTGTCTCTTTTGTATCTCTTTTATTATAAAATATCAAATATATATATGTATATATATTAGAGATGTGGCTATGTTGTTTTGTAGATTCTTTCGTTTCTCCTGGGTGTCTCTCTCTTCTTTGTAGCAATTGTTGTTGTTGTTGTTGTTGTTGGCGCGCCCAGCTGTGTTGTTGTTGTTGTTACTAAGGTTGTTGTCGTTGTTGGTTGTTGTAGTTGGTTGTTGTTGTAGTTGTTATTGGAAGTGAGAGGTGAAAAATTTGTAAGGAAATTAACATATGATTAAAGAGACTTATTTTTTCTCTTATTTTATGTGCGCTTGAGTGTGTGCGTGTGTGTGTGTGAGCGAGTAGCTAAACACTGCTATTAAAAATAAATGCTAATTACTAAAACAGGCTTCAACAGCAAGCATATATATATATATATATATCACCCACTTTGCTTAAAGTAGGGGATCTTCTTTTATATGTGTATATGTGTGTGTGTATAAACAAAATAAATATTAAATACAGCGACCACAATTCAAACGTTGTTCACCAATATGGCTGAAGAGAGTAACCAGAGTTGTCACTCTCTCCCCTATATACCATAATATAAGAAAAAACGAGTTGTTGCCCTAATTTATCTTCGAAAAAATGGAACCCGTTTTGTCAACCTAAATAAATCGTAGTAAAACAGCTTAGAGTCTATTACAAAATATACATATATATATTATTATATAATATTAAATTAATACGAATATATTTCGAAAACCAAAATGTTGAAAATTTCGCTGTTTTAGGGTATTTAGAACTAGTTTTCGCCACATACCTTGCAATTTTGAAGTTATAATATGACGACATGGTCGTCGAGGGGGCCACATTATCGAAATTGAAATCCATTTTGAAGGATATGTTTTTTTGTTGTTAATAACACACACAGGAAAAAAGAAAATCACAATTAAGGCACAAGTTAGACTTGACACGAGTGGAACTCGACTGAAGTCAGAGTGCACAGGCTCGAGCTATTTAAACGACGATCGACAACAACAAAAAGGATCATCTTCTTCGCCCAGTGGGAGGATGGCGCTCTACCTGCCACCTCTTCCTCATAGACACGCTGGGCGCAAGGTGTGCGCGTGCCAGAAGCGTGCGCTACCTGACGACATCATCTCGACCCAACCACCCACCCGCCGATCCGAGCTACCAGGAAGCGTGCCAGTCGGACTTTTCTCTAGGCCGGCTGCAGGCAGACAGGCAAGGCAGGCAGATGTTTTGTCTTCTCGGAAGCTCTCTTCTACGCTATATTCTGGCAAGGTGCTACTAGCTAAGAAGGTGCTGCGTGTGTGGCAAGCTGGCAAATTACGATTATGATCGCGAAAGGTGGAACATGACAAGCTGCAAGCTGCAAACTGCATTTACTTGGAAGCAAGCTGCAAATGTTGAAAAAAAAAATCATTTGCAGTTGTTACTCCTCTAGGAAGATTTAAAGGAAATCAATTAAGTCATTAATTACCTCATTTAATAATTTCATATAAAAAAAAGTATCGGGAATAATTGCAAAGACAATTTGAGCGATTGATAGTTCAAATCAAATCAAAAATATTTATTAACTGCATTCAAATTTTCATATTAAAACTTAATCATTTTTGTATGTTTTATGTTGTATTAAAACTGTTTTGGGTCTCTCGTGAACCATTTGCGATAAATAAGGAGTGCATTTTTAAGAGAGTAGTTTATTCCAAATAAATTGATTCTTAATTAAAAATTTAAGCTTATTTGATTTATGCAATTGCAAATTTTTATGATGAACAGCAAGTAAACTGGAAAATTGCACATATAATATTAAATGCGTGCGATATGTTTGAATTTGAATTTCCATACAACACACATAGATAATCACAATCTAAAATCATCATCGATGAAATATACCTAAATTACATAGATCATTGATGCAGCTGCCTGAATGCGAGCACCGAGAGCAGGTGATGGCCAAATTCAGCTGGAATAGTTGGAAAATGCCAACTCGATGACACCAAGAAATGCATCCAGGTCTGTTTTAGTGGAATTTTCGAAAAAACATTTTGAACCATACACAATGGAGCAATGTATTGGTTTATGTTTTTGTCCGAAATTATAAAATAGATATGTCCTTATTAATTACAACTATCGAAAATTGCTATTAATACTGCTTTGATATTCCAAACAAGATCGGTTTTCAGGATTATGCCAAAGTCAAAGCCAATATTGCAAAAGTGACGAGTGGGAGAGGGAGTGGCTGGGGAATAGTTACTCGGCGCATGTTCCACTCCAAAAAAAAGAAGAAAAAAAAGATAAATCCAGAAAGTGGGAACACAATTGGTGGATTGAGGAAACCAGCCACCCACCGCAGGCAAGCCCAACCACCCTCGCAGCACAAAAATGCGTAGCTGGGCAAGTGCCGCTCTCTGTGCTATGGCTACAAAATGTTATTACGAGCACACACACACACATAAATACTTATAACGGTACATTTTGCCGAAAACGTATATAAGAGCTCGCAGCTCGGCAAGTATATAGCCAAAAGAGGCGGAAATGGAGAGCCGAGAAATAGAGAAGAAAAAAGGTACAACGATAATTTGGCGAGCAAAGTGCTCATTGGTAAATGTTGGGGTGGGGGTGGGTTGTGGTTGTTGCTAGTTCTGCTGCTGCTGGTGCTCATGTAAATCATGAGGAAATAAAAAGCAAAAAAAAAACAACCAAAAGTACCAACGACTACAATGCGAATACATTCATACATACATATATATATACATATGTAAAACAAGATGTATTATGGTGAAAGCAAGCGATAAGAGCATGGCCAGCACAAATACCAAAACAGTATACAAAAGAAAGCCACACGTCTGGGCACACTATGAGCACGAGCTCGACAAAGAGCAAGAGATCTTGACGAGCATAAGAAAAAAAAACAAGCAAATTCAATGACAAAGCAGAAACAAAAGACGAAAGCTTGGAGAGCTTTGAACAACAATCGCATACAAACACCCAATACAAATTCTTCGTGCGTACGATTTTCTCGCCCTCTCTCTCTCTCTCTCTGTGTATGTGTGCTGCTGATAACAGCAGACGGCAAAACTCAGTCAAGGAAACAATAGAGAAACAGAGCGGGAGAGAGTGCAAGAAGCAATTGTGGAGCCACAGCTGTGAGCATGAATCACATGTAAAAAAAAAGGGGGAAAAAACAAACCATAGGCGAGCGTTGCCAGATGTGATCGATAAACAAACAACAGTGTAACAAAAAGATCACAAGGTCGTCAATCCAGCTGATTGTTTATCGTCATTGTCATTTTTTGTTGTTGTTTGCTCAGATATATTATTAAGTTATTTAGCATAACAAGTAAAGGGCCAAGTGTGTGCGCGTATGTGCGCGTATGTGTATGTATCCAAGTGCTGCTCCCATATAAGCAACGAGTTAAATTGCAGCCACAAAAAGACTACCTGTCTTTCAAATCAACGATTGTTGATCGTTGTTGACCGCTGCTCTGCTCTCGCAAGTGGAAAAATGGCGTACCCCGCCACAGGAAGTGGTAGTCGCAGAGTAAATGAGAGAAACAAAAAAAACAGTGAAGAATGCGACAGCAGCTGCTGTGACATTAAAAAAAAAAAAACATTTTTTGAGTCTCTCATTCTCTTTTTCGCTCTCTCTTCCTCTCCTTCTGCCGATCAAAGTCGGGCAGCTGCTGGCCATGTTGAAACGGGAACGGAGCAAATGGAAGAGAAGAATGCAGCTTGCAGCTTGAGACGACGACTACCTGCGTGAAGACAAAATGTAAAGCTTACACACACACACACATCTATGCACAGTTGTACATTTGCACCTTTTCTTCAATGGAAAAATAACGGCCATAAAATGACAAAATCAGCATAATTAAAAGCGGGCGCGCGTGCGCCGTTTTCTTATATATTGGTTTCCTATATAGTGGTTACATTTTCAATATGAACAAATTTGGTTTTTTTTTTTGTGGTTTTAGAAAACTAGCATCAAGTTTGAAACCTAGTGACGATCACCGTATTTATTGTGTTTGTTACACGCTTGCCTTCGAAACATTGAAAACCGGAAACACAAGAAGCAGACAAGGCATGTAAAAAGGTTTGGTTCACTTAGGTAGACGGAACAGGGCATATGCATTTTTGCAGTTTGCATTTGTGTGCAGCGGAACAACGAATTGAAACACCCTGTTTATCTGCCGCCCGCCAAGAAAGTTTGCTACCTGAAGTAGTACACTTTTTCCGGACGCGACTGTATTAGATCAATCATTATTTTGTTTGCTGTTACTGCAGCAGCTTGCAAGTGTTCCCCCACCCCTCTTTACACAACCCCTTTGGTAGCATATGCTGTTACAAACATACATAAAAATTGCACTTTATACATACAAAATAAAACAAAAATATATGTAATATGTTATTATTATTGTTATTGCCATGGACATTTGTATTTCCCAAACTACTGTTATACTTTTATATGCTTGCTGTTAACCGCTTGCTTTTTTCTTCTTTTTTTTTTAAATAGTATTGTTGTTTGTTGCTGAGCTTCGTCAAAACACTCGCCAAATGCTAACGGAGAACTAAATACAAAAAAAACCAACAAATTGGAGAAAAATAACGAAATGATGCAAAAGACAGCTTAGGGAAGGGGACGGTGGGGTTCACAACCGGCGCGTCTAACAGAGCCAGCAGCAGCACATACACGCATATACACACTCGCTCGCATACATACGCGCTACGTTCACTCACACGCATTCGTCATCGGCATCGACGCTAACAGCGAGTGGCGGCAACGGCGGCCTCACTGAACGAGGACGTTGTGAATGTGTCTGTATGTGAATATGTATGTGTGTGTATATATATGTGAGTGCGCGCGTACGTTTTCAACGGCTCGTTGCCATTTTGCTTTGGTTCTGCTGTTCTTGTGTTGCTGCTGCTGCTACTGTTGTTAGCTATATACAACAGTACATTGCAAAATTATGCTGACCTTTATAAATGCGTATATGAATTTTACACATATATACATACATACGTGTATTAAAAGAATTTACTTGAATAATAAATTCAATTTGTTGTTGCTGCAGAAATGCGGCGTACACTTTTTGTACGCACTGTAACGGAGTTTGCTTATTTTATATACATGTATGTATAAGTATCGTATGTGTATGCAGGCACACAACACACATTTATATATATATAAATTATGTGTATATACGGCTCAATCGTAAACACCACCGTCAGCGTTGTCGATGCACTTATAATGACATTTTTTGCATTTCGTTTAATTCATTTGATTACCAGCGCGTTTTACACACCAACAAACAACAACGGAGAAAAACAAAATAAAAAAATAAACGAAAAAAAAAAACAAGAAAAACAATACAGCGAGTAACTGCTACAGTTACTCGAAAATGCTGCCCTGCTACTACTCGCTGCCTTCTCGCCGCATACAAACAAATATACACACACATATACGTGTAGTGGTGGTGAATGGATGTGTATGTTATACAAAAAAATAAAATAATACAAATAAATACAATATTCAAGCATTTCGTTTTTGATATATGGAATGCAAATAACTACGCATGTATTCTGATATGATAGATTTGTGAAAAACATTATTATTTATACGAAATATATGTTTGCGTATATTTCACATATGTCTCTGCGTGTTTTCTTTTCCCATTTTCTCTTTTCGTTTCGATTCATTTTTTTCAGCTTCTTTATATACACTTCACGTCACGCTAAAACCCATTGTGGGCCCTCGTACATACATACATACAAGCGTACAACACACATAAATATATATACATATATATATATAAATACATATATGTACATGCACACGCATGTGTCTGCATACGTGTGTGTATGTATATTATATTGTTTTTGGGCAGACTTTAAGCTTCGATTACACGTCAATGCTGGTTGGTTAGACGATTTAACGCATACGAAAATATTGCATTGTATATTTTGTTATAAAAAAAAAAAATAAAAACAGTACAAAGTGGAGAAAAAAAAATTACCAGAAAAAAATGCACTGCGCGCGGCGCTACAAATTCCCTTCACAGTTCACAGCCGACAAAATGATACTGAAAGCGTGACGACTAGAGCATTGCCAAAAAAAACACAGCGATTGCCAGAGCAGCTTACGAAAAGCGGTCACACTGCTCAAGTTATGCTCAACTGATACTGTTAATTATCGATAGCACGTTAAACTTGAAGTTAAAGCTTGTAAGTTCCTGCCCGGGTCTATCCAGGTTATTAACAAATAATTCGACTTTAAGCAGATGACATTATATTGTTCAGAATGTGTCCAGTGTAAGTGAAAAACAAGAAAATTTGTATATAATGTATTTATTCACTTAGCGTGGCAGCAACGCCCTATATGACTCCTGTTAACGCAGCGTTGAGCTCATGAAATATACTGCCAGACTGTCATGTTTGGTCAGCTACCAACACTGATCGATCAGCCGTTGGCGCTGCTTGGAAACATTTTGAACATGCTTAAGACTCACATGCATATCAATATACATGTATGTATATTCATATTTAACTTGCATTAAATGCGGCAGCTTAAGATTCACACGCACATAAATACATACATAATTAGCTTGCATTAAATGTGACAGCTCGCATTTAGCCCCAATTGTCCTTCTTGTAATAATACTTAAAACTTGTCGTTTATTTCATATGTCTAAAATGTTTTGAATACTACAATTACGACTATAATTACATCATAAATGAAAAAAAAATAAAAAAAATAATATATATATATATATATTGAGTTCCAATTACAACTAAATTTTGTATCAGTACATAGGCGCTAAATGAGAAAGAAAGTAGCCTATATGTGTTTAATAGATATATGAATATTTAAATATGTATTCTTAAATATATATATAGATATAAGAAAAAAAAAACAATTATATATAATTACAGTTACATAGCAGTCAAAATCCGATTTTCTCAAGTAGCTCAAATAGCAAAAAACCGATAAAGCTTTACAAATGTAACATTTGTGTCCTATTCATATTTTCTTTTTGTTTTATTTTTTTAATGTTGGGGGGGAGGGGGGCGCTGGGGACTGAGGATTCCGCTCGACACTTGTCATAAAATAGATTGCTACAGTCTTTGAGTGTAGAAACGGAGGGGTGGGTAGAGGTGAAGGGGGGTGCCGGGCGATAATTTAGGGGTCGGGGGGCGGGTGAGGCGCATTCATTTACATCTATGTGGAGCATTAATTTCTTCAGTTTTGTGGTTGTTTATTAGTTGTTGTTACGATTGCGATTAATGCCGCCGCCGCGATTGCGATTATTACCGCCAACAAAATGACGGCCATGATTCTGGTTGCCGCCATTATTACCATTTGGCCCACCAAAATTCTTAAAGCCGGGCGGTCCGCCGCCATTGAATGGTACGCCCATATTATTCATATTCATGTTATTCATGTTGTTCATGTTATTCATGTTGTTATTCATGTTATTCATGTTATTCATGTTGTTCATGTTGTTCATGTTATTCATGTTATTCATGTTATTCATGTTACTCATGTTATTCATATTGTTCATGTTATTCATATTAAGATTATTCATCTGATTAAGATTGCTCATGTTATTCAGATTATTGGCGCCAGCGAACGGATTAAATGGATTATTATTCATCACGCCCATAACATTCATATTGCCCACATTTGGCGGCATCCCCAAAATGCTATTTGCGCGTAGTTGTTGTTGTTGCTGCTGCTGTTGTTGCAACTGTTGAGGAGGCGGTTGATTAAACGAGGCCATGCCCATCCCCATGGCCATCATGCGATTCACATTTGGCGGCGGCTGACGTAACAGTTGCATTTGCACCAAATTTGGCGGCGGTTGCGACATATTCGGCAGCATGGGCACAACGATGGGGCCAACGCCAACGTTGCCAACATTGCCAACAACATTCTGGGGCGGTTCCTCGGGCAGCTGGACGACGAGGCCATTGTCATCGATGTAGATGTGCAGCTTCGCAAAGATCTGTTGCAGCGTCTGATTGCTGACAATGAAATTCACATCGAATATCTTGTTGGGCGACTCTTGCTGCTGGTGGAATTTCTTAAGTTCGGTGAATACCAGTGCCAGCTGTTGATTCACCATGATCTTATTGTTGCTCCCCAAATTCTTGTACCAATTGGAGATCTGCAACAGATTTCGGATCTCTGCTATTTGACGGCTGCTATCGTTAACAGTGCCAGTTGCTGCTGCTGTTGTGGAACTGTTAGCGCTGCTGTTAACAGTGCTGCTGGCAACAACATTTAAATGAGCACGTCGCGGATCACGTCGCGGATCCGTGCGACGGGGATCCTTCGAGGCAGCTGCTCCTACTGCTGCTGTGGATGCTACTGCTACTGTTGTTGTTGCTGCTGCTTCTGCTGCCACCGACTGCATTGGTGGTGGCGGTGGTGAACTGGGCGTGGACTCATGCATCATGTTGTGTGCATCCGGCGATGAGATGCAGTTACTTGTCTTGCGTTCGCCTCGCTCCCTTGCATAGCCTGAGCCACTACTGCTACTCAATTGGGTGCTGCTGCCGCTGCCAGCGGCGCCGCTCTGGCTACTCTGACTACTGCCGCCGGCAGCAGCCACTGGGTCATCTGTAGTCGATAGTTCGGCGATGCCGAGAATGCGACGCAGTCGAGGATCACGCAACTCGTGCTGTTGTTTGTGCGAGGCACCCTGACGCAACTGGGCATAGCAGGCCGGTTCGACGAGCACCTCGTCCATACGCCAACGGATCGGTACGTGCGAGAATATCGCCGCATCGATCTCCCTCGCTGGCAAATAATGCTTCATCGGCTCGAGGAGCAGACGCATATCGATGTCGCGATCCCGTTTACGTTTCGCCTCACTGCAACGCTCATCCTCCATGGCCGCCTTGTCCGCATCGTAGTCGTACATGGTGCTGCGTACATAGATCGATTCACCCGATCGTTGGATGGCTATTGGCTCCTGCTTTAGTTGCAGTTCCAGCAGTTGCAGTTGGTCGTCGTCAAGGTCGAATCCCTTGGGTGACTGTGAGCCCGGTTCCGGCGTTGGTATTGGCGTCAAGGAACGCGAATCGGAATTTGAATGCGGCCCATTGCTGATGTTGGTGCTGCTGTTGTTGTTGCTGCTGGGATTGTGATTGTTCGTGTAATTATTGTAATCGTCGCTGCTGTCATCGGCTTCAGCCTTGAACGGATTGCGTATGATATCCGTTTCGTTTTTATCACCAAACAGCAGCTTACTGAAGGATCCAGCACTCGAACTCGTTTCGATTCCGCCTCCAGAAACGGTTGGTGTTGTTGTTGCTGGCTTTTGGCCCTGCATATTGCTCATAAAGGTGGGTAAATCGAAAACGGACGGCAGTGGCGGCGTCTCCTCCTCCTTAACTTTATGCTTAGTATCCTCCTGGTCAGACTGGTTCTCCCCCTCCTCCTCCGCGTCCTCATCGTTTTCATTGGGACGTTTCGATGACTTCTTTGCCTTCGCATCCGCATCGGAATCCTCCTCATCCTCATCGTTGCCATCATCGATGACCAGCTGCTCATCATCCTCCTCCCGATCATCGTCTACTGTAAAATTAATGGTTCATTAACATTTAGTTAACAGATTAGCTATTAACACTTATGTTATATATGCTTAACAGCGCACGATTATGTTAAATGCCAAATAACATGGCACTGTTAACTGAACTCGAAAGTTTGCTTAGAGGAAAAACAAGCCGAACAATAGAACTATAATCGTAAAACGAACTATGCACATATATATATGCAACGAATATTGTGTGATATATTGGATTGTTTTCGGAGATTAATTTCAAGTTGAATACTTACAAATTAAGAAATTAGAAAGTAACCCAAAATATCCATTTGACAATTTAAATGTATAGTTTTTACGGATTAACATTAATTAATCACAACTGAACCAAGTTGACCAAACAATAAACAGACTCACACTAAATTGCACTGGAATACTTTTAAAATTCGAGGCCGGATTAATTAAGACTCATCTGTACTCTGAAAGATTCTAAATAAGTTGTAGACTTACGGGGATCGTTACCGTGCAGGAGATTGCATTGGGCATCCTTTAGATATTGCGTGTAGTCGACCATGAGGACCATGCCGTGATTACTGCTGCTGTTGCTATTTGAGTTGATGCTGGCGCCGCCCACAGTCGACACTGCCTCCTTTTCCAAAGTAGCAGCAGCTCTGAGAGGAGTGCAAATGCCCAGTTAGAAAATGGAAGAAAGATATAAATGCAATGCTTACTTGACTGTCGTCTCAGCTGTGCTGCTGGCTGCAACTGCTGCTCCTTTTGCTGCTCCACTTGCACATGCACCAGTTGCTTGTGCTGCTTGGTCCTGCGGCTTGGCCTCCTCGACCTTGCGCTGGATCTCACCAATTTCGAGCAGTGTGAGACCCACTTTGGTTAGCTGGCCGAATGGCACCTGCTGCATCTGCTCCAGATTAGTGATGCCCAGCTTATTCAGCTTGGCCATGTGCTCCACGCTCAGAACCCGCGTCAGATTCAGCAGATCCAAGTGGGCGGGCAGCGGCTTAGTGGCAGTGTTAGTAACTCCAACCGGACTCGGATTTGATGTGGCAGCTATTGCTGTTGGTGGGACAGCTGCTGCTCCAATCGGAGTCGTAGCATTTGTTGCTTTACCCGCCGCCGCTGCCGCTTTTTCCGCCCAGCGCGATTTGCGCTTTTTCTCAGGCTTGGCATCGCCCAGCGCCGCCAGATTCGTTGGCGGCTTGATGACGATGTCCAGCAGCGATGGTATCGCCGTCGCATTAACACCAGCTGCAGCTGCAGCAGCAGCAACAGCAGCCGCATTTGCCGCGGCAATGGCGGCCACTTGATTGGCCGCCTGGACGGCTGCTTTCGCTGCTGCCGCATGCTGTTGCTCCTGCAGGCGATTAACGCCAGCGCCGGGCAACGTTGTCCAGCTGCTATCCACTTTATACTGTTCGCACAGCTGTTCGTGGCGTCGCGTCATCTGGGTGAGCGCGACGTCGCGCGAGATGCGCTTGAAATCGCCAAGGATCTCCTTGGGCGCTGTCTCCATGTGCTTGAGCAGAATGTTATGCAGCTGCTCGGTCAACGGTTCGCCGTGATGGAAGAGACAATCGTCGCCGTCATAGCACTCCATGCCCAGATAGTAGTATTTGCATGGGAACTCCTTGTGCATATAGCTGCACTTGTCCCGCTTCGCACAGCAATCCTTCAAATAGAATTTGCACAATTCCAATTTGCGCGGTTCGCGCATCTTCTCATCAATTGAATCGCGTCGATTGCGCTTGTTGCTGCCGCTGTTGCCTCCTCCTCCACCTCCACCGCCGCCTCCTAATCCACCACCACCATCGTGACGTCGATCCATGTCACGATCCCGTTCGCGATCTCTGTCGCGATCACGATCGCGTCGCTTGCGTCCGGCACGCGTCTCCTTCTCGCGTTCGCGCCGCTGGCGATGTCGCTGGGCAGCGTCGACGGCAGCGATGACGTTCGCATTCTGTGACTCCTCCTCCGAATACGAATCATGGCTACTGTATATATCCGGCTGCGCATCATAGCCGCCGAGAACGCCAACGCCAGCATCCTTACCCAATCCCATTCCCCGCCAATCGCCGATCCCATAACGATTGCCACCAACACTATTCACCGTTGCGGCAGTGGTGGCAGCAACACCACCCGGCGGCGGACTGCCGCCACGCACATTCATCATTTCATACTCATCCATATCAAGCTCATTGCTGCCGGCAGCGCCATCAATGTCGTCCATTGAATCGCGTCGTGCACGTTTCTATAAAAATAATATAAATATCCATAAAATATATATAACCAGTTGATAGACAAAACAATCGCATTCTATTGATATCAAATCATATTTGTAGGCAAAGCCATATGGCATATAATGCAGCTCTATTTCTATTATATCCAATATCATCATGAATTTTAAAATCTTGGCTCGATTAGAGAATGATTCCATCCATGAGTAATTACCAAATACTAAACACATTCTATATGCATTTTGTATATTTTTGAGTATTTATGTGGACAGTAAAATAGTTGTGAAGACAATAACTGCTTTTTAAGTTCATTTAATATGGATTCTTTTAGCAATCAAATTGAGCTGATTTGAATGATTCCAGAAAATGTAGTTAACCATTTGACACGGTCCGTGGCAGTCCTAATAAACCAATGCGAAAGGAACTTTACTGAATATTCTACTAACTATATTGACTGAAGGAAGATGGAAGTTCTGAGACCGTCCAATTGATATAGCTATGCAATTGTTAATTTGTTCCTTGATCTTAGAGCTTACGCTCTTCTATCTTCTATCCTCAGCCCTATACTGATGTCCTTGGCCCATTTAAAATTATTGGATGGCTAAGTTAAGTCTTTATGAATATATAATCAAATCTTAACTTTAGCAAACAAAATCAATAGAAAAATTCAAGCTTTCTTCACTGTCCAGCTCAAGCAGAGGGGAGGATCATAACTGACCTGATGCTCCTTATCTTTCTTTTGCTCGCGTTCGCGTTCCTTTTTGCGCTTGCGTCGACGACTGCTGCGGCTTGGAGCCGGCTGTAATGCCGCATCGCTGCTTGTGACAGTGGCACTGCTGTTGTCACCGATTATAGCGACGTTAGCAGCGCTGTCTGCGTCACTGTTGTTGCTTGTGTTCAGTTTGGGCAGCGGCGGCTCAATTCCACCCTTTTTGAGCGCCTTGGCAATGGCATTCTCAATGCTCACCGCATGATCATCTGTATGTGCGTGTGTGTGTGTGTGCGTATGGCAGACAAAGGAATCAGTTGGAGGAGTAGAAATGAGAGATGAGTAAATAACGTATCCAAGTGGAAATTGCTGTTGGTAATTGCTGCTGATGTAATTGTTTACCTTCGAGTGGCCGAGGTTTCTTCGATTTGTTATTGTTGCTGTTAGCATTTGATGATGGGCCGCCGGTTGCCGTTTCGCTGGACATGCCCAGGAATATGACGCCATCGTCGTGAATTGGCGGCTGCTCAATGCCAACAAATTGGACTTCATCATTAGTAGAAACGCCAGCTACTAAACCCGATGGCTTTTGTGGCGTTTGTTGTTGTTGCTGCTCCTCAACATCATCATCATCTTTGTCGTCGATCTCGCCATCTTCAAGGTCCTCCGCTAAGTTAATTAGCGGCGTTTCGCTAACCACAGAGGACATTTTGAGTTTCTTACTCGAAACGAACCAAAAATGCTGGAAAAAGATTTCGTTGGGTTTTAGCCAAAGACTGGGGTCATATTTCACACATATGTAAATACATATATATATATATATATATATATATATGGTATATGAACTGAACGAACACATATGCATAAAGATTCACACGACTGTTAACCACAGTGCGGCATAGTTACATGTTGCTAACATATCATATCGCGTGCAGCATGTTGCTGAGAGTGGGTGGGCCATTTTATATACGAAATAAAAACAAAACAAAACAATCGAAGGCTCTGTAAAAACAAACACGCACACGCATGCATCATACGTATATAGAGGCATGTATATATACATATATATCTATACACGATTCTCAATTTCCTTTCACTTGGCTCATAACAGAGCGCTGTTAACAGCAAAGCAGCGCACCGAAAATGTTGCGAGCAACATTTAATGCACACACTTGTTGCTGTCGATGGCCTGGCAAGCATAAAATTGTAAATGTGCATTAAATGCATAAAACAGACATACGTACACACACACATACATTTATTGTGCTGCTTTTTGAAATCATATCGCTATATTTTGTTTATCATTGAATGCTTTATATGTGTGCATATAACAGCGAAATGTTAACGTACGATGTTATGTCTGTACAATAAACGTCAGTTTGTATTTGTGTGTATGTATACGTATGTATGTATGTATTATACATGTATGTACTTCCACATTGCACGTTTAACACAATTTACTGTTGTTGTACATAACATAATTCGCAAAAATTCGTTAGCCTTACCAACGTTCACTCGCACGCATGCAAACAGGCACACACACACACAGACACACACATACTCAAAAGAGAAGGCTGAATGCGACGCTGTCGAGCGTTTTAAGTGTGGCTAACCTGTCATGTTGTCTCGCTTGCGCGCATTGGCTGAGCATAGGACGCAAGTGTGTGACATACACACACACACATCCATACACAAATGCAAGCAAACATGTGTACAGGCCGACATGTATGCGTAAGCATGCGTGTGCGTGTGACGGGCATTTGCTAAGAATGTACATCAAAAAAGAAAAAACAATGAAAATTTACATATGTACATTAGAAATGATGTTATTTTATGAAATTACACTTTGCCTCTGTTGTTCTCGTTGTTAGCTTTAAAACTGTTGGGCCACGCTGGGCGAAAGTTATTGTCTATATATAAATTGTCTGTATTTATACGAGTGTATGTGTGAAATGCGACGCCCCGCATGACACACGAGCGACAATTAAGAAAAACAAAAAGAACCAATGGTTCAGCAAATGGCCGCTGTGCAGGGTATTTACTATGCATAAGTGCACTGTATATACAAATGTGAGTGTGTGTTTGTGTGAGAGAAAAACATGCATACGCATGTTTGTAGTATGTACATAACCCTTTTGTTGGTTTTGTCGGGAAAAAATAAATCCATGTTATTTTTTAGATTTGCTTTCTTTTTGTCATTGCTGTGCAATAATTGTTTTTTTTTTTTTGCTTTTGCATTTGGGAGGTGGGCGTGGCAGTCGAATGCACGAGCAGTTCTCGTGTGACTAAAAAAACGAAAACGATAACATGGATTTCGTTTTGAAGAATTTGGAAAAAATTTGTTTTTTGTGCTAGGCATTTGGAACAATTTCTCTTACGTTTCAGCGTGTGGGCGTGGTTTGTGGTTACGGAACATTACAAATTACAGTTATTAATGATTTATAACATTTCTGTTCAATTTTGATTTCTTGGTTATATTTTTGGTTTGTCGTTGGTTATTTTTCTTTTCGTTTTGCATTTGTTTTTAATTTTTTTTTTTTTTGGTTTTTTTTTGTTTTGCTTTGCTTGTTTGGCGTCGTAGAGTTCCCGCTGGCTTACATAATGAAGTGGTACAGTAGGTGAATAGATATGCATATACATATGTATTTCAGATATGTGAAGGCATATATACACATACATATACATATACAGGCATACACATATACATGACTATAGCGCAATATGTGCGAACACACAAAAAGCACATATACATTTAACATTTATCTATGCATATATACATATATGTATATATATATGTATTATACCGTATGTATGTGCAGTATATATGTACATATGTATAAGAAATATAATTTCTTTGGTTTTTTTTATACAATATATGCAAGCTGTCGCTCTCTGACTCTGTGGCCCTGGCCTCTGTATGTCTGTCCCTTTCTCTCTCTTTTGCTCATAGACAGAATAACAAATACATTAAATAATTAAAAACTCAACATGAGCGTTGTTAACAATTCAACAATATCTACTTGAATGATTTGTGAAAATTGCAACCGTATGACCTGAACTGAAACCAGGGATGCGTGCACGTGTGGTGAGTTAGCTTTAGGTTTATTGCTGCCGGTAGTAATTCTTTAAAGCAATTTTTATATATATATTTAGAACTGCCTTCGGCAGTGCATGTTTTTGTTTCTTTTTTTCTTTCTTTTGTATAAGTGCAAATATACATTAATTAAATTATATATATTCATTACCAAATCCAGTTTGCAATTTGTGAATATGTTGTGCACTCAACTGTTGCTGCATCGCGCAAGTGTGGTGAAGTTGTCGATTGATGGCAGAGTTGTTGCGGACACAACAATCGCGATAAAAAATTGAGTTATTCATAATTTTCGTCATCTCCATTAATGCCGCCAAAATAAAATTTTTCCTTTTCTACCATTTGTTAATAACAACCTTGTATATATTTTCCAACCAAATCAATAAATGCCCAATTTCATCATATGAAAAGCTCAAAATTCGATTTGCGTCGCCCTTTGAACGAATAAAAATTTAATCGGGAATTTTTGTATCTATCTACAAAATATGTTTTCGAATTGATATATATATGGGTGGGCAGCAAAAGCACTTAATTATATTACCTTGTACATAATACTTCACCAAACTTTATTTTCATTTCTCGAGAAAATTGGTGAGCTCCTTTTCAACAAATTTAAGTATGTCAATTTGCTTTTTGGAAAATTTGTCCTGCTACAACGCACGTGTGCATTCGCGATGTTAATTTCTTTTAAGCTTATAGAAAATACCGTGCAATGAATAAATGCTATCGATAAATAGTGTGACCTGATGCTGTGATGATTATTTAGGGAAAGTTCACATTGTGCTGATCTTGTGTAAATATTGATATTGTTTTTGCTCAGGTTTTTTTAATAATGCTGACAACTAAATAAAATTTACGCTTCTTAATAATTAAATTTTTTTTTGTGTACCAAAGTTGTGTCTGTGTGAGTGTGTAATATAGTTGTCGATTAGTTAGTTTTTTTGCATTTATTTTTATTGGAACTCTCCGGGCACGAAAATGGAGGATGTGCTGAAAAACATACATATCGATGATCTGCCCTATTTGGAACGCGATCTTCACATTGCCCAAAAGGTCTGGTCCAAACGTGAACTGGTTGAAATTCGAATTATCATTTTTGATTCGTAGGTGTCGCTGGCATTTCTGCTGTTTGGCGATTCGCATGGACACGCGACATACATATTGCAGAAGCTGCTGGCTCTGATGCGTTCGCCCCAATCGGAGCAGATGCACAGCGATCTGTTGCATCAATATGCCCTGAATGCGAATCCCACACATTGGCGCGGCCATCTGATTGAGGCGCTCTGCATCATCGATGCACGCCAGGCGTTGCGTAAATTAGGCCTCAATTGGCCGGAGTTGCGTCTTCACTATTTGCCACACGTCCGCGAACTGGCGCTCCATATACATCCGCTGCTCAAGGCCATGTATCACATCTGCGAACAGCTAACGATCACCCAAAGCGGACGACTCATTCTCGACTTGAATGAGAAACTGACGCGCCATAAACAGAACAATGAGCCACTGCACTTCTATGATGCTGACTATTTGGAGATCTTTCTGCTTGACTGGCTGACGCATCGCCATTTGCGACTGGGCGACATCAATGCGGTGGGCAGCGATGTCCAACTGCTCATCGAATACTTTAAATTCAATGATCTGAAGTCCCTTGCCACGCTGCTCATCGAAACGGTCAACAGCGGTGCAGCGACGCAGGCAGCAGACAATACACTTCCAGTGGAAGCAGTCGCAAAGGAAGAAAAAGATGCAGTTGCTGTTGAAAGTGATGCCGCTGCTAATGCTCCCACTGCTGCGTTGGATCGCTGCCCAAATGCGCTTCAGGTGCGACGCAAAAATGCCGGCATTATGCTCATAATCAATCAGCAGAGATTCCATCGCGATGTCGGCGAGGATGTGCGCGTAAGTATCACGAATCGATATCGATGTATAATAAGAATGTCAAATATATTAAAGCGATATTTTTGTTTGCAGCACCTGCTGCCAACCGTAAAGCTAAGCGATCGCAATGGCACCGACAAGGATAAGGAGCGGCTGACCGACGTATTTTCGGGACTCGGCTACCAAGTGGAGGCGCACGACAACGTCGACCATTGGGAGCTGCTCGATCACATTCGCAGCGCGTGCTCGCGTTCGCAGCTGCGCGACTCGGTAATTGTCTGCATATTGTCGCACGGATTCGAGGGTGCCGTCTATGGTGCGAACAGCATTGCACTGAGCATCGTTGATATACAGAATGTACTCTGTGGCAACCGGGATCTGCACGACAAGCCCAAGTTGCTCATCATTCAGGCCTGCCAGCAAAAAGAAGATTTGAATCAAACGGTAATAATATTCGCATGATTCGGTCATAGACCTCTTCCCGACTTCTCTTCGACTATTCATATGTTTATTTACATATTAACCTACTCTACTCAAAAATTGAGGATCACTTATTACAGACACACATTTTCAGAGATGTATTCTAATTCTATGCTCCCCTCATTTTGTAGTGTATAGTGAATGCGAGAACGGAGTCACCCATCCAACAAGCCAATATGGTGTTGGCCATGTCAACAGTGGCGCGCTTTGTTGCGCTGCGTCACAGCGTTAAGGGCAGTTGGTTCATTCAAACGTTATGCGATACGGTTGAACGGAAGGCCGCCACGTAAGTCAATCAATCAATCAATCAGTTAATCAGTCATCAATCGTATCTCGATTAAAATCCCATCTATTGCAGCGAACATTTGCTGGACATTCTGACCTATGTCATCGGGAAAGTGAGCACGCAACGAGGCGACAATAAACAGATGATGGTGCCCATTGTTGCCAACACGCTGAAGCAGAAAGTCTACTTTTCGGATAATTGAGTCCGCTCCGATATATGTACATATGTGTATATGCAGTTCATGGATTTCTATATACAGTTGAGATAAGATAAAAATAAAATAAATATAAAAACTATTAGATTTAAGAATTTTTTTTGTTTTTATGCTAACTAATTTGAAAAACATGCAAATGTTAAATTTTTGCTTATCTTCAGTATTGGTTGATATATCTTAAACTAATGTGATGCAAATGTAACATTTAATGTTATGTATTATCTGTAAAAACCAGTTCTATGTCTATATTATAGGTTTTAATTTCTTGTTACTTTCCGTATCCTTTTCAAATTAATATTTTATAAGCTGAGTTATACATATACACCTAAACAAGTGGAAGAATGGAAGAAAAATATGCTGCTCTCATTCTCTCTCTGTCTAACTCGTTGCGAACAATTTGAATTTATATATTTATATGAAACTATATTATGCAGTAATATTCATTTGCAAATAGTTATAGCGAGGAATTGGATAAATAAAAATAAAAGAATGAACAACAATTGAAGGCAACTTGTGGTTTTATTTCTGAATTTTTTGTTTGTTTATTTTTTCACTGCATTTACTTCTGAACAGTAGACACAATTGGAACCCCCTCCCACACATACTGCACCCCTTAAGAATACTTTTGCAGCTTAGCGAGCAGCTTCTTATGCAGTTTGCGATCAGATGCGCCAGTTGGCTGGTATTCGTTCAATTTGGTGGTCAACTCTTTGGCTGCCTTGCTGTCATTGGCCAAAGCGTTCTGAATGCGACGGATGTGTTTGAGCAGCAGATCTAAATATTGTTTGCGTCGCACATTGCTCAGCTCATTTGTCAGCATCAGTCTGCTGATGCTTATGGCAACTGAAGCAATGCCATCCCACTGCGTGCCGAACAACGTACCAAAGCTGGCCACCAGCGAGTTATTTAGATATTTTTGCAGTAGCGGTTCGACGGCGGCGCTGCTCAGTTCTGTCCCATCGAACTGGGTGAAGAGATAGGCGATGCATTTGTTGCGCCACAGGTTCGATTCGTTTGGCGCATGTTCGGCGTTTTTCGGCGATTTCAGAACCATCAACGTCTCAATGCTGTCCACAATGGTTGACTTGTTCGCTGGCGAGCCAGTTGTCTTGATGGTGATCAGGCGTTGCAGCAACTTGATGCTGGTCTGCGACAATGATTTTAGCTTGTCATCGGTGCAGCTAATGTGATAGACATGATAGACACGGCTCAGTGCGTCCACGACAAACTCCAGCTGCGGTCGAGCGATCACAAACTGTTCGACCAGATCAAGCACCCGGATGCGAAAGTGCAGCAGTGTAGTGCTGTTGATGCGCTCCGATTTGGTTTGGCGTTTGGACTTGGATTTGCTTTGACCCTTCGGTTTGAAGGCGTGAAAGGCGGTTTCCAGTGCCCGATTCAGACGATCGCCCTGCTCTTCGCTCACATCGTTCCAATCGACGCTGCTCGCATCGTTATCCTCATCGTTGTCATCGTTGAGCAGTGCGAGGCGAACATTTTCACGTATCTGATCCAAATTTGTTGCATCATCGTACTCATCATCATCCGCATCATCCGCGTCCTCGTTCTCCTCATCATCATTATCTTCATCGTCGTCCTCTTCCTCGTCCTCATCTTTTTCATCCTTATCCTGCTTCTCAGCGCTTGCTGGTTCATTGTCCTCATCCTCATCGGTCTCCATCTCCTCATCTTCATCTTCGTCTTCAACATCGTCCTGCTCGCCGTCTTTGATGCCCAGCGGATTCTGTGTCATATCCAGATTGTCCAGCATCTGGCCAAGATTGTCGCTGCCAAGATGGGGCATCAGTGCACCGAATATGTTATTCACAAATGAACGCCAAAAGTGACCCGTTTGCAGCAACAACTGCAGCAGCACATCTGTGAGAACTTCCTGCCAGCAGGGCTCCGATTCCGACTGCAATATAAAACAAAATAAAAATGTTTATTTATTAATGTTGATAAATAATAAAGAAATTGCTGTTTGCTGGCAGACTTACCAATGAATTATTCTTGTTCTCCTTGCATGGCTTCGGATCGAGCGCATTTTGCTTGCAGATTAAAATGTCGGTGACAAGTTCGGGAGTAATGCTGCAACTGGGCATGAACATGGCCAGTGCCAGGGACAGGACTAGCGCATCGAATACAAGGGCAAGCGTTGTCATATCTTTGGCGGCGGCCTTTGCATTCACAACGACACTAATCGCTGGCCACACCTGTTGAAAGTCCGGCACTAGTTTCGAGCGCAACTTCGACTCAAAGTCCGGTTTTGACATATGCTTCGCCAGCTGTCGTAGCAGCCCTCGCAGTAGTCCATTCAGCGTGGCCAACTGTTCGGAGCCGGAGCCCAGTTTATGCATTACGCAGCTGAACAGCACCTCCTCACAGCGAGACGCCGTCTGGCGACTGAACTGTGCTGCCAGCTGCCCGCCATCGCACGGCTTCTGCTCGGCATCCAAGTGGAAGACGGCGGCGTGAAGCAGAAAATCGAGCTGATCGCTACGCTTGCTAAACTCCAGCTGCAGCTGGTGCATCTGGTTGAGGCAGTACTCCCGATGCGATTTACCCAAATTCTCTGCCTGACTGATGAGCTGCTCGCGATAGAACTCGTACATCATCGTCCGTCCGGCCTCGTCCAGCTGGCCGAGCAGTTGCTGGGTGAATCGCGGCGTTTGCGTCACATTGTCCAGTTGTAGTTGCTGCTGCAGTAGCGCACGCAGTATGTGCAACTTGTTCGACTGCTGCTTCAACTTGTGCTTGAAGCTGATGAGCAATGCCTTCTCAAATTTGTGGCAAATGCCACGTAGCTGCAGCTCGGCCGACTTGCATATTTTCGATTTCTTTGGGCGTTGCTTTGCCGACGCCAGCTCCTGCAGCAGCATGCTAACCAAGGGTTCCGTGCCAAACAGCTGCTCCAACTGCGCATCGTTGCGCTTGCCGCCATCATCATCATCGTAGTGCAGCAGAATATGCGTGAGCGTTTGCACAATGTAGCACTTGGCGCCGATACGCTTTACCGGCAGCTGTGCCACAATATGTTGCTGCCAGGCGGTGAGCAGCTGCTCGCCGCCATTAGCGTTGCTTGCCAGAAACTTGCCCAGACGTTCGTAGACGCCATCGCTTTGCATGCTGGCGCTGTTCAGATAGAGCTCAAAGAGCTGTGCATATTGCGACTGCTGCGTCTGCCACAGGATCGACTTCAACTTCTTGAGCGTCAGCACCGCCGAATAGTTCAAGTGTACGGCCAACAAAAGATCGCAGCTATGCAGGGTCTGCTTAGCGATGGATGCACTCAGTTTCGGCTGCAGCAACGGCCACACATGCGACTCAAAGATGTCAGCGTCAACCTGTTTTAAATATACAATTCCACATTTGATATATGCACATTTTTATTGGATATAGTAGTTGTGGGCGTACCTGCTTGAAGGATTCGGCCATAATGTCGATGGACATGGCTACCAGATAGTCGCGTCCCTTCAAATGTGCCACGAGTATGGGATAAATGGCATCGACTAACTCTGGCGCTGGTGGCTCAAAATATGGACTCTTAATTATGGCATACGATGTGATCAAATGACCGACACCGGCCAACGATTCCTCTTTGCCCTTTTGCTGGCTGTTTACCTTCAGCTCGCGCTTCAGCACATCGAGCAGCTCGATAGGCTTGAGGCCAGACACCTGGCTAACAATGCCATTGATATAACTGGCATTTAAGGCGACGGCATCCATGTCATCGGCGCCAGTGCAGCGCACCAAACGCTTAAGCGCATATGCACAGGTTGCCGTACGCTGTGTGTGCAAAAATAAAAGTAATATTTTATTAATTGATTATTCTTAAAATAGCAACTTTACTCACCATGTCCGCATTGCTCTCGTCTGTGAGCAGAGCAATCATTTCGTTAATGGGCCTTGCTGCATTTTTATTTACGTTCGGTTCTTGCAACTTTTTGAAAATGCCAAAGATCGCCTTATTGATACTGGATGTCTGCAGTTTTTTATTAAGCTCATCATCTTTCTCATCTTTCTGATTCTCATCATTCCCAGTCAGTTTTCGTTTCTTGGCCGGCGTCGCAACATTTTCAACATTTTCTTTTTCATCTGTTCCATTTTGGCGCTGGATTTTGGCCTGTTCCTTGCGGTTCTTCTTCGGATTTTTGATCGGAGAACCTTCCCTTTTATTTGGTTTTGGCGACATCTTTGGTTTTTTAGTCACATTGGCCACTACGGCCACCTTTTTGCCCATTTTTTTGTAGCCAAGTTTATAGTTCACAGAATCAACTTCTTGAGCACGTTTTTTAAAACTCGCTTGCTGCCTGTTGTTGGTTTAGATGTGACCAGATATGCATCCACCACATGGTTGTAGGAAATTACACAATCGATTAAATTAAAATGAAAATAGCTCGAGCTAGGTTTGCAGCTTATAACACAGCTCAATAATACATCCGAAATTTATATAATAATCAATTAATTAGTATGAGGAAATGTTCTGCTTATTTTGGATTCAGACAGACCGGCAAAGAGCATCACTTCTTCCTTACCAAAAAGTGATTTCAACGTCCTAAATAAATTACACGAATGCCTTATAATGTTATTTATTATACATTATTTGAATTTAGAAATCGCAATAATGGTCGATTGCATTTTCCACTCCTCTTCTGACTTTGCGCTAATTGCAATTAATATGTATACACAGTTATAAAAAATGAAAATGAAATTCAAATCGAATCTATTGTGCATTATTGCTAACGCATCGATATATTGTTGCATAGTTATCTATCGATAGTTATTCAACGGCCCTCGTCGTCAGAGCAGCAACCGGTGTTTTCTACCTCTGAACCAGCTGCCAGGCGCCAGTCTTCCCGATATCGTTGCAGTTGCTTAATCAGTTTTCCGAAAAACTTCAATATGCTCAAGGTAAGCTACACACATAATAATAAATAACAACATACAGTAAGCAACACATTTGCTTATAATGTGCACTGTGCATTTTTTGTCTGTGATCTGTCTGTGCCCGGGTACAAAGTCCAATTGGGACCGATCATTGTCTGCTAAGAATAATTGTATACAGTATACCGTATACGGTATACATGATAGGTGTACTTTGCACTATTCAAAGTTTTCACGCGCCGCGTTATCGTTACACAATAATTAACAAGTAATAAGAAAAAATAAAAATAAATAAATATATATATAAATTTGTGTATGCACCAGTCGATAGTGTCTTACTTTTGAGATACCCTTTAGTCAGATATAAATAGGCATTTGCACAGAGACAGATAGAAAGAGAGAGAGATAATCATTGATTATCGTTTATTGTTTTGCAGAACGTTGTCTCCCTGGTGACCGGTGGCGCCTCCGGTTTGGGCCGTGCCACCGTCGAGCGTTTGGCCAAGCAGGGCGCCAGCGTTGTGCTCGCCGATCTGCCATCGTCCAAGGGCAACGATGTGGCCAAGGAGCTGGGCGACAATGTCGTGTTTGCCCCGGTTAATGTTACCTCCGAGGAGGATGTGACCGCCGCTCTCGAATTGGCCAAACAGAAGTTCGGACGTCTCGATCTGACAGTTAACTGTGCCGGCACAGCGACCGCCGTGAAGACCTACAACTTCAACAAGAATGTGGCGCATAAGCTGGAGGATTTCCAGCGGGTGATCAATGTGAATACCGTTGGCTCGTTCAATGTGATCCGCCTGTCCGCTGGACTGATGGGCGCCAATGCACCCAATAAGGATGGGCAGCGTGGCGTCATTGTGAATACAGCATCGGTGGCCGCATTCGATGGCCAGATTGGTCAGGCGGCATATTCGGCGTCGAAGGCCGCCGTTGTTGGCATGACGCTGCCCATTGCACGCGATTTGAGCACGCAGGGCATCAGGATCTGTACGATTGCGCCGGGCCTATTCAATACGCCAATGTTGGCGGCACTGCCAGACAAAGTGCGCACATTTTTGGCCAAGTCGATACCGTTCCCACAGCGTCTGGGCGAGCCCAGCGAGTACGCCCATCTAGTGCAGGCCATCTACGAGAATCCGTTGCTCAACGGCGAGGTCATTCGTCTGGATGGTGCCCTCCGCATGATGCCCTAAACAGGCAGACGACAGACACTCCACTTGAGATCAGTTTGCATTTATAGGAGCCAATTAGCTCATTTTTTTTTTATTTGGTTTCTTCTAACACATAAGCTAAAAAGGATCTATTTTTGATTGGTGTGAATTTTGAAAAGTCGATAAAGTATAGATTGCAAAACTAAAAGTATGCTCGTGTCTTAAATTATTTCAATATTTTATATTTGAATTTTAGAGCAATGCAAGCAGTGCCGGTAGCTATCGATAACAACAAAAATGTCGAAATCAACCCGTTTACGATAAATATGGGACCCACAAATCGATATCATTTGGTATTTTTCGTTTTTAGTATTTCGTTGCAGTGAATTATGTTTGGGATTTTTGGCATTTGTGCGCTGGGCACAGTGGAAACGACGCTGAAACGACGTCGGAGTTTTGGGACGAATTAAATAATGCTGAAATTGAAAGCAGCAGCCGAAAAACAATTGCAATGTGTGCAAATGCAAGCAATCAATATGTGTTCATTAACAAAGTGCGCGTGTTAAACAAAAAGTGCGATCTGTAGGCGTTGGAGAGAGCAATCGCAGCCAGGCCAGGCCAGAGAGAGCCCAGAGCAAGGCAAGTGCAATGAAAATTGTATGCGCCGTCGAATTGTAATGAATGCTAATGCATTTTGCTTGTGTGCGTGCGTCTCTCTATGTGTGTGTGTGTGTATTTGTGCGACACACGTATAAATATACTAATGTGCGTATGTGTATTAGTGTGTGTGTGTCGTTAGGAGAGCAATAATTGAATTAAGCAAAGGTGTTACGTATATGTAAACTGCTGCTGCTGCGTCGTTGCGTATCTGTATGTGTGTGTGGCCAGTTGTGTATATACAAAGTGACAAAAATTCTAATAAGAATATTTGTTATCTCTATCTCGCTCTCTCTCAGTGAGTGAGTTCACTCTTCCAAAATACACAAGCAAAGTGCATTCGCATTAAAATAGCGGCAGCGGCATTTAGCTATCATAAAAAAATTACTACAGCGCACGACTTACTACGAAAACAACAACGACGACGAGGCGTTGACGTCGACAGCGGCAGCGCAGTAGCGTCGCATTTTCCGGCTACTCCTTTGGGTCTGATACTGCTGGGCGGTGCTACGCCTGTGTATGTGTTTGCGTGTGTGCCTATGTGTGTGTATGTGTGTACCTATGTGTGGGTGTGTGTGTATGTGTGTGTAGTACACACAGCGCATCATTTTTTACGCACTCAAATGTTTTGGTATTCTGTTAATATACGTGTGGGTGGATTTGCATGCAAGCATGTATGTGTGTGTGTGTGTGTGTGCGCACTTTTAAATTGCTTGCAACGGTATCAGCGTATTTCCTAGCACAAATATAATAAAAAAAAGGTAGCAAAAATCTACGCCCAAAATCTACTACTAAATTGGCGACAATTTCTGCGCACAAGCAAATGCTGGCAAAACGCTTATGCTTGAGGTGGGCGGTGGGTGGTGGGCGTTATGTGAAATTAAGGCGCACGCAACTGTCATTGACCTTCAAATCGGTGCATTCGCAGCAGCAGCAGCAGCAATAACAACAACAGCAGCAGCAGCAACAACAACGTCGCCGCACCCTAAAGGTCATGTGATGTGTGCCGCGATGCGCAGTGTGTCATCAATTAATCAATTTATCAATTAATCATCAAAGCAATGATTGTCAATACACAACTAACGACGACACCAACAAAACATACATCAACCCGAACCGAACTCCGAACCGAACCCCGAACCGAACTAAACCGAATCCCCAACCAGACCGGTTCAATCTATGCGTGAACCGGCATATTGTGCTCTATTATTAGATGTGATTTTCTATACAACAAACTAATTATATAAATATATCTAATATTTATATATATATATATTTTTTTTAATAATTGAATATTTCAAATAATCAACAGTTGCATTTTAAAACAAAATCAGTAATAAAAAGATCAAAACGATGATTTAAGGCAGGTGATATTTTTTCAAATTCTATGTTCAATCAGAAAATTGCAATTCCTGAAAGGTGAATAGGATCAGCTTAAAAATGTCACACAGAAGCTATTTAAATAATGTGTGAATCTATTCGGTTTTTGTTTGGGTTTTTTTTTGATTATCTATTTTTGATTGAGAAGCTTTGCAGCTATGCTCAGCTGATCCATCACTTATATATTTAACTAATAATCAATTAATTTTACTTGCAGCACACGCACACAGACACACACACACACTCTCTCTCTCTCTTTCTCTCTCTTTCCCTCTCTTTCCCTCTCTCCCTTTCTCTATCTCTGTCGGTCTGTCGGTCTGTCTGTCTGTTTCTCTCTGTCTCTTCGCTCTCTCTATCTATCTCTCTCTTCATCTCGCACACACACACACACACACATACACACACACACACATACACACACACACACACTCACACACACACAGACGCGCATATACAGAACATGGAATCGTCCATTAAGCTTAAGGAGAGCAACAACTCAAACGGTAACCAAAATCAAAGTCTCAATCACAATCAAATGTGCAATGGCAACAGCAACAGCAGCAGTCACAGCAACAGCACCACCAACACCACCAACAACAGCAACAACAGCAGCAGCAGCATCATCACCAGCAACGCCGTGGCTGTTAGCATTTGCAGCAGCGATAGCTTTAGCAGCATGATGCCACCAACGCAGCCGGGAACACAGCGTGATCATGAGTTGGTCAGTGCCAATAGCATTGAATTGAATGCGGCCGCATCGCTGAGCGATGACAGTGGCGTTCCACTTACCACCAACAGCTCCATATCCAGCGGTGATTCCTATCGGATTGGCATGTGCAAGTTTGAGATTGAGGTGAGAGTCTTCTTCTTCAGCGTTTGCTACGTTTCTCACTTTATCTTTTCTCTCTTTTTGTTTCCTTCTTGTTATTGTTGTTGTTCTGTGATTCCCCGCAGATGGTGGAGAGCGATGGCGAGGTGTCGCAATTTGATTCACTGGATAATTGCTCGGAGGGCGGCATGAGTGCGGAGAATTTTAATACGTTAAAAAAGGGGCCACTGGCACCGATTGATCCGCCACCGGAATTCCAGGACTCGCCCCAAACAACACTTGTGCGCTCCATTTCGAAAAATATTGTAAACAGTCTGCGTCGCTGGACCTCATCGCAGTCATCGTTCGAGCATCTCAAGGATGATGTGACCATGGTTAGTGCGGCTGTTGCGAGCGGCACAGCCAATCAGGAGCTGGTCCTGCTGCTCGCCAAACCAATGGTGGTGGAGACGCACAGCAAATTGTTGGGCAGCGGCGATGCAACGGCTGCTGTAACCGCTGCCGCTGCTCTCGTTGTCAGCCAACACAACAGCACACATGCGGAGCATCAGGAGCGCACGCTCAAGGATTCGTATGCAATCAATAAGCATCTGTATTCCAGTGATTCCATATTAAACAGTCATACGGACAACATATATGATGAGCCCAATAATATTATCAGCAGCTCGCTGGGCAACAGCATCGATCTGCTCGATGAGGACGATGACGACGATGACAACGACAACGATGATGATGATGATGATGATGATGATGATGAAGATGATGAGGCGCCGTCAGAGCCGAGCAGCTGTTCGCCATCGCTGCCATCGCCACCGCCGCCCGTCTCAATAATCAAAATCAAGCAAACACTATGTCCCTATTATCACGATCATACGCGCTACTTTAAGGCAATACCCACGGAACAGGATAGCATTGCCAGCGCCAAGGCGGCAGCGGCACAGCAGCGCTTCAACAGTGCCGGTCTCTCCGAGATACACGACTATGATTTGTACTATGGTGCACGGAGCAGACAGCCAGCAATGCAATCGACGCAGACGCAGCAGCAGCTGCCACAGCAGCAGCAACAGCAGCAGCAACAGCAATCGTCACAGGATAACAGCAGTTTGCAGCGACGTCAATTGTTGTATAGCCCATTGGGACATACCAGCCACTGTCATTATCATCATGCGCACCATGCATCGCACTATCATCATCCACACCATCATCATCATCATAATCATAATCATCATCATAGTCATCATCCTCCTCCACATCAGCACCATCAGCATTATCAGCACGGTCAGCGTCCCAATTCGCGCAACTCGCTAAACAGTCGTCTGAGCAGCTCGCACAACTCGCTGAACGTCTCGTCGGCCAATAAGCCGGATGATTCGATATTCATCACTCAGGCGATGTCGCATGATGCGCTCTTCACACGAGAAATCTCCGATTTCTACAATGTGCCCATCGATTCGGATATTTATGCATTTCCCGTCGACATGATCGAACAGCAACTGGAGAAGCAACAACAGCTGGAGCAACAGCAGCAGCAGCAGCAGCAACTGGAGAAGCAACAGCAACAGCAGCAGCTGCTCGAGAAGCAACAGCAAACGGATGTGTCCAGCAAGCAGACTGCAACGTCATATCACAAGGCAGCCAGCAGCAGACGGAATAAACGCAATAAGCGTAAACAGCGCTATGCAGCGGGCGCTGCAGCAGCGGAAACCAGCGACGATGGGGGCGATAAGGCGAGTGGCAAGCATGGCAAATATCGGACGCCGGTGGTCCACAGTGGCGAAGCGGAACCGTTGCATATGACGCTCGACGAAGTGAAGCAATTCTATCACACGCTCTACTCCGATGCCGGCAAGACGTCGTGGAGCAGCGGCGCCAACAAATTGCTTGCAACAACAACAGCAACAACAATAACAACATCAGCAGCGACAGCAGCAACAAGCATCGCCTCGGCACCAAAAGCTTTGGGCGTCAAATCGAGCAATGAGACAATTTGGAGCGTCTCGACAAATACCACCAATACAACAAATACAACAAACACAACAAATACAACAACAACAACGGCAAGGACGCGCAGCAGTACGCGAGCAAGTGGCTATGGTGCTGGCGTTGGTGGGGATAGCGCCTCAAAATATCTGAGCAAACAAAACAAACACAATATCGACAATGATAAGCTTAACAATAATAACAACAATAACATCAACAACATCAACAATGCCAGCAACTATGCACAGCAACAGCAACAACAACAGCAGCCAGCTGCAACATCAGCGGGATCAGGGCAAGGCTCTGGAGCAGCCACCTCATCGGACAAGTTGCTGCCGGAGCAACACCAACAACAGCAGCAGCAACAGCTGCAGCTGCAACCGCCAAACAACAAGCAACTGCTGCAAACGGAAAAGAAGTCACAATTCTCGCTAAATCTCAAGCAAAAGTTCTGCAGCATTTTTCGCTTTCGTCGCAGCAACAATCACAGCAATCGCTGTCGTAGTAATGCGCAAGCGGCAACAGCAGCAGCTGTCACTGCAGCGGCGGCGTCGGCTGCCACCAATGCCAATACCAATGTCAATGGCAATGCTGTAACGGCAACAACAACAGCAGCCAGTTGTGCGGTGAATGCTGCAACGGATGTGGAGGAGGTGATGAACAATTGTCTCAATCGTATCGAGCCGAGTGCCGATCTGCGTAAGAAATTTCAATCTCGAGCGTTGCCGCCATTGCCAAAAAAGGGTGAGTCAAAAATATATCAAAAATGCCACCGAATACCCCAAAACCCATTTAATCTGATCCGATTTGTACACTCGCCAGCTTATGCCATTGATGCCGCCGAAACGGAGCCGGAGCAGGAGCAGAAGAAGAGTGCCGCAGCTCAAGAGCCTCGTGCGCTGCAGTTTACCTCAAGCATTGAGAAAGTCAAAGACGTAAGTTGCGCACTTGCTGCAATTTTACTTTTTTATTCTTTTATTATATTAAATATCGTATCGATTTCAACAGTATGGCTGGTATTGGGGCCCCCTGTCCAGCGAGGCAGCCGAGAAGGTGCTCTCCAATGAGCCGGATGGCTCGTTTATAGTGCGCGACAGCTCCGATGATCATTATATATTCTCGTTGAGCTTCAAGCTAAACAACTGCGTGCGTCACGTACGCATCGAACAGGATCAGGGTAAGTTAATGTGTTTATCCATTTGTGTTTTACGTTATTATTATCTTTCTCTCCCTCTCTCTCTCTTCTCAAATGTTTAGGCACATTCTCGTTTGGCTCGTATGCCAAGTTCAAATCCCAAACTATAACCGAGTTCATTGAGAAGGCAGTCGAGCATTCACGCAGCGGCAGGTACATATTAAAACTCAATGGACAATGTACACTTATATGATTATATTAATATATAATGGACAATGTACACTTATATGATTATATTAATATATATATATATATATATATATTCATATTGGCACACAGATATTTGTTCTTTCTGCATCGTCGGCCGGAACATGGACCAATGCGAGTGCAATTAACCAATCCAGTATCTAGATTTAAGCATGTACAAAGCTTGCAGCATATGTGCAGGTGAGCTCCATATTAATAATTATATCTGTTTTATTTGACTCTGAGTTTGTCGCTCGGCTCGCTTGCAGATTTGTTATACTAAAGGCGGTTATACGAAAGGATCTAATACAGACATTGCCATTACCAAGAAGACTTCTAGACTATCTTAACTATAAGCATTGCTACTCCGAGCAGGTGGAGAGCGACAGTTCGCATTCGCAGGTATGTAACAACAATTATATTTTTAAAAAAGTGCCAAATCTAATCAAAATTAATTTGATTTTCCCTTTAGATATCCGGCGAAGGTTCGATGTAAAATTTTTGGGAAGGTAAATGACGACGAAGAAAATTGAATGAAATGAAAACGAAAGCGAAAGCAACAGAAATTATTACATTATATAAGTAGTAGAATTTAAAAAATCAAAAAATAAGCAAAGCAAGAGCCAAGGCATTTAAAAACGTTATAAAAAGAAGTGAACAAGTGCAAAAACGAAAAATGAGAAAAAAGAACAAACACAAAACAAACATAAATGCAAATTGTTGATAAGAGAAAGAAAAAAATAAGAAGACATTAAAAAAAACTCTGTTTATTGATCATTTTTTGTACTCGGTGCTATACTATAAATATAAACTAATTAATGAAATGTAAAAGCAAAACAAAACAAAACAAAACAAAAACACAAACATATTATACAAATTGATATAATTATGCGTAGTCAAGAAAAACAACAATAAGAAAAACGGCAATATCTACAGCGACAAGAGAAACAAACCGATGTATATAATTATGCATAACTATAACTGATAATAGATAACATATAACAGTAATTATTATAATAACAACGAACACAGCCGGCTCCAAACTTTGTGCACGATGCATTTTGCTGCTAGAGAGGGAGAGAGAGAGAGAGAGAGAGAGAGAGTGAGTTGAATTCTTGAATTCTTCTACAAATCTGTGTAAAACTTTAATGCTTGCCTTTTAGCTGTGATTATTTTCCCCAATTGTTATGATATGCAACATTCGGAGATGTGTTATTATAAGCTATATTGTATGTATACGTATTGTATAAGATGTTTCCAAGAATTGAATTGATTGATTGATGGATTGATTGATTTATTGGCCAGCGCAAATGTTGCTTCAATTCGAAATGTTAAAATTGTAAATTTGCTCAAGTGTTCGTTCAAGCGATGTAATGAGATCGATAAACGATCAATAAATAATCGATATACAATTTGCTTCACATATTTGAGGTTATGTTACATTTGAAACTGATTATATGTAGAAGAAATAGGCATATGTAAGTATGTATACAAATCTTTAGCAAATTTACGATCAAACACAGAAAGAGAGATAGTTAGAGATATACTCGAAAATGTCGAAAATTGCTCAAATGTCAGTCGCTTTAATCTAAAGTTTCTTTAATATATATATATATATATATATATATATATATATATATAGTTTTCATTCGATACTCTCATATATTTGTGCATATCTGTAGAGACTGTTGGAACTTTAGCTCCTATTTTGTTCATTGGGCGCCAGTGTATTCAACGAATCGCTTTCAAAATCGTGCCCAGAGTTCAGTGTCTTGGCAAATCCCAAACAAAGAAATAAATGAAAGGCCCCTAAAAATCCAAATGAGTAAGGAAATGAAATGTAACGAAAATTTGCATGAAAATATGTCAAATTAGATCAATGTAAACATTTGATAATGTTGATGGTAATGAATAATGTATTATTAATATTAATATTATTATGATTATTATGTATTTAATGAGTTGAGGAGTTGCGAGCGTTAATTCGCTAGCCCAAATGCAATATGTAAATTTGATTGATTGTTAATTCATATTTGTTTTTGTACTTATTTGTTATTTATGTTTTAAGCTCATTTCTATAACTATTTTATTTACTATTGTATATTATTTGTTTTTAATTTTATTATATCGAACTAAACTTTGTATATATATTTATTTTTATTTTTCTTATTATTATTATTATATATAATACACACACACAGACAAAAAACAAACAAGTCAAATTATGTTTCCTTTTAAACAGTAACACAGGGACAACAATAACAAAACTCCAATTACACTATGCAACACATTCATTAAATAGTTTATTTACAAGATTATTTAATTACATTTGATTTGTAATATATATTTTGGTTTGTTAAGGAAATCGAAAGGGAATTTAGAAACTTTTAGGTTGCTGTTAAAAACTTGTTGCATAGTGTTACTTGTCGATGGAAATTACGTAAGCAATATAACAAATACAATAAAAGAAATAAAAATACAATAAAAGAAAACAAAATAAAATTAACAAATTTCCCAAAACAAAAAAGAAATTTATAAAAAACGACCAGCAAAGTGGCAACGACAAGTGGAATGGTCACACGCAAAATGAGCAATAAAAAAGGCAATATAACAAATTTTTTAATAATAAAAATTAAACGAAATTGTTGTTACGCTTCTGTTTTACTGGACAGTTAGCTGTCTTTATAAAAAGGGCAATTTTTGTAGCCATATCTTGCCCATTTCCTTGATCGATATCGAAAGGACGCAACTTTGCGTGTTCAGAACATTCCATAATTCTCGTGAAAATGTTGGCTTAAAATTACATCAAATTAAATGAGAAAATTCGGAAAATCTACCGTAAATTTGAAGATATTGAAGGACTTTTCTTTAAACAGATAATTGCTCGTAGCTCGGCCATATTGCAGGTCCTGAGTTGCTCCTTATCATTCGAATACACCGTGTCCTTCTGCCAGGATAATTCTTCTGGTAATTAAATGTTATAGCCTGCTGACGCATCATAAATGCTTTAAGCATTTGCATCCAAATTAATTATATAATATAATTGTATATTGAACATATGTCTAGCGCCATCTAGGAGCAATTGACACAAGCCGTCTTAACAATCAATTTTTGTCCTTCAAGTGGCGCCATCTAGGAGTCGTATGCAGTAAGTTACATCTTAAATCGCTTTGAAGTTGTTAAAGAAGAATTGAAAAATAGGTGGACATTTGATTGAGCTGACGATCACTTTAATATATTCACGATTATATTGGGATATTTAAGCGACATCAATGATAAAAAAAGCTAGAGTTATGAAAGTTGATATAAAAGCATAATACATGACTCAGAGAAAATTTTCATGGAGAAAAACAACAGAGCTGATCCATTATAATGATACATGAACACGACTAGTTTCCACTTGCAGCTAATCAACTAACTATAAAGCAATATAATAATAATATCAATGCCATAAACTAGCTCATCATTAGGCGCAAACAAATGGTAACCCATCAGTGCATAAGTATGCACCTAACTGCCTTTGTGCCGGGAGTTATGCTCACAATGGATCCAATGAATTTAAAGCCAATATTATCATAAGTATTATAACAATCTGTAACGGTTTTAATGGTGAGAAAGGTGGGCGGGGCTGTCGGATGGGAGAGATACAGAGACAGAGAGACAGAAAGACAGAGAGAGAGAGAGAGATAGATAGAGGGGCGCCCTATGCAGGCTGCTGCTTTTATTGTTGTTGTATTGTGTTTCTTATATTGTTTTTCGCTTTTCGCTGCCTCTCTTGTGGCAACACCAACTGCGAGAGATACCACTGAAATTTACAACAAAAACAACAACAACAACAGGCAGCAAACAGCAAACAGCAACCGCCTTGTGATTAATTACATTTTCTTTTTAGCCAGTTTTCTCTTTAGCCTTTTCAATTTTTTCGGCTGCTTCGAACGAACGTCGTCGCCGCAGTTAACGTCGCTGTCTCTGTCGCTGTCGACGTCGCTATTTGAAATTAAATTTTGATTAATTGCAGCCGCCGGTCGGCACCTTTTTGGCTTTAACACTGCAGTCTTTGGTCGGCGCTACGTGAAAAGTGTTTCCAGGCCGCCACAAATTCGCTGCACTTGCCATAAACAACAAAAAAGAAAAACAACAACAAAATAAGAAAAAAACAACAACAACTGAACAATCCGCACTTGCCCCTGCCCTGCCCGCTCCTTCCCCCACCTCAGCACAGTCCCGCTGTGCGCGCGTCAGTCAACCTTCTTGAAACGAAACAATTTTCAGGTGTGAAAAATTTTGAAATGCGCTTTCAATTTGCGCTGCCTGCGCCTGCTTCAACGTCAACGTTGACGTCGACGTCGGCGTCGGCAATTGCGCCGGCTGCGACAGCGGCCCATTAACGCAGCAACCAAATAAAGTCATTACCAACTGGCAGCCCAGACCAGGCCGGGCCAGGCCAGGCCGGGCCAGGCCAGGCCGGGCCAGGCCAGGCCGGGCCAAGGCAAGGGAGGGGTTGGAGGTTGCAAGTGTGGAGTCTTATGGTTAGGGGTAGCGGTAGCGGGGGAAGGGGGAGGAGATTAGGGGACTGCGTTTTGGGGCCTGGGCGGCGTTGTCTTCTAATGCGCCCCAGCAATTTGCTACGTAGGCCGGCCACACCTACCTGCTGCCAAACATGCAACACGAACGCCCCATACACCCCTCGAACGCCGCACTCCCCCTCCAGTTGTGGCATTGCCTAGGCGAGCGTCTCGTTTGGTCTGTTGCCTTTTTTCGTGCCTGTCTTGTGGCTAGCAGGGATCAGATAACTCAATTATTCGCGGCGTAAACAAATGCTGCCTCTCAGGGTTTTAGCCAACTACAACTACAACTTTAACTTCAACTTCAACTGCAGCTTGAACTGCAGCAAGCAAGCAGCAACAGCTCCAACACCAAAGAGCTCGAGACGCAGCTCCAGCTTCTTCCCTGCGATGCTGTTCAAAAGAGATGGGTTATTATCCCAGGCATAAATGGATTGTAAACGTGATTTTTATAGTCATTTAGCATAATAATGCATTTTATGGTCTGCCAGAGTCCAAACCAGCTACAGCTACAGCTACAGCTATATAGCTTAACTCTGCTCTGCTCTGCACTGTTCAGCTCTGCTCTGCTCTGCTCTGCTGGCTAGCCCAATCTCTGCCACGTTGCGTCCAGTTTTGGTCTCCAGTCTTCCAGCTGCCTCATCTGCCTCATCTCGCAGCTCCATTTCCATTTCCATCTTCGTTTCCGTCTTCGTCTTCGTCTTCGTCTCAACAGTAAATTAAGCGATGCTACGTTTGGCTCTTTTGGCTTTGAGTGCCTGCTTAGTGCAAAGATTTGTTTTGTGGCTAACCGCGAGAAGAGAAGATGGCAGCCAAAACAGTTGAGAGCGAGCAGCCAACCAGCTGAATTACGTTTATGCGTACAGTATTATTATGATGATCAAATCAATTATTGCAGGTTAACACGACTCAAAGCAAGCTGTGTAGAAACTCGTGCGGAGCCATCAATTTATCTGTTCGTCTAATAGTTAATAGCAGAGCATGCTTCCCAGCTGAATTCCTTCATACAGCAGCCTGGATTGTTACAATTACTTTCTTTTTGCCAACCAAATAGACAACAATTAATTTCCACTTCAGCTTAAGGCTTTTAAGGGACAAATGAAACCAAAAAGCTTTAGAATTTCTTCAGAAGTAGTCGTTTTATGAATAAAATATTCATTTCTACCATATTTTTATAATTTTATTGAAAATGTATAAATCGCACTTTTCCATAAACATTTCCGTACATTTTCCTTAGCCAGTTGTATTTTCTTTAAAAAAAAAACAAGAAAATTAATCTAGT